TACAAGGGGGGCCCTGGGTGCACGCCCCCCCTTACAAGTGCCCCCGAGAGGGGGGACACACACGAGGGGGCGGCTCATTTAATATTACATCTGGAAATTTGTTTTAAAAAACCTCGGATTTTTTATTTTGGAGGCAGTACTTTTAACTTTTTAGCTTTTCATTATCTTTTTTTAAAAATCATTTTGTAAATTTTTTTTTTCGCAAACCTACTAAGCAGTTTAATTAATAAGGACTGAATTGGGAGGTTTGAAGTTACTGCAGACATAATTTCATTTCTGATTTACAACAATACCCTTCAAAACTCTGTCTGATCAAGTACTGCATTAAATATTCATGGTTCCCATTTTGAAAACTGATCATTTTCATTTGTGATTGTGGTTTCTGTACAAAAGTGACTCGACATGCATTTTTTGCTTCAGAAACGATAGAGAAATGAATGTTTAAAGGTTCATCGGACATGCCACTCTATAAATGGAGGGTCATTTGAAATTATGCATGCGGCATGTTTTCCATTTAAGTATAATTACATCATTTTAGAAAAAAATGTTAAAGAAACGTTTCCATCTCTATTTTTACCCCTTGAAGCTTATACACCACAGTATTAAGAGGGAGTGTCTGATGAGTCCACTTAAGAAAATTACATAAATAATTTATGAACACTGAAGAGTGTATATGATCGAATAGTGTATAGTATACAAAGGTATCAATATTTTTTTTCAAAATAGGGGGTGAAAGTTGAATAATTTTTTGTCCCCTCCTCCTGGCTTAAATCCTAGAACCGCTCTTGGTTGAACGAAGGATGAATAAATCAATAATTATGTAGATAATGAATAGAGGAATGAAAGGATGAATAAATAATATGTAGATAATGAATAGATGTATGAATAAATGAATGAATGAGAAATGTCAGATCTGGCTCTGGTGCTAAGGAAATGATATTGTTCTGGGTACAGAATAGATTGAAAGAATATCCGGTAATTATATATTCGTTATCTACTTCTTAGTCATAGATTAATAACAATACAGAAAGAACACTAGATGTCGTCTTTTCAAGATTTAGGGGTTTTTCGTTCACCCTGAGGCAGAAGCGCATGCCGCGTTGAATGATAAGACAGAGATAATATGGGCGTAACTCCTTTGGGCTTCTGCCTCAGGGTTATTGTGAACGAAACCCCCTAAATCTTGAAAAGACTACATCTAGTGTTCTATTTGTATTGTTTTAGCCATAATTTTTCAATTCAAATTTAAAAATTTTACAGTGAGATCCAGAACACTGTGGAATAGGAAAACGACCTGAACGCAATTTTAAGATTATTTGATGTTGTTACAACTCATAGTTTTATTATATATATTGTTATTATTATATAGCTAGAAATATACTTATGAATTATTTATTAATTAAATGAGCTGAAAACTTTAGAATTGTGGATATCAAGATTAATGCTTGATCGTCTCTTTTTCTTAATCTCGTGACTAACCTAATCTTGTACTTGTATCCTGAAAAGTGTATAAAATTCAACCAATCAGAGTCGCGTATATGAAGCCGATAAATTTAAAATTTTGCGCGCCATTTAAGATTAATATACAGAAATGGGGGAACTCTCTAATTTTAAAAACCGGTTTTTGATTTTTTTCTTCTATATCCTAGAAAGAACGGTTTAAGAAGAAAATCAAAAGTGTGTCCATTGGATACTCAGATTAAATAATCGGGAATAAGGGTATCTCATTCTAAAGTTTTCAGCTCTGTGCACATTACACATTTTCTGTGTTCCTATTACAAAGTTGTTAGGTTCTCACTGTATGTATCATATGTATCATATATAGATTACATTTTATAAATACGGCTTCACTGCTTGTTTTTCAATTAACGTTAAAACTACGAAACCTTTGATCAGACCAACATGTTTGTGGTATCTCAAAAGACCATATGAAATGGTTTATGGACAGTCTAAATCGGAAAATATAAATTTGATATTTTTGTTCAAGTTATTTGTAAATTTAAAGAGAAAATCCATGCTTTTTGATTAAATAAAGTGGTCTCCAATGAAATAAAGTAGTCTCCAATGAAATGAAGGTGGTCTCCAATGAAATAACACTTCTCCAATGAAATAAAGTGGTCTCCAATGAAATAAAGTGTTTTCAAATGAAATAAAGTGGTCTCCAATGAAAGAAAGTGGTCTCCAATGATGAAATAAAGATAGTCTTTAATGAAATAATAGTGGTTGCGAAAGAAATTAAGAAAATCTCCAATGAAAAAAAGGTTTTCTCCGATGATATAAATGCGGTCTCCGTTAAAAAAAATATATCTCCGATGAAAGAAAGGAGGTCTCCTATGAAAATGAGATGGCCTCTAATGCAAGATGGTATTCTCTTATGAAATTAGGACGGTCTCCGATGAAATAAGGGCGGTCTTCGATGAAAGAAAGATGGTCTCCGATGAAAAAAATGGTCTTCGATAAAATTTAGGTGTTTTCCAATGAAATTAAGTTGACCTTTGATGAGATCGATGAAGGTGGTCTCCGCTGAAATTTAGAATTCTCTAAAAATTTGTTGCACACATGATAACGGTTTCTATTTAGACATATTTCTATTTCATTCTAAGTTCTCTTAAATTCGAATTCTGAATTTCTGATTTAAATAGAACGTTTTTATCAAAAACAATAAGACTCATTGAATTCAAAACAAAAAGACTTCATTTGTAAATTATATAAGTGTTTGTATATTTTAAAAGAAAATTTGATTTCTTAAAAAACTCTTTATCCTCCCTCTAGGTAGATTTTTTCAGAAAACACGGCTTTCAATCCAACTCCGGCTTTTTCACTTACAATCTATATATAAATTTGGCTTGTCTGTTTGTTTGTTTGTCTGTTTGTTTGTTTGTATCCAATAAACGTCAAAACGGCTGAACCGATCGGGCCCAAATTTTTTGTGGGACATCTAGGGACCCCAGGGAAGGTTTATGAAAAATCAAAATTTCAAATATTTGTCTCCATCAAAATTCAATCGTCATTAATTTTTTAAAAATTTTGAAAATCCGCGAAATTTTTTGTGAAAATCCGCGAATTATTTTTGTTTTGTTTTACGATGTACACAAAGAGAACATGTTCACAATTAATTTAGAAGATGGGCGCGAAGCGCCCTCTAAGGCTAGTTAATTAAATTTCAGTTTTACTGAGTTTGAACAATGAATTTTCAGGTTTTCCTATCTATAAGAAAATTGCAGTTTTCACTCTTTCATCCAAATTGCGGTTTTTCCATGTAAATTGCGGTGTCTGTATTTCTTTTAAATGTCGATGTTTTAAAATTGCGGCTAATGTTCGTCCGAAGGAGGTTTTGGCACAAGTTTAAATTTTCTAATCCCTCTATCTTTACAAATTGACGACCTTTAATATTTCAAACTCAGACTATTTAATCTAACAGAATTTATAGCTTGAAATATCAGAGGTCTACAACATCAAGTTGCAAAGATATAGGGGTTAGAAAAACAGAGTTTGAGGCAGACAATTCCTTTCAACTAGTTTTTTAAGATTTTTAGCAACAGTTTTTGTTGTTTTCAATTTTTAATCGTACTATACAATAATACAATAATACAATAATACAATGAACATAAATATTCTCAGATTTTTCTGTTTAACTTGAAAAATTTTCGAAAATTTTCAAGTCGACATTTTTTTTAATGGATTATTTTTCTAATTTTGGGTCATATGAGTTGCACACAAAAAAAACGTAATATTAATTAAGATTAATAAATTTGAAACATTCCACTTGTTTGTGGGAGCCACTGCAAGTCAAGGAATGGAATTCTAATTTTTTTCATTTTTTTATGAAACATAATTTAGGATTTTGACTGGTATGCTTTATCTGCTGAAAATAGAAGATATAATTTCACTCTTGGATTTCAGAAGGCAGAGTAAGTATCGCTTAATAATATACAGTGAGAACCAGAAACCTGTGGAATAGGAAGACGACATTGAATCAATACTTTAAGTATAATTAATGTTGTTACAAAACAAATAGTTTTACTAGTAGTGTAAAAATCAATTACAAAGTGAAATGACCTGTGCACACTGGACAATTGATGTTGTTCATGTAATATTTAAAGTCATAACTTGAATCTAAAAGTTGTATTCCTATATTGGTCAGTGTGGTTTTCAATGTAATTTAAATCCCTTGGCTATAATGACTAAAGACACGGGCAGCCGCAGTACATTTGAATTTCCGAGCCGGGTCAACCTTTTCGGTCCAAGTTTGTACTATATCGCCCAGACATTGGTTAAATAAAGCAGACACTCATTAAAGGGTCAGAGGTACGTGAAAAAGGTGAACGTCAAGGAAACGTTGTTTTTTCCTCACTCCGTCCAATAAAAGTTTCGAGGTCTGCTGAGAAATTAAATTCATGAAAGTTCTAAACTATTTATTTTTTTATGTATATTATATATATATAGTATTTATTTTCAAACACAAAATACAAAATAATAATGTATGATGGTTCAGCTTAAAATAAAATACAAAAGAAAAAATTAAAGTATATTAAAGTATATTAAAGTATATTAAAGAAATATTTCAGAAAAAAATTGATATTTTTTGATTTTATTAGAAAATTTATTAGAAAAAGCACGAACAAAATTGACAGAATACGCTGAATCTGATATTTATTAACTTTTCATATTTTTCTTTTTAACGTTTATCAATATATCCATCCATCTATATAAATTATGTATATATATCTTTATATATTATGTATAATGTTTCAAAATCATTGAAAAAAAATCCATATAATCAAATGTTAAAATCAAAGATGTGCGCGGAGCGCCCTGGAAACCTAGTTTAATATATAAACTCATTTACTTATTTAATCAACTGTCTATTTATCTATCTCTATATATCTTTCCATCTATTATCCTTTAACTATCTATCTATCTATCTGACTATCTCCATCCATCCATCCAAGAAATGTATAGTTCCTCGCATCCATCTATCTATCTTTCTATCTATTTATCTATTTATCTATCTATCTATCTATCTATCTATCTATCTATCTATCTATCAATCTATCTATCTATCTTTCTATCTATTTATCTATTTATCTATCTATCTATCTATCTATCTATCTATCTTTCTATCTATTTATCTATTTATCTTTTTATCTATCTATCTATCTATGATCTGTCTATCTATCTTTATATCTATTTATCTATTTATCTATTTATCTATTTATCTATTTATCTATTTATCTATTTATCTATTTATCTATCTATCTATCTATCTATCTATCTATCTTTCTATCTATTTATCTATTTATCTATCTATCTATCTATCTATCTATCTATCAATAAATTTACTATATTAACTGATTGCTAATGTATTATAAAGATACCCCGAGGTTTGAAACGTATGATAAAGTTAAATAACAAGATAATCATTCATTCATTCATTATCCTTCCTCACATTCATCCTTCCTTCCATCCTTCTATCCATCTATCCATCCATTCATCCATACTATTATGCTTTCATTCATTTATTCATTCATCCTTCCTTTGTTTCACCTATTCATTCAATCGTTGATCCACCTATACTCTATTCATCCGGCCTATCACTATACTATCAATTGTACCTTAAATATATCTATCTATCTTTTAACTCTTCATCTATGTATTCATATACTTTTCTATCTATCTTTCATTCTCTTTATATATGTATTTATATACCTATCTATCTATCTATATTATCTATTTATCTATCTATCTAGAGAGCTGGCTGGTATCTACCCCCTGCTAGAAGTGGATGATATGGTCAGGTAAAGATTTTAAATATTATCATTGTTAAATGTAATTTCAAGCAACTCACTATTTGCAGAGTTACATGTGCGATTCACAATGGTACCCATAATAACCTTGTCTGGACAAGAATGCCTAAAATATCTTCTGTCCTTTTCTCTTTGAAAATCAATCGATTTTCAACTGTGATTTATCTTTGAACAGACTTACGGATTTCTGGTTCAGGAACAATGAAAAAAATTTTAAGAATTAAATTTTTTTGAAAAACGACGATATTATTGATCAGCTGAAGTTTAAAGCATATCTCTTCATTTCATTTCAATTTTTAACAACTGTTCCTTTTACCCAAATCCTAATGGTTTAGTCTCTTTTGCACAAGTTAACCGGACGGGGGGGGGGGGGGCCAAGGCTACACAATTCTAAAATCCAAACTTATTTTAATGTAAAAACAACATTGAAAACACAAATTATTAAGATTAAGTGTCGTGTTTTATTTCACATTTTCTTGGGGTCTACTGTATCTAAGTGTCATCTTTCTATTTCAAACTTTGGTGGTTTTAATTGATCTTAAAGTTTAATTTAAAGGGACTGTATGTGTAATTTCAAGTGACCTATTATGACCCAATATGCCCGATTGAAAGCTTTTTCTGCTCAAGCATGTATTAGATATTATCAGATATTAATATTATGTTTCTTTAAACTGTTCATTTTCATTCGCGGTTTCTCTGCGAAAGTGGTTTAGCATTTTAGTTTATAAGAAACAATAGAGAATCTCACAGAAATAAACACTTTTCTAGTCAGAAAACCACGGTATCCTCCACACTCCGTTCACTCTCCACTAAACCCCTCTATTTCTTCGGTCAGATTAATACTGTAAATCACTGCAGTACACGCCGAAAACTTTTTTGAGGGTGTGTTGTAAATCTAACATTGTTATTTTTTGCATGGAGCATAACTTGAATTCTATTCCCTTTAAAGGTTTGTGAAACCGGACTGGAAGTGTGTGTTCACCTACGTTCAGAGCTTCTATAGGAGGTAAAAACATGATTTAAAAAAAAAAATTTGTTGGCTCTCACGGTGGACCATGGTCAATTTGAAATCGCACCGGACCGACTCCTTGTACCATTATTTGTGACGCTCAGCAAGTACCTGCCCGACACTATCCTATGCCAGCTATAGGTTTCAACTGTAATGGCGCGGCCAGACTCCTTAAAATAAAATGCATATTTGCATCAAAGGAATTGAGTCTTTGTCACAAACTCTAATTTTCTTATCCCTAATCTTTGCAACCCAATTTCGTAGACCAACTACCAATTCTGTTGGATCAAATATAATCTAAGTTTGAAATATCAAAAGTTTACACCATTAAATTGCAAAGATATAAAGATGAGAAAATTTGAGTTTGTCGCAACGACTCAAATCCTTTTGTCTTAAGAACTCGGTTCATGCCACGGAAATGTTTTAGCTTGGATTAAACGTTCTAAATTTAGGCAGCTGACTTCTCATCGAGAAAATTTTATTTTCATGAACGCCTGCAGGTTCCTCAGCTATTCTGAAGTAATTTCCCCCTCGAAGCAAAGCTTAATTATGAAAAATATCATCTTGATTGTAAGATTCCGGCAAACCCCGTTAATTTTTGAGATTTTTAACAATCGGAAATATATTTGTTGATAAATTAAAGGAAAATCTGTAAATTTTTATCTCAAGATGTGTCAACATTGTTGATGGAAACTTTGAAATATGTTTAAGTAAAAGTGCCCTGCGATGCTCGTGAAATAAAATAAAATTTTAAAAATACATCATGAAAAAATACCTTTTTCCCTCAAAAAATGTCATCCCATTTGGTCCAGCCGTTTTATGAGTGAAGAGCTCTACTATAGATAATCAACCTTTCATCCTCGTCAGACATAGTCATCATCATGTGCATTGTGCACCCATATCAAATACCAATCCTAACTTGTGTCACAGTTGGTGTCGTATATTTATCAATACAATTGAGACGACTCTTAGTATTATTTAATTTATGCCAAGCTTTTAAACAACAGAAACAATTGAACATTTAAACAAAGAGTAGTTGACATTTATAAGGTATCTTTGTTTACTTGTAAACTTGTCAAAGCAATACAAATAAAAAGTCGTCTTTATTGTGTTCATGTAAACGGAAACAACTTTAGAATAAATAATATCATAAATTAGATTGCATTATTGTGAGTTCGTCCGTTAACTATTTTTTAAATATTTTTCTTAGAAATCCACATAATAATAACTTCGATAAAATCAAAGATATATTTTTTGTTTTATTCTGCAGCCTCTGTAAAATTCAACAAAGGAAGTGTAGATGTAATTTATAAATAGTAGATACCCTGAACTTTTAGAGTGGCATTCCCAATGCACAGCAATGCAATACCCTTAAAACTGATTGCCGGAAAACTCTTTATTTCAGAAGCCTTAATTTCGAAACCTTCTTTGTAGGGTGGCATGTTAAATTCACAACAGTACCCTTTTAAACCTTTGCCCGTGGTCCATGATGAAAAAGATTTTCTTATTTTTAGGGCTGAAAATTGATTGCCGTAAAACTCTGGTGTTATATATAGTGCCATTCCAAGCACTTAGTTTTCAGCTAGAGATATAAGAATGTCTACAGAGATATAAGAATGTCTACAGAGATATAAGAATGTCTACAGAGACATAAGAATGTCTACAGAGATATAAGAATGTCTACAGAGGTATAAGAATGTCTACAGAGATATAAGAATGTCTACAGAGATATAAGAATGTCTACAGAGATATAAGAATGTCAACATAGATAAAAGAATGTCTACAGAGATAAAAGAATGTCTACAGAGATTAAGAATGTCTACATAGATATAAGAATGTCTACATAGATATAAGAATGTCTACAGAGATATAAGAATGTCTACAGAAATATAAGAATGTCTACAGAGATTAAGAATGTCTACAGAGATATAAGAATGTCTACAGAGATATAAGAATGTCTACAGAGATTAAGAATGTCTACAGAGATTAAGAATGTCTACGGCATTAATGATCAGACAAAGGTATAAAAGATACCGCCCAGTAAACCAGATCATATCGACTGAACCTTGATTCCACGTTGACTTTTCAATCTTGACGTGGTATATTTCGTTGTGAATTATCACATTTAACAGCATATCGAAGTGGAATTGCACTATTAGTGACCATACAACGTTGCACTAGAAAATTTTATATCGACATCGTCATCAATGTTGTGAAAATGTCATGCATTCTTCTTGAAATTTTCACACCTCTAAAATATTCAAAGTTGAAACAACCTTTTTAAGGTTTCGAGATGGAAGATCTCCTTCTCCCCGACCCTCTACACCTTCCACAACTAAACTCTCAGAGGTGGCTCAGGCAGTTGCAGCAGAGGTACACAGTTAAACTCCATCTGTTATCGGCAGGGCATTATTTCGTTAAATTGATTCTATAGTAATGACCTTTGTCACCACAGTTTCAGTTTAAGTAAATATTTTCATTTACTGTTATAGCGCCGATATAAGGATTAATAACTCTTTTTGGATAATAAGATAGATAGAAAGATAGATGTTACCGCCATGCAATTTCTATTGGTTCAGAATAGACAACAAACACATGACTGAACCATGATTGGATCAGGCGCTAGAGTAAATTGTTCTTCAAGTAAATGTAATCTCAAGTGACCTTGCAAAGATGACAATGCCCGATTCACAACGGTACCCTTAAAAGATCCATGTTTATAGGTTTTTTAAAAATAATTGTTTTAATTATGGGATCTCTACAAAAAAAGTGGCGCATTTATATATTGGAGGAAAACATACTGTAATTATCAGAATTTAACATTTATATATTGGAGGAAAACATACTGTAATTATCAGAATTTAACATTTATAAATTTATTAAAGCAAATATGTCTTCCATATTACTAAGCAGATAAAGGTTTCCTAGAGTACCGTTGTGAATCAAGAATTGAAATTACGCTTACAGTCCCTTTAAGTTCTTCAAGACATTTTAATTAAACCATATTTGAAGATTTAAAACAAATATTTATGATGTTCTGATTGATTTGTATAAATTTAAATTTGAAAATGTTCATTAAATTCTTATTCGTCTTATTCTAGGTTAAATTTTGAAAGAGAAGTTTTTTGGAGGTCCCGATAACCACCAATATGTTTTCAGTTCTGGAATTTTTTCATAAACACCCTGTTCCTCCACTCTACACTTGAATGCATTGTATTCGTGTTTTATTTGGCAGACTAGGCATTTCTTGGTTTTATATTATACTTATCATGCATGATGGAAAATTGAAGCACAGGAAAAAAACATTGGAAAACAAGAGTGTAGTGGAGAAAATGCAGTACAACAAGATCTGTGACAGGGTGTTTGCAGACATGTGAGCACCCGCTGTTTATTGCTATAACCATCATCTATTTCATCTATACATATTTTTAAAAAAACGAAAATTAAAAATTAAAAAATGTTTAAAAAAATTAATAATATTCGTCTTTTTCCGTTTTGCAGGGAGATTGTCAGAAAAAGGGTGAAAAAGATGAGCGGAATGTGACAAAGAAATTAGCACAAGCCGGGCCAAAGTTTGCAGAAAAAGACCAGGTTTGATGAATGAAATAATGCCTTTAACAAAGTTACCCACATATGTTAAGACTTCAGAGACGACTGTACAGAATTTATATTGTCTGTTTCCTTATATTCATTATTCTCTTCAACTGTAAACTGGTATTTTTCTTTGCCTAATCATTGAATAAGCCATTAAAATACTATATGTATAGTAGAAGGCTTAATTTAACCTTGTAATCCTCATATTTCAAGAGTGTCTGGTCGTCTTTACAGTCTTACAATTTCTGAGTAACCCAAAATATTTTTTAAATGTGATAAAATAAATCTTTATCTTTTTTTTAAACCACCTTTTTCTATAAGTGGACTTAGAATCGTCAGATTTAAAGATTTTCAGGTCGTCTTCAAAGTCTCATCCTTTGTGGGTAACCCTGTATCTAAAATTTTTACGTCGCCACTTTCAGCCTTTTTATTTTAAATTTTTGGATTAATTTCTAGTTTAGGATCATTTAATGCATTACATTCTGAGTAAATAAAAACGCAGTGATGTCATTATGCAATTATGCCCGTGGAAAAAAAATTTTGGGAAAAAATCTATTTTTTTTTAGCCTAAAACACCCCGTTTGGCCGGCTAAAGGCAACATATATACTTACGAATGTCTTGTTTTATTATATTGAAAACCAACACGCCGTCTCTCTCTTTCTTTAAAATCAGAAATTCAGAAATGTATTTTTTAATTTTTATTTAAACTTTGTAAAGATATATATAATATACATCAAAACGATACTTATCCCTAATTTTGGAATATTTAATTTTAGGCCAAACCTAGACCTCCGCCTTTGATGATTAAAAAGTCGACAAGTCCGAGTTCGATAACTTCAAGCATACAGTCCCCAGGGACATCGACATCGTCAAGAATTCAGTCGCCGGGGACGCCCAGCTGGGTTAGAACGACCAGCCCTGTCTCTTCTGGTTCCCCAAAATGGATAAAATCATCTACCGAGGAATTTTTTCGATTTTTGAAAATATAAATATCGTTTTTTGATTTCATTCAAAAAATATAAAAGCGCAAAAAATGAATTTTAATTAAGTCCCCGTAAAGTGTAATCGTCAAAAAGTGCTCTGAAAGATTTTTTAAACTAAAATTTTTGAAAAAGTTTATTATGTTCACATAAAATGTTTTTTTTCTTCATCATTTTGTTATTGACTAAAAATTTTTTAAAGGTTCTATCAAAATTTTATGAAATACTATATCCAATCAATATTTCTATTCAACTTTGAGATGGATCAAACTGGTTTTAGATAATTTCTTTTTTCCGTAATTTTAAGTCTCAAGCAAAAAAGTAGCCATGGGGGAATTTTTTTTAATTGAGAAATTAGAATAAAAAATTTTCCCCAATTTTAGTCTCCTTTTCTCTATAAATATTGCTTTTGTGCTTATACATAATCATTTTGCCAGAAATATAAAAATTAAAGTTTTGAAGAATTCAATTTTTATTAATTTTACAAGTACCTTGATAAGTAGAGAAAACTGAAACCCCCGGAGGAAACCAAGATTCTCCCCAGACAGGGGAAAAAATCTACGAAAATTCCCCTAGTTTTGAAGTTACCCCACCCCCTGAAGACAGAAAAAAAGACACCACTGCTAGAGAAGGTGAATTTTAAAATAATAAACAAATGAAATATATATTTGTCTTGTGTTTTTTTACGGGCTTTTTACTTACTTTCGTTTGTGGGTGGAATTCACTTCTTTTGGGATGAAATCTTGTATTCAATTTCAAAATCACCTGTAATATTTTTGATTTTTTCTTAAAATTATTATGCGCGGACAGTGTTTGTGAAAATCTACGAGAATTACGAGAAAACCCGATTTTGCTGGTATAGTGCATGGGGACGCGTCCCTTTGTTGAAAGTTTAAAATTATTCGTTGACATATATTAAATACGCATTTAGTTCATAGTTCTTAAATGTATTTTAAAGGAAAAGGCATTAAAATAATTTCCTTTCAAATTTGTCTTTCAATTCATCAAACAATTTATATATACTAAAGATATACAGGGTGTCCCAATAAACATGAGAATCGAAAGACGAAAGTCGTCTTTGATTTCTGATATTTAATGCATGGAAAAGACAGTAAATAAACAAAGCTGTATGTCTGACCAGCTTTTCATAAAGTGGTCTATATATACCTTTCTTGTTTCTAAAAATTGAAGAAGATATTGATATTAAGACAATTTTGATTTATTAAATAAATTGAAAGTTGTCACAACATTTTGCATTATCTCCGTCAATTTTGAAGATTTTGTTGTAGACCACATTTTGAAGATCTCAAGATCAGGCATTTTTGATTTTAGATGTTTAAGCTGAAATACTGCAATAATTATGTTCATCAAAAAATGCCACATGGATCGAAGACGATATAAAAGTCGTCACTGAATGTCCATGTGTATTGGGACACCCTATAGATAATTTTGATGTGTTTTTCAATCAAAATAGTGCAAATCGAAAAATGTCAAAACATTGTTTTTTAGTCTAACAATGTGTTGAAATCGGGTTGAAATGGTTAAAACTTTGGGGGGAGGTGTTTTCATAGAGTGAGGTGTCCCAACTCCCCATGAACGACACCGGGATCAAAAGTCACGTATTTGCCTTCGAACAGAAAAAAAAACTTTGGTCCATGGGATGTGATTTTAGTAAAAATACTGAAAGCAAATTAAACAGAATTTAATTTCTGAGTAAAATGTGGGTTAAAATATACCAAAGTAATCCAACCTAAAGCTTGACATATCTACATAATTTGTTAAGAAATATACCTTGATGGAAATTTACATTTTTTCAGATGAGAGACTAGGCATGGAAAATATAAAGAAAGACATTCCTGGAAAAAGACCAATGCCGAAGTGCCAAGCACCGATTCTGAAAACCATTATGTAAAAATAATCTTATAATGAACTACAGAATATCTCTATAAGAAATATTTATGAATTTTGAATGGGGATTTAGGATAAACCATAATTAATGTGATTCCGACTTATTTACGTTGAGTTTTAAAACTAAAATCTTACGATTGTTTTACATTAGACGGTAATTAAATTTAAATAAGAGCAATGTCGTAATTAAATCTAGTGATTAAATACTTGAAAGGACTGTCGGTGTTTGAGACCCCCCACCCCTACATCCTCCATTCTGTTACAAGGGAATCCTAAGTGTATGCTTAATGTTGAGTTCAGTCTGTAAGTGGCGCACAATAGAATTTGCAGCTTTATACACGCGGGTTTGGATAAGTTTACACACACATATCTCTGTACTCGAAGAACAACACAAGGATTCTAAGGGTACCAATGAAAATCGGGCATTGCCATCTATGCATGGGGAGGGTCGCTTGAAATAACAATTACAGTCCCCTTAAAGTCTCATTAAAAACTCATGAATATTGAATACTGAGATATAAACAGTTAAATACAGACCAAAAAGAAAGACAAGCAGATATGAATTCTGGCATGTATGGTATGAATATTAAAGAAATGTATAAATTAAGATATTAACCAGATTTAACAAATATTAATTTATTAAATAAATGTATCTATATATCGTGTGGATAATTGGTTTACTAGTTAGAACCTACAGGGTCACCCACAAAGAATGAGTCTGTGAAAACGACCGGAAACAAATTTGACGATCCAAGTTTAAATTTAGACACAGAAAGTATAATCTCACAACAGTCGTATCTGAAGTCTCATCCTTAGTATTTAAACCTGTTTATATTTGGAGCTACTTATTAATGTTTTACATTAACGCTTGATCTCGATATCCAATGTGGGCACGTTTAAATTTTAGGATCAAAGCTTGATCCATAGATTAAAGCTATCCCTGTATGATCATAATGGGATATCAGAGAGGAATTTAAATAATTCGAAGATCTGCATAAGATGTTCTCACTTCAGAGCTGGGAACTCTTGTATTGTGGATATCGAGATCAATGGCTGATCTCTTCAAGGTATGATTTCACTGTGAGATATCAAAAAAAAAAAAATTAATCTGCAGATTAACAAAGATTGAGATTGAGCTTTGATCTCGATATGCACATTACCAGAGTTCCCAGCACAGCTCAGTTCATTTAGCGCACCATAAATTAGAGACATGGTTGAACCGCGTAGACATGGTTCAACCACTTCTCTTCAGCTTGAACCAATACTTAAAAGAAATGGTTCAGCTCAAGTTATGACTTCAAATAGTGCAATGAACATAAGACACAGCAATTGTGCAGTGTAAACAGACCCATTTTATTTAATAGGTGATTTAATAACTTTCTTGTATAGCTACTTCTTTTGAAACAACATCAAATGTACTTCAGCATTGTTTTAATATCGTCTTTCTATTCTACAGTTTTCTGGTTATCGCTATTTATATCTAAGATATTGAAGTAAAAATGCTAAATCGTCTTTTAAGCTATTTTTGACAAATTTTGAAGTACAAATCAGAATATGTCTGAAAATATTGCGGACATTTTGTTTTTGATATTACACATAACTCTACATGGGTTCCTGAGAATTATTCAACAATAAACATTAATTCTGAACAAACAAACCTGGGAATAGTTTTATTTGATGAAATATTTGGATTTCTGAGAAGCAACCGATTATGTTTTCCTAATTTTCCTAAACAACATCAAATGTACTTCAGCATTGCTTTAATGTCGTCGTCCTATTCTACAGTTTTCTGTTTGTTTATCACTGTATATATTCAAGGTATATGTAAAGTTGTAATCTCTGTTTGTCCCATCATAACTCAGGAACCCCTGGACCGATTTGCCTCAAATTTTGATTGGGTAATCACGGGAATGTTCTTAGTTTGATTTTGAGATTTAAGTTGAGTGGGTCGACAAAATATAGTAAAATGTAGTAAATACAACCAAGTGTGGGTATTTTTGACGGATTTTGAAGTAATAATCAGAATAGGACTGAAACTATGGCGGTCATTTTGTCTTGATCTTATACATTTTATAATTTATATAATTATTTATGTATATAATATATAATTTATAAACGCAGCTGCAGTAGACTTTCCAGCGAAAAAGAGAAATCATTTCGCGAAAAAAAGATTTGCCGAAAATTTCGCATTTCATTCGCTCCCCAAAAATGCAAAAATATAAAGAAAAATTATTTATTATGATATAATAAAACTTTTAATGCTCAGCTATATTTGCGCAAACAAGTTTTTTATGGTTTTCACGGAATTATTTTTTCTCGCGAAAAATTGTGAAATTTCGCGAAAAAGTTTGCGAAATACGAACGAAAATTTTCGCATTTTTCGCTGGAAACTTTAAATTTAATTGGTGAAATATTTGGATTTCTAAGGAACAACCGATCATTAACCCAATTTCCCCCTCGATTTCTCTAATAACACTCCAGGATTTCAGTAACGGAGAAAAATCTGTTATCCGTTCTATTCGAGAAAAACTAGCTCTATTCCAACCCTTATTAGATTACAGATAGTCAATAAATGATTCAATTAGTCCCATACAATTATCACACTTCGTGTCAAGTTATTTTGCAAATTGTTTATTGTCAGGCTTAAAGGGAAAGGAAGAAAAATTAAAGAAAGGAGTTTTTTACAATTTTATTTTTTATGATAAAAACAATAAATCAAAAAACATTACATTAAAATCATTTTTTTCGCAAAATAAATAAAAAAAAACTGAAAAATGTGTAAAACAGGCGTACGAAGTTATTATGCAAATTACTTAAAAAAACTTATGTAAAATGGAAAATTATTTTTAAAAAATTAAAGTAAACAAATAAAGAAACTTATATGTCCATTGTCCATACTCAAAATAACAAACTTTCTACCTTTCGTCTGAGCAAAAAACCTTTATATTTGATATTCCAAGGGTACCTTTAACAATGAAACCTGTAACGCTTTAGATTGATCGCGGGTCAATTGAAATTATACTTCAAGTCCCAATTACACAATAATTGGATTAACTTATCAAAATATTGTTGAAAAAAATACGTACATGTAATGATACTTCATGCGTAGGAAGAAAGTGATACGTTAATCAAAATTATGTTTATGTTATGTAACCTTTGAACCTGACCATCCATTTACAGAAAGGCATGTTCTATTTACAACTGTGTCATTTGAACATGACCACCAGTTAACAGAGAGGTGGGTGGGGTGGAGAGTGTGTGACACAAGTTCTCGTTAGATCACTGAAGTTAAGCACACTTGTCCACAGCCAGTAACTGGATTGGTGTCCCGTACTCCACACAAACCTGTGGTTTCAAAAACATCTGAAGCCGACATCTGGTTAAGCAGTTATGACCACCTGACGGATGTAGGAGGGCAGAGGGGCGGCTGTCAACAACTCTCGCAGCGAAAGGGTGCGTGCTTTCTACAACCCAGGGTAGATCAACATAAAAAACCCAGACAATACCAAACTTTCGCAATAGAAAAAAATTCCGGAATTGATCGTAACAACCCGATCATGTCCTGGGGACAGAAAAATCTCTTTTAAAAAGTTAACAGAGAGGCTTGTCGTAGTTCACAACTGCACCATTTAAACGTGACAAACCATTTACAGAGAAGCATGTCTTATTCACAACTGCACCATTTCAACATGACCATCCATTTACAGAGAGACATGTCTTATTCACAACTGTACCATTTTAACATGACCATCAGTTAACTTATTCACAACTGCACCATTTCAACATGACCATCCATTTACAGAGAGTCATGTCTGATTCACAACTGTACCATTTTAACATGACCATCAGTTAACTTATTCACAACTGCACCATTTCAACATGACCATCCATTTACAGAGAGTCATGTCTTATTCACAACTGTACCATTTAAACGTGACAATCCATTTAGAGGCATGTCTGATTCACAACTGTACCATTTCAACATGACCATCAGTTAACAGAGAGGCATGTCTTATTCACAACTGTACTATTTCAATATGAACATCCATTTACAAAGAGGCATGTCTGATTCACAACTGTACCATTTCAATATGACCATCCATCCCATTTACAGAGAGGCATGTTGTATTCACAACTTTACCAGTTCAACATGACCATCCATTTACAGAGAGGAATGTCTGATTCACAACTGTACCATTTCAACATGACCATCGATTTACAGAGAGGCATGTTTTATTCACAACTGTACCATTTTAACATGACCATCCATTAACAGAGAGGCATGTTTAATTCACAACTGTACCATTTCAACATGACCATCCATTTACAGAGAGGAATGTCTGATTCACAACTGTACCATTTCAATTTGACCATCCATCCCATTTACAGAGAGGCATGTTGTATTCACAACTTTACCAGTTCAACATGACCATCCATTTACAGAGAGGCATGTTTTATTCACAACTGTACCATTTTAACATGACCATCCATTAACAGAGAGGCATGTTTAATTCACAACTGTACCATTTCAACATGACCATCCATTTACAGAGAGGAATGTCTGATTCACAACTGTACCCTGTATACGCCAACACTCTACAACCTCTCGGACGAAATACAATTAAATAATTCTTTAATAACACTTAATTTACTAATAAGTTTTGGTCTTTTTTACCTGTGCTCATGCTTTTAAAAATACTGAGTAATTCATAATAATAACAATTCAAGTAAAAAATTTATTTTTTATTTTTTTCAACAAAAGAAGCAACTCTTAAAGAAAACATTTTTCCGTTTTATCCAGAATCCCGATAAAAAAAAATAACAGTGTAGGATTACAAGAAGTAAAAGTACAAATTTTAAAAATGAACAAAATGAGAAAAAGTGAGATTATACATAGATAGAAGTGTATTTGTACAAAAATAATTTTATTTTATTTTAATCAAATTGTGTGCAGCAATAGTGCCTCAAATTAATTTTAATATCGAAAATATTTCGTTTTTCTTTTTTTTTAAAGATCGTATCTTATCATAATAAAGCTGAATTTAATGAGCAGAGTTTGACATTTAATCGTTCTGTGAGTTTTCAGTAAAAATATTCTTATTTCCAGACTGGAAACGTATTTCCAAGTGACCTGCCCGGTTCCCAACCGTATGGCTTTAAAAACTGTCATCTGGGCAATATGAGGTTGATGTTCTTGTATATCTTTCGAAAATTCAACAATTGTGAGTTCTCAATTTAAGTAACTTTTGAGTTGCAGACTTTAACAGAAAAGAGAAGTAATCCAACCCCTTCAAAGTTGGTGAATAGCCGTGATAGTACCATTGTTGTTCGGGTGTGCAAATCTTTAAATTGAGCTGCTGGTTAACTTGAAAATAATTGAAAATACGTTTACAATTCTTCAAGGTTTACACTTTGACCGGGCTTGGAGGGACTTGGGAGCTGACAGGAGCTGTACTTGTAGGAGCAGCCGTAGCAGCTGTATTTGTAGCGGCACTGGTAGCTGCTGCTGCCGCAGCTGCTTCTTGAACAGCTGTCGCAGCAACAGCAGCTGCGGCTTGGCTTCTTTTTCTTCCATCTCCTCGCTTATTAATAATAATAATCATTAATTATAAATTAATTATCAAAGATAAACAAAGATCAAAACGTTGGTGTTATTTCCTTAAATGTCGACATTTTACTCAACAGTTTTAAGAATCTCATAGTAATTCTAATTTTTTAAATTAATTAATGGATGTGTAAAAAAATCTGTGTCTAGTGAACAGTCTACTGTCTAGTGTCTATGTACTGTCTACTATCTAGTGTCCTGTCTACTGTCTAGTGTACTGTCTATAGTCTAGTGTATTGTCTACTGTCTAGTGTACTGTCTACTGTCTAGTGTACTGCCTACTGTCTAGTGTACTGTCTACTGTCTAGTATACTGTCTACTGTCTAGTGTACTGTCTACTGTCTAGTGTACTGTCTACTGTCTAGTGTACTGTCTACTGTCTAGTGTACTGTCTACTGTCTAGAGTACTGTCTACTATCTAGTGTACTGTCCACTGTCTAGTGTACTGCCTACTGTCTAGTGTACTGCCTACTGTCTAGTGTACTGCCTACTGTCTAGTGTACTGTCTACTGTCTACAATTTTGTGTACTGTCTAGTGTATAGTGTACTGTCTACGGTCTAGTGTACCATATAATATGTAGTGTCTAGGGTACTGTCTACTGTCTACAATCTAGTGTACTGTCTAGTGCATAGTTAACTGTCCAGTATATAGTGTACTGTCTAGTGTATAGTGTACAGTGTACTGTCTACTGTCTACTGTCTAGTGTACTGTATCGTGTCTAATGTACTTTCTAATGTACTGTCTAATGTACTGTTTACCTGCTGCATAGGTTTACTGGTAAGCTTTGCTTTAAGCTGGGCCTGGGTGGGAGGTTGGTAAACAAGAATCTTTGTCACATTTCCAACCTAATCAATCAATTAATCAATCAATCAATCCTTCGATTTATCGATTCATCAGTTCATCAATTCATCAATTTATCAATTTATCAATTTATCAACTCAATAAAATTCATCGATTTATGAATTCATCGATTCATCTCAATTCATCTCAATTCATCTCAATTCATCTCAATTCATCTCAATTCATCTCAATTCATCTCAATTCATCTCAATTCATCTCAATTCATCTCAATTCATCTCAATTCATCAATTTATCAATTTATCAACTTATCAATTCATTAATTTATCAATTAATCAATTAATCAATTTATCAATTCATCATTTCATCAAATCATTCATTCATCGATTCATAAAATTATTAATTCATCAAATCATCAACTCAAAGAAATTCATCGATTTATCAATTCATCATTTCATAAATTCGTTTTTTTATCTTTTCCTCTGTATGCTACTAATTAATCGTTAATTTATCCACTCATTCATAATCAATAATCAATATATTACAATATCAATCTATTACTCAATTCATCTACCAATATAAAAGGTGCAAAATATTGCAAAAAATACTTTTTCTCCTTTGCATTTAATGCAATTTTCTTTATAAGAAAACACTTTTTGAATGAAGCAATGGTATAATAATGTGCAGTAATATAAAATCAATTAGTGTAGGAAGATAATTCAGGGTGTCTAAAAAACGCTCTACAGGGTACCATGGTTCAATTTTAAATCTATGGAACATTTCTATTTGATTGACGTCAATTATAGGTATGTAGCACAAATTTTGAGTTAGCAATAACAGTTTGAAACTTGACATTTTTTAATTGAACCATGGCGAATGCTCCAGCATCCTAAAGATAATTCTTTAGAGACACCCCGTAGTAATATTATAATAACAATTAACAATATCAATAACATTTCTGTTCTGTGAAAATGAAAAATGCTAACCAAGGTTTTTCAACATAATATTTTGTTCCGTGTAGGATCAAAGAGATGAAAAAAATATTTAAAAATAAAATTTTAATCCTTTAAAGGGACTGTAAGCGTAATTTCAATTGACCCCCCACCCCCCCTTTCTTGTGTCCTGTTAGACTCACTACGGTACCCTTTAAATCATTATCTGATAAAGAATAAAAGAGATATCTAAATGAAGCAAATGAATCTATGATATAGAAAAATTCAAAAAATAAAGGAAATTACTAGAATTCAACATCTTGAAAGAAAAAAAAACACTCTGTTCCAAAATGTTACTGAGAAGGTTTAAAATTGATGTGAATCGTACATGCCAATCTTATTTTTTTTTAAACTCTTCTATTTCCATTGTGAACATGTTCTCTTTGTGTACATCGTAAAACAAAACAAACAAACAAACAAACAAAAAACATTTCGTAGATTTTCAAAATTTTCAAAAATCGAATTTTGATGAAGACAAATTTTTAAAATTTCAATCTTTCATAAACCTTCTCTGGGGTCCCTAGATGTCCCACAAAAAATTTGGGCCCGATCGGTTCAGCCGTTTTGACGTTTATTGGATACAAACAGACAAACCAAATTTATATATAGATTGGAGTATCCCTTGAAATAACGCCTGTATTGCCTTTAAACAAAATAAACAGAAGTCTCACCGCTTTCGTTCGTCCTTCTCTAAATACTAGTTTCTGTCCTTCCTTCAGGTATTCAGGATGCTTCACAAACCTTAAACAGACAATATTAAAGGTAGAGTCCGTCCTTCTCTAAATACTAGTTTCTGTCCTTCCTTCAGGTATTCAGGTAGCTTCACAAACCTTAAACAAACAATATTAAAGGGAGAGTTCGCGAAAAATAAAAGGAGATAAATGATTTAAAATTTTATCGAAATCGATCGGTACTAGTTTTACTTCTGTATGTTGCGAAAAAGGATAAAACGACTCAAATATGAGCCATATATAAATAAATGTGTGCTATATATGGCCCAACGGCTGGACCGAATTATCTGCATATTCTTTAGGGAATCCAAGAGTATCCCGGGGGTAACATAGGAAAAAAATTATCTAATTCTTTTCTTCAAAATTAAATTTTATTTTCAATTTTTTTTTTTATTTTACGGACAATGCCGGGCACTCAATTCACAAAATTGTCGACGAGTAAAGGGACGGGCAGCGTTTTAAAAGTCTAGTTAAAAAATACCTAAATAGAACTTGGGCTTTATCTCCTGTTCTGAGGCAGTCTGCCGACATTCTTATAATTGAAGCAGTCTGCCTTATAGACCCACAGTGTACCATAGCCTAATCAAATATAATCAAATATAATCAAATCAAATCAAATCAAATCAAATCAAACTAAATCAAATCAAATCAAATCAAATCAAAATGAAATGAAATGAAATGAAATGAATTCATTCATACAGGATGAAAGGTCAAGTTACTTTAACAAATAAGGATTTAAATTTTTTTTAAACAACCATTTTCATGCATAAATACACCCGACCGTTTTCTGCTTCAAAGCATTTGGTTCGTTAAAGAGAAGAAAAAAACAATTTTTAATGTCATAATTAAACTGTAATCGGTCCTTTAAATCGAAACAATTATGAATTTTTTTAACAATATATATTAACGGGGGTGATGCAACCGTACACACATTTATCTTGTATCTGGTTGATATATTGGTTGGATGATGCGACTTACACCTATATACCTGGTATCTGGTTGATATATTGGTGGGATGATGCAACTTTACATCTGTATACCTGGTATCTGGTTGATATATTGGAGGGATGATGCAACTTTACATCTGTATACCTGGTATCTGGTTGATATATTGGAGGGATGATGCAACTTTACATCTGTATACCTGGTATCTGGTTGATATATTGGTAGGATGATGCCACTTTACATCTGTATACCTGGTATCTGGTTGATATATTGGTAGGATGATGCAACTTTACATCTGTATACCTGGTATCTGGTTGATATATTGGTAGGATGATGCAACTTTACATCTGTATACCTGGTATCTGGTTGATATATTGGAGGGATGATGCAACTTTACATCTTTATACCTGGTATCTGGTTGATATATTGGTAGGATGATGCAACTTTACATCTGTATACCTGGTATCTGGTTGATATATTGGTAGGATGATGCAAATTTACATCTGTATACCTGGTATCTGGTTGATATAGTGGTGGGATGATGCAACTTTACATCTGTATACCTGGTATCTGGTTGATATATGGGTGGGATGGTGCAACTTTACATCTGTATACCTGGTATCTGGTTGATATGGTGGTGGGATGATGCAACACTAATATTTCTCCCTCAAACTCCCAACAACATTGAGGATTTACTGCCGGAGATACCATTACCATTCCCTGTAGAGAAACAGATTTAAAGGAGTGCAGACGTATAAATATCAAGGAAACCTCCATTTCTTAAGTGGCAGACCAATTCACAACGGTACCCTATACACCTTTTCAGGATTAATTTCGTAATTTTTCTCCTTGAAACCGTTTTAAATCGGACATAGTCCGAATTTAATGAATTTGAGCCGAGTCTCAAATCCGCCAAAAACCGGTTTCAATTTAAGCAGTCGGGTTTAATCTTGAAGCATTGAATACCATTTTAAGTGGAACAAATCATATTTGAGCCGCGTCTCAAATTTAAGCCACTGCTCAAATTCTTTAAACTCGACCTCATGTCACTTTATTAATGGAGGGTCACTTATACGTCTCAAGTTACATTAAAAACTAATTTTGCAAAACTGTGTGCAAGAAAGAAAAGGCAAGTTATGACGAATAATTAATTTAACAATTAATTTCAATAGTAAATTTTCTGTTTTTGCTATATATTCTTTCGCAGTGCTCTGGATCCATTTCATTTTGATCCTGGTCCTGATCCAATCTGAAATAATGAATCCGGATCCGGGACATTAACATTCCTTAAAGGTTAAACAAAATTTCGATAAAGAAAAAAATATTATGGTTTTTTTTAAATTGTTATGTTGAAATTTGAGGGACCATTAAGAGATTAGGAAGTTGCTAATAATATCATTTACCAGATGAGATTTGTGTTTTGAAGTTTCCCCCAACTTTTAAAATCAAATCAAATCAAATCAAATCAAATCAAATCAAATCAAATCAAATCAAATCGAATCAAATGAAATCAAATCATATCAAATGAAATCAAATGAAATCAAATCAAATGAAATCAAATCAAATCAAATCAAATCAAGTCAAATCAAATCAAATCAGGATCTCAGGGTGCTCTCCTTCCATGTCCCAAACCAGAAGTGAATAATACTAAATCAGGTCTGGAGAAAGGTCTTATAGCCTGTAGACAGTATGATTTTTTATTTGCTTTTGGTGTAAGTAATGCTTTTTTAACAATCTCTTATGTCCTTCTAAACCGGTTGAAAATTAAAGATAAAATTTCTGTTAAACCACTACAGAGGACATCCGACATTGAAATAGAATTTAATCAATAACCAATCCCCGCCTCATAAAAAAAATCCTCAATTAAGGATGGATCCGTCCTTGAAATCTGGATCCAGCTGGATGAAAATAATAAAGGTCATAGTTTTAACTTTAATATTTTAAATTTCTCAAAATCTTCTCCTTTTAATACAAATATCATTCTGTTGAAACATTAGTTCAGATTGAGAATGGGTGGGCGTCAAATAAAATGTATTCTTGAAATATTAATTCCCTGGAAAAAAGAGTGAAAGGAACCTTATAAAAGGACTGTCATGTAAATATTACAATGCCCGACAAAACCTTAATCTGATCAAAAATGTGGAAGATACCGTTGTTTTTCTGACTTGACTAGTATTTATTTCTGTAAGTTTCTCAATCGGTTTTTATAAACATAACATTTGCAAGTCACTTACACAGAAAAACCGCAACTGAAAATGAACAGTTGAATGAAACAAAAACATTGATATCTAATTCACACAAGATCATACAAAGCTTTCAAGGGTACCGTTGTAAATCGTGCATTTCAATCTGTTCATGGATATGATCATTTGAAATTACACTTACAGTCCCTTTAAAGTATTTGCGAGAGAATACGAGGAGGGATGGAGAAAGTGGCAAGTTTTAAATTGGATTAAAAATTATTTTTAAATTAAGTTTTAAATTTTAACAAGGTTAGAATTAAATAAGTTTCTTAGTTGTTCGGTAAACTTTGAAAATGTTATAATAAATCTTGAATCATGTTGAGATTGGAAAACCTACACTTTTTTCTTAGTAAAACATAAAGGAAAAAAAACAAACATTTTTCCTAATTTTAATAATTTTAATTTCATGGCAAAGACAACTTGAATGAAATGATTCAATAAAAAATATTTCAAATAGATAAATTGTACTTTATAAATATAACGTCTTTTTAATCAGACAGACAAATAGAGATTACTACTTTATATATAGAGATGAACTAACCTTATATAGAATGGAAATATATATATATAGATGAACTAATCTGCTATAGAATGGATATATATATATATATATATATACATAGATGAACTAACCTGCTATAGAATGGATATATATATATATATAGATGAACTAACCTGCTATAGAATGGAAATATATATATATATAGATGAACTAACCTGCTATAGAATGGAAATGTCCCAGAGGATCAGGACCCATTAGTAAAGTATCATTGGTCCGTATAGTTCCTCTACAGAAATTTGTTTGACAAAATAATGAAAAATTACGTAAAAGACATGCTAAACGATATTATGAATTATATTAAACTTAATTCAGAAAAATGTCAAATAAATGGAAAATAATGTTTAAAAACATTTAAATTCATGAATTGTAAAAATAATTAAAAACTTTTCAGAAGAAAGAATTAAAATAATAGTTAAGCAATTAAAGAATAATGTTGAAAACATTACAAGTAATTCTAAAATTAATATTATAAAAAAGAAAAAATGATTTAAAAATTATTTGGAATTTAATATCAGAGGTTCTAATAAAAAACTATATTAAAAAATAAAAGATATTATCGATAGTAATATTAAGCGTCATATTGGGGAAAAACACCAAATTATATTTTTTGGTGTTCCCGAGATGCAGATGACAAAGGAGTTACGTGCATGCCGCTTTGAATTACAAGACAGAAAGAGAGAGAGAGCCTGTTCTAGTCCTGGCGCTCGGCCCCCTACGCGCATGCCGCTTTGAATTAAAAGACAGAAAGAGAGAGAGAGCCTGTTCTAGTCCTGGCACTCGGCCCCCTAGCCTGTCCTAGCCGCAGCAGTCAGTTCAGAAAGTGTCCTAACCCAACCTAACCCTAAAATATATAATAATCTCTCGCTTTCTTGTAATTCAACGCGGCAAGCGCGCGTAACTCCAGAGGCAACTGTTCCAAGTAGTGTTCCAGAGACAACTGTTCCAACTTGGGGTCAAGAGACAACTGTTCCAAGTAGTGTTCCAGAGACGACTGTTCCAACTTACTTGAAGCATGTTCCAGAAACTACAGTTCCAACACCAGGAACAGAATAGGTATCATCTATCTGGAACTCAGCTGGAGAATTGTCTAAAAACAGCGATCATTTATATTCAAAGTGATCATTTACATATCATTTACTATTCACTGCAATTATTAACATTAACGGCTATCAAAAACAAACACAACTATCAATTACCTTCATAGCAATCATTTAAATTCACAGCTATCATTTACATTAACAGCGCTCATATACATTCGCAGCGATTATTTACATTCACAGTGATCATTCACATTCACGGCGATCATTTAAGATCATAGCGATCATTAACATTCACAACGCTCATAAACATTCATCGCGATTATTTACATTAACAGCGATCATTACCTTCACAGCGATCATTTACCTCCACAGCGATCATTAATATTAACAGCGCTCATTTACATTCACAGCGATTATTTACATTCACAGCTATCAAATACATTCACAGCGATCATTTACATTCACAGTGATCATTTACCTTCACATCGATCATTCACATTCACATCGATCATTTGCATTCACATCGATCCTTTACATTCACAGCGATCATTTACATTTGCAATAATCAAATACATTCATAGCGATTATTTACATTTATAGTGATCATTTACATTCATAAGGATTATGTACATTCACAGCGATCATTTACATTTATAGCAATTATTCACATTTTCGGCGATCATTTATATTCACATAGATTACTTACATTCACAGAGCTCATTTAAAATAATAGCAATCATTTACCTTAACAGCGATTATTTACATTTGCAACGATCAAATACATTCATAGCGATCATTCACATTCTTAGTAATAATTTACATTCTCAGCGATCATTTATATTCACGGCGATTATATAAATTCACAACAATCATTTACATTCACAACAATCATTTATTCAGTCATCCTTCATATACACAACGCGCGATCATTTCCACTTTTTAAAACATAATTCAGGAATCGAAATACAGTTTAAAAACTTTCATATCAGAATCTTCTGAAGAAATATGATTTAAATCAAAAATAAACGCTTCTTAAGAAATTGGTTTTGGTTGAATGACTTGAATTAATTTTTATTTATAGGAAATAATTTCGAAAACATTTCTCAATAAAAACAAACATATTGACGTGGTGTTAAAATTAACTTTTGAAACATTTTAAATTCTTTCTGAATTTTTATTTATTTACAGTGATACATTTTTCATTCATAAGTAAAGAAAAGCAAATATTTCTTTAAAAATAATTCTTTCTTAAAGGGAGTGTTCGCGAAAAATGAAAGGGGGTATAGGCTTAATGCGATAAAAAAGCGCTTTTGATCGCTTCTAATCTTACTTCTAGCTGTTGCGTCTATAAGGAGAAAATTGTTAAAAACGACTAAAACCGAAGAACGTAGTGTCTATACAAATTCAGAAAGATTCAACATACGACTTAGACCGTAAAAGAATCTATTTAATTTCAAACAAATCATTCAGATATTACAACCTATAGTCATCGATTATCTTTCGCCACATTTGTATATAGTTGATTTTTCATAATATGTTTTGATTTTATTTTTTAAAATAATATTTAGCTTACAACTTGTTTTAGAACATTCCTGGAAAATATTAAAATGTCTTCTTCATTACCAAAAATCCTCGAAACAGGAATAAATGTTATTATAAGTAACTCTCAGATCATAACAATTAAAACATATTATGAAAAATCAACTATTATACAAATGTTGCGAAAGATAATCGATGACTATGGGTTGTAATATCTGAATGATTTGTTTAAAATTAAATAGATTCTTTTACGGTCTAAGTCGTACGTTGCATCTAGTTGAATTTGTATAGACACTACGTTCTTCGGTATTAGTCGTTTTTAACAATTTTCTCCTTATAGACGCAACAGATATAAGTAAGACTAGTAGCGATTAAAGGCGCTTTTTATCGCATTAAGCCTATACCCCCTTTTATTTTTCGCGAACACTCCCTTTAATAATGATAACCAGTCATAAAACTTAATCTCTGAATGCTGCTTTGATGAAAAATCTAAAAATCTACAAAAAGTTGTCCACGTTTTTATTTTTCAAAGTTCTAAACCCATCCCTTATACCCTTCGAGCTATTTATTTATTTTTTATTCTTTTTTGTCTAAACCAAATATTTCCCCCACTTTGTTATACTCATAAACTTATTCGTAAAAAATGTTAGTTCATTAAATATTTGGAAAATTTGAATTCTTTTCTTTAGTAGGCTTATGCTTTTAAATGGACTATAAAGACGTAATTTCAAATGACTTTCCATTTACAGACAAAATGGCTCGATTCACAACGGCACCTTTAACAGCTTTGTTCAGAATTTTCAACGTTATTTTACTGTTGTGCCTTTAACTTTTTAATAATAAACTAAAATCAAATTTCGAAAAATATTTGAAACTATAAAATTGGATTATACATAATTTATTTTTATTTTTTAATTTGAAATTGAAATGTAAATTCTGTTCATTACCAGCATGATGACAATGCCCAATTTACAACTTGAAAGCTTTTTCAGATCAAGCATGTATTAGATATCAATATTTTTGTTTCTTTAAACTGTTTATTTTCATTTGCGGTTACTCTGGGAAAGTTACTTGCGCCTTTCTTGTTTATTAGAAGCAATGGAGAAACTCACAGAAATTAACACTTTTTTAGTACTAGGCTTTAGGGCGCTTCGCGCCCATCTTCTCTTACAACTTTTACTTGTGGCTTTATCTGTGAGCATCTTCTTATTGTTCAGTATAAAAATAATTTTTTAAAAAAAATTTGCGGATTTCATAATATTTTTTTCGCGCATTTTCAAAATTTTACAAAATTAAATATTTTAAGATAAAAATGTTTTAAGATTACATATTTAAAGTCTGATTGGCCATAAACCTTCCCCGGGGCCACGTACGTGAGGTCCCAGACAAAATTTGACGTTTATTGGATACAAACAAACAGACAGACAAGCTAAATTTATATATAGAAGGTTGTACACAATTTTAATAAGATTTTTTTCAAGGACCCTTGTGAAATGTGTATCGAGCAATGTCATCTTTGCTCGACGGGTAACTTCAATCCTGAGCGGGCTGATGGGTTGGAAAAGGGCCGTTATCTAAGATTTTTTCAAAATTTTAATTATTATATTACAGATCATAAGAGAAATTTGTGCTAGAACGTTGGTTAAATTTACGTATGACTTAAACAATAAAAACATGTGATTTAGGGTTGCATTGATAAACGTGACTGAAAAGAGAAGAAAATTTATACGAACTTTTGTCAACAAATTTCCGGATATTCTATGAAAAGTTTTTAATAAAGATTTGAGCTTACTTTGTAATAAAAAATAATTGCTTTTCAATATTGTTCTAAAAAATTTTTCATTTTTTTATAAAAGAAGTTTTTCTCACGTTTCATTTTTTTCTGAGCAAACGAAGTGTAGTGTGCTATTTATTAATACAGAATGTTACATAACTCATTAAATATTGGAGATAATTGGAAACATTTGATATGGTTTAATTGAATTATTGAATTGATTGAATTAATTGAATTGAGTTAATTAATGAACTCCAGGGTGTTGCATATGAAATAAAACCTGATCTTATTATTTTGACTGAAACCTGGTGCAATCCTTCTATAACTAACACCCTGCTCAACATACCTGGATACTTTATAGATCCTACCCTGAGAATAGACCGCAGTGACACCAATGGTGGAAGGGGTGGTGGTATACTCATATATGTAAGAAATGGACTCACTATTTTATCTCATAACCAACCAAACTCAACATTTAACCAATATTGTTATTTTACCGTAAAGTCTGCTGATAGTGAAATCAATCTATTATGTATCTATAGATCTCCAAATTCTTTGGATATCAACAATGAAAAACTATGTGAACTTCTGAAGCTAATTAAACCCAACACTGTAATAATTGGTGACTTCAATTACCCAAATATAAACTGGAAAAATCTAACCTCAGATCAAAAGAGTGCTAGCTTTGTAGAGGCTGCACAAGACATGCTATTGGAACAGGTAATTGAATTCTCTACTCACATTAAAGGAAACATTTTAGACCTTATCCTTACTAATATCCCAGAAAAACTCATTAATGTAGAAGAGATTGGAAGACTAGGAAAAAGCGACCATTGCCTGATTTATTTGGAGTTATTGTTCAAATGTAATGAAACCCATAATCATGAGACCTACTTCAAATGGAATAAGGGTGATTATAATGCTATTAACCGGGACCTTGCTCAAGTAGATTGGAACATAGAGTTTGATGGATGTGATACCTATGGATCCTGGAATATATTTAAAGATAAGCTTAATACTCTGGTCAACACCTTTATACCAAAACAAACCAAGAAATCCAACTCAAAACCAAGATGGATGACTAGAACTATCCTAAGAAACATTAACAAAAAAAGGAGACTTTGGAAAAGTTACAAGATGCACAGAGACAATGAAACTTATATAGAGTACAAGAAATGCGAAAAACAAGTACAAAATTCTATCAGAAATGCAAAAAGAAATCTTGAAAAAAAATTAGCAAATAATAGCAGGAACAGCAGAGCTTTTAACTCTTATGTTAAATCAAGATCAAAAGACAAATCAGGAGTTGGACCACTGATTAATGATCAGGGCCAAGTCATTTCTGAAAGTATTGATATGGCTGAAATCCTGAACAAGTCCTTCAGTACTGTGTACACTAAAGAAGATATACAAAACATACCCATAATGAATAGACTTCCCTGCACCTCAACCCTCGACAATGTTACATTTACTCACACAAACCTAGAAGATACCATTCTTCCAGCAGATGATCATTAGTTCCTAAAAAAATCCTCTACATATTCCTAGATGGAACACTGAGGATCAACACACAAGTATCAAGTATCAAGTTTAAAAGCTAAAGCTCTATATTCCTGTTATTTCAAGGTATTATTCAGTTATTCCTAGGCCTCATCATTTTTATGTTACAATTACTTCTTTAAGTATAAGTCAAAAAACGATTTCCAGGATTTTTAAGAATTTGGTTTTTTGTTTTATTTGAAAATGTGTTCATGAATTATGAAAAAATGGCCGATTATCATATTTTTTTTAAATAAGCTGTTGGTCCAAGGTTAGTTTTTAAGCAAAAATCTTGGATCAGCTATAATTATTTTTTTATCTAACCCTTCTGGGCAAAAATTTGCCAACTTGCTTAATTTATTAGATGTCTGACTTATACTCAAAGCCGTGGTTGTAACAAAAAAAGTATAAGGCCTAGAAAGAAAAATGTAAACCTTGAAATCACTGGAATAAAGAGCTTTCCAAATGAAAAATTGTTCCCTCAGCACTCAGCACCCCAATACCCATACTGCAAAGTTTTTTTGGACACCCTGTATAAGCGTTTCATTAGGATGATTTATCCGTTATTGCTAAAGTGATACTACATAAAGAACAGTTTTCAAGCACAAAAACATTGATATCAAATTCATAGATACATTATTAAGGGTACAGTTGTAAGTCGGACATGCCTTGAAATAACGTTTATAGACCCATTAAGGTGCCTCTGATTATCAATTTCCCACCTGTATTCGGACTTCTTGTGGACAGGAGATTCAGAAACATTTTCAGAAACGGCAGGTTTTCACCCGTAACATTGGAAACCTATAATTAAAAGTCGTCGTTGTAGCGACCAGATATCGTCTTCAACAGAAAGAGGAAATGCGGGAAAAATAAAACATAAATTCCCGTTTTCATCCAGTAGTTACTATTTCTTAACCATGTGTAGACGTGCTCCATATTAATATAGAGATGCTAAAATCGATGGATTTCAGGGGATTTTCAGGCCCAAACGGGTGCTGACCCCCCACTGGAAAAAAAAATTAAGCCCCCCCCCTGGACACATTCCTGACTACGCTCCTGTTTATAATTATCAAATCATGTCTTTCATGCTTTCCTAAAAACATCTTCCCATCCGTAACATCTACATTTGAATTGGACTGGTTTGTCTGTCTCTTTGTATCTAACACACGTCAAAACGGCTGAGCCGATCAGGCCCAATTTTTAAAGCAACTCATACGATCAAAGGAAAGGTTTATGAACGGTCAAAAGTTACAAATTTTTCCGGTAATTTCGTTTTTAACAACTTTTTTAAAGAAATCTATCAATCTACACCTGATGACCAATTGCCAGTCTTGAGGGAGAACAAATTTACCTGGAAAATTGGACAGAGACGTTCGGAGACAAAGTTGGTGGCAGAGATCACAACATCGTCAGCAGTCTTTACCATCACAGGAACCTTTAAAGGGACTGTTAAGGTTTATCAATGTGGCCCCTCGTTCACCCATTGCATTTAAAACTTCTAGAAAAACAGTGAGCACGGAAATTGACGCAATATTACTTAGAAAATTTTAAAACGAAAAAGGGATGAATAAAGGGAACCCTCAACTAATTTTAACATTAATGAAGTAAACATCAGCAGTCATCATTATTACCAGAACCTTTAAAAGGATTGTTAACGGTAATCTATGTGGACATATAAATCTTGACATTACACATTCTACAGCAAAAAAAATCTGCAGAAAAAATCCTGATAGAAATATGAAATACTCAATTATTTTAAACAGACAGGATTACCCACAATAGATGAGACTTCAGAGACGACTGTACTGAATTTACACTGTTTCTTATATTTATAACTCCCTGCAACTGTTAACAGGCATTGCTTTTGCGAAATCATTAAATTAGCCCTTTAAAGACTAAATTTAAAGGGAGAGACCGGCTAGACATGGTAGTTGAGCTGAAAGTATCGTAGACATTAGTATAAAATGAATCCTAAAGTTATCTCTACAATACTTCACTTTTAGCTCAACTATCATGTCTAGCAGGTCTCTCATCTAAGGCAAAAGATTTTATATTCAACCTAGAAATCGTAATATTTTGAACTTTTTCAGGTCGTCTTTACATGCTCATTTTTTGTGGGTAACCCTGTACAATTTACATGCAAAATTCATCAATAAAATAATAAATAATACGATGATGCACAAACGTATTACATCTGTTTGTTTTTATGTTTGTGTGCTTGATCATAACTTAGAAACCAATTGACCGACCACTTTGCTTCAATCTTTGATTGGGGAGCTGGTTTAACAAATTCTTAGCTGAGAAAGTTTAGTTTTCAGGCAAAGCCGTGTTCCCAGGCTAGTGCAGTTTAACCCACAACTTCGGAGTCATCGAAAGAATTTAGAACATGTCGTCTTTACAGATTTCAATGGGTTTTATACTTAAATACATAAATCTCAGTATTTGTAAAAATAAAAAAATAGCCATGAAATATGCAGGAATAGTTTAATAGAGCTCCATATAGTTATTCAATTAAAAAACTAAATATTTGCAGCATTCCAATATCCCTAGGTTTAGAAGACGACATTTTATTAATTCTTACGATGTCTCCGAAGTTCTGGGTAAATCAATATAACAGGACTCTATTCACCTTTCTGCATCCCGGAGATTTAAGGATTTTAACTAAAAGTTTCAAGGTTTCCTGCAGTACGTTAGGAGGACTCATGTCTATCTTTGTAACAACAACAAACACCGGTACACTAAGATATAAACAAATATAAACTTCGGACCACCGGCGGATTAATGGAGGCATGCCCCCTGGAAAATGGGGGACGGCCCAAAATTAGGGTGAGCCCCCCCCCCCTAGTCCTGCTCTCGTTAGGGCAGCATCTTGCTTCTTCAACTATTCAATTTAGAATTCTCAGTCAAAATATTGTTTAGCTAGTTGATATTTTCTTTCAAGGAGATATGAAATAGGGCAGGGGGTCATCTCGAGATTTTGTAGCACCCACCCCCTCTCCCCCAACTTTAAGTAGCATTTGTGATCCAAGTTTTGTGATCCTTAATTAGACTAAAATGTTATTCGATGATTATCAACCAATAATCTCCATGAAGCAAAACAAAACTTTACCTAAGAGCCAGTGCTAATCCAAGATGCTCTTTCGTCATGCCGACAATGCCGGCATTAGCTCCAACCATCAGCATGCCAAAATCCGGGGCATGCCCAGTCATTCCAAATACTGAAAACAAAGCAAAGAAGAACATTGAACATTTCGACGATTACAACATGTCTAAATAAGCGACTAAAAGTACATATTCTCATTCCCGTAACGAGGGAGAGTGGCATGCCCCCCCAGGAAAATTTGAAGGTCTGTAACGGATGTAACCCACGATTTTAAGATTTTACAGACTGCTTATCCGCTAGTAAATGTGATATTTACCACACCATGTTCCATTGTGTACAACTGGAGTACGCGACCAATAAACATACATCCGTATTCAGGGATATTAAAGGATCCAGCTTTGGAAAGAAATACAAAATCTTCAAAAAAAGACTGAATTCATAAACTTTATGTTTCTTGTTTAAATTGGAGTATTTCTTTAAAAGTTGTAAAACTGAACCTCTGAATGGGTGTTGGATTTAACAAGTAGCCTCTAGATGGCAGTCGAAAACCCCTTCGTGTAAAAGTAGCATGGCGTGCCGGGGCAACCATAGGCCTGCTAGGCTATCCTTTGAGAGCGTATGAGCAGTCTGTGTTAGTCTGTGCTTTAAACCTTTGACCGGGGAAAAATATGATGATATCCCTATTGCTTCTCTCTGAAAATGATCAGTTGCATTTTCTTCGTAACCGGGAAAACGTTATTTATTTCAAGCAAAACAGACTCCTGCTCATTGTTAATCACATAAAGTTTAGATGGTTCCTTTGTGAATCTGTCGTGTATTTCTTTATATAAATCTATATTTATTTATATATCTATCGGGGGTAGGGTGAAAAATAGAATAAAATATGTCGATACTTTACCTGTAGTTTTCAGGTATTTCTCGTGTCCAGCCAAATCTATGAAGGTTATAACTTTTGATGACTCCTCACAAACCTATTAAAAAGAAATATCTTGAAAGTATTTCTTAAAAATAAACTATTTTTATGCTACTAATATCACTGTTAGAGAGTTAAAAGATGATATTTCAAATTAAAGTGATTTCATCCCTGTAAAAACCATGAAACTTAAAAAAAGATGTTTCTCTAGAAGTTAACTTTCAAACCCACACATAAAAACCTATGTTCATAAATTTCACATTTGGAATCAATACTAGCTGGAGTGCCCGACGTTGCCCGTGGAATTAAAAATTTGAAGAAAAAAATGTTGATTTTTTTGTAGCCCATGTTAAACCCGGATCCCTGGGTTCCCTATTAAAAGTTCAGCCCAATTGGTCCAGCCGTTTGGCCAGCTATAGAGAACATATATACGAATGTCTTGTTTTATTATATAGATATAAATGTATGATTATATATCAATAAAGTGATCTCTGTTTGGGTGTTTGTTTGTTTGTTTTTCCGATCATAACTCAAGAAACTATTATTGACCGATTTGCCTCACATTTTGATTGGGGAGCTTGAGAGAACTACGGATATTTTATATGCTTAGGTTTAAGATTCTAAGATGAGTGAGTCTGCTTTTATATTAAAAAATAACGAATACAGCAATTTAAGACCAAGCACAGATAAACGGCGGGCGCAAAATATGAGTAATCAGGGCAACGTCGAGTGCTCCAACTTGTTTTATATATTTAGATTATCTTAGATTGTAGGAAACAAACACAAATAAAAACAAGTTTTTCACCTCAGACAGATGATTATTACTTTAAAATTATTTTTTTTCTCCTTGTGCTTAGGCAGGGGTGTATATATTTTTCAGAATTACCCCCCCCCTCCCATGGGGAGGAGTGGGTGGAGATTTTTGATAATTTGGGAGAAAAAAAAGAAAAATTGGACATCATTAGGTAATTTTTTAATACTCTTTGATACTTTTTACCCAATAATTTTATTTTTTTCCCACATTCAGCGAATAAAACCATCATAAAAAGCATAAATAAATTCTGGGGGAGTAAAATTTCAAAAAAAGGGGGAGGGAAGAAAAATGAATTTACGAGAAAATATACACACCCCGGTACTTAGGTCCAGATCCAATGGATCTGCAACAATTTGGCATCCTGAACCCCGATCCGGATACAGAATCCAGATCCGGGTACAGAATTCATATCCGGATATAGAATCCAGATCCGGATACAGACTCCAAATCTGGATACAGAATCCGGATCCGCATCAAAATTAAATTAATACTATGCACTAATTTATCCTTTGTCACCTATATACTATAATTCAGTAAATAAAACGGAACTTGAAGAAAAATAATTTTTAAATAGAGGGGGAGTGTGTTTTTACCCACAAAAATAAAAGATGAGAAAATTTTAAGAAATCGTAAAAAAATACAATTTATATTTTCTGGTCTTAAAATTTTCCACGATTAAAGATGAATAGTTTTTAATATCATATTATTTTCTTGTGAAAAGGAATTCTTTTTATCTAAAAAGAACGCAATAAGCAAAAACCTTAAAAATTCGCTTCCAGGAAATTCAGTATTTAAGAAATTCCCCAATAAGTTATTTATTTTTCTGCAAAAAGATCATTTAAAAAAACATTTCCCCCTTTAAAAAAATTATTTTTCCTCCAAAATTAATTTTTTATTTTGTCACCCATTGATCATTTATTTCCCCCCAAAAGTTCCTTTTCAGTAATAAAAACCTACCAAAATCTGTTTCCTTCCCTTCCTTCATAGATTTTAATTTATAAAAAGACGACATTTGTTTCTCGGATAATTTTAGTTCAATCCACATAAAAAAAGTTTTCAGCACAAATGAATACTAAGTCAAAATAAAATCATAGAAACTAATTTGAACCGAAATTATGAACACATATTAGTAAAAGAACTGCAAGGGGTCCATATTGTCTTGAAAGAATATCCCCTCCCTTAATTAAAAAATAAAAATTTTAAAAGTTATTTTTTAATACTTTTTCCCAAACTTTAATTATTGTCACAATTCAGCGAATAAAACTCTACAAAATTGATTTTTAAAAAAAGGGGGGGTTTCAGGAAAATAAACACCCCTAAACTCCTACCTTGATCCAGTCTAAGGAACCATGATCGGGTTTATTCACAACTTTTCCTTGGGAGTCAAACCCGAGAATATCATTTCCAACACTAGAAGTCCTGAACAATATTCCAGATAGATTTTAAGGGACTGTAAGCAATATTTTAAGGGACTGTAAGCATAATTTCAAGGGACCCTCCATACAAAAATACCAATGCCTGATTCACAACCGTAGCCTTGATGCGTAAGATAACATTTTTTCTAACTCAAAGTGTTCAATTTCTGTGAACAACATTTTTTCTAACTCAAAGTGTTCAATTTCTGTGAACAACATTTTTTCTAACTCAACGTGTTCAATTTCTGTGAACTTTTCCATTGTTTTTTTTAAGCAACAAATGCGGAAGTAGAAAACTCACAAATGAACAAAAACAGTTTTAACAAAAAAAAAATATGCATTTCTAATTCATGCTTGATCAGACAAATCTTTAAAGGGTACCGTTGTAAATCGGGCATTGCCATCGTTGCATGGAGGGTCACTTGAAATAAGATTTACAGTCCCTGTCAAGGACGGCGTCCATGTGCTTCAGGGGTACTTTTCATTTCAAGAGTTAATGCCCGATTCACAATAATATCCTTCTAAAAATGAAGAAGATATCGCTCATGTTTCTATTTTTAAGATTTTCATTCCGACCATTTCCTTCTCTGCCTCTCCTGCATGAATCCTTAAGTCACCTTTTTTTAGAAACTGTAGAATTATAATTTTTAGATAGAATAGCACTTTTACTTTCATAAAAAGAAATATTTAGAGTGCAGTTGAGGGTCATATTCCCAGCACTACTGAAGTGGAGATAATTCTTTAAAATATATACCCCTAGATAAATTATCGAAGAATTATACCTCCCAGTTTCTGCCTCATGTTTATGCCGGAAAAGTTTCTGACGAGCAAAACCTCTGAAAATATAGAATTAAAACAAAAGCCAAACACAAAATACAAACTTAAATTACAAAACATTACCTAAAAGGTTTTTTTAAACCATGGCTATGAATAAACTCTTTTATTTCTTGTCTACAGTCTCTTAAAAACTATTGTTTTCAGCTATGCTTGACTGACCTGCCGTTATCCAGCTCTCCGTGGGTCAACACACCTAGTAGAGTACTCTTACCAGCATCGACATTTCCTACCACAGCCACCCTTCGCAAAATAAATCAAATGCAATTAATTCAAGAAGAAAGGGATTGTCTAATAGCTCCTGGGTCTAGTCAGGGTATGCCATCACAAGATCAATGACATATTTAACAAATAAACTGAACATAACACTTTGCCGCACTTAGATTTTTGACGCGCAGCACTGTAAAAAATAAGAACAATTATTTTCAACTTTCAGCTTTCCCACAAACCATGAAATTTAGAAGACGACATAATGGTCATCTTTGATCTTTGAAATAATTTGCAGCATACATTTTTCTAACTTTCATTTTTGTGCTTTAGAAATTACCAAAGATATGAAACATTTCGTTCAGATTTCGACAATTTTGGGATTATTAAATAAATTGAAATTTGAACGCAATCTTGAATGCAAATAAAATAAAGACCACATTTTAGAAATGCAAGGACTAGGAGAGTTTTGTGATTATTCTTTTGAGAAGTTACAGTGTAGTTTGATGAACAAATGCCGCAAAATATTTCAAAACGACCTTATTGTCGTCTTCTAACAGTCACGTTTTGTGGGACAACCTGTAGTTCCCCACTGATATTAATATGAATTATTAACTAATATCTGAACAATAAATGTCGAACCGAAATTTTATTTTCTACAATGCGGCTTCTAAGACAAAAAAACATATTTATTCAAAATCCCATCTTGAATTTTTTTTCCAAAACAAAAATATCGTTTTACTGTAAAAGCAAAAAAAGAAAGAGGAAATTTAATGATAAATCATAAAGTTTGAGTCTTATTTGTTCTGAACCTTAAAATCATACCCTTTGTCATACAAGTTTAGAGAAAAATGTGGTTTGTTGATATCTTTATTTTGTCGTAATTTTAAAATTTTAAATGACCTATGTCCGATACACAACGAAACCCTTTGACAGTCATAAATGTGGAAGAAATCGTTGTTTTTGAGGCTTGATCAGTGTTCTAATATTTTATCAAAAGCAAAAATGCGCTGGTCACTTTTAATAGAAATCAAAATTGAAAATAATCAATTTTCAAGAAGATGAATAATGAATATATTGTAGTATGTTGTAGGAACCTGATCTCCATAAAGTCCTTTGTGTCTGCTCTTCTCCTGATGAGGTTCACCACCGACTTCTTTCCGTTCTCCCCCACCTTCTCCCGTAGCCTAAATTAAACATTGTAGAGCAAATATAGTCTTACTTTAAGGAAGAAATCCGCCAATATCGTCTTCTTAGTCAAATAAAAACTTCGCCAATATAGTCTTCTTCGTCAAGGAATAAATCCATCAATATCGCCTAGACCTCGGTTAAGGTAAAATCCACCAATATCGTCTTCCTCACCAAGGGAGAAATCCACCAACAAGATGAAATACTTTAATATCTGCAAGTCAGAAATTTCGGATTCAGGAACCAGAGAAGACCTACTCATCTTCTTTTTTCACACTCGTTCTTCATTATGAATTTCTATACAGAAGCAATAATTGTACTTCTAAAAACCTGATTTTTTCCAAGATAATAAATAATAATATTATTTTCCATTTTTGATACTTTATGTTTCAAATAATTAATTAAAAAATTTCATTAAAACGTTTTCTTTTAGTCGAAACTTAATTGACATCAAATCAAGATAATATTCCTTTCATCATCCCAGATAGGTCAGAATATTTCTATCAAGTAAACTTAATCTTGAACGCTTGATCTCGATATCCAATTTGGGCACTTACAAATTTGAGAATTAATGCTTGATTCCTCAGATCGTAGGTCTGCATAAGATGAAGATCAATGCTTGATCCCCAGATTTATAAAATAATAGTTATAACTTCAGAGCTGGGAACTTTTGAATGGTGGATATCGGGATTAATTATTGATCCACTCTTTCTTAATCTCGAGATTAAATAATGCTTGTTCTCCTCTTGTTATCAATCTCTAGATGAATCAACCGATCGGGATTAAGGATATCACATTTTAAAGTTTTCAGCTCAGGTTCTTTATAAAAAGAAACTAGTAATAAAAAGGGCTACTTTTAAAAGTGTTATTAAAATACAGGGGTGTTTATTCAAAATATTATTTATCTTTATGATAGACAATTCAGTGCCCATTTTGATTTTTAGGGAAAATACAAAAAAAACTTAACGTTGTATTTTTTATTTCAAAGACAATCCCATTAAAGAAAATGAAGTCACCTGACGCAGTCTGAATCCAATATTCTGCTTATACTTTCCAGGGTGGCTTGAGACGCCTTGAAAAACACTTTTTAAAATCTTATTTAAAGGGACTGTATGCGTAATTTCCATGCGAAGATAGCAGGATGCCCGATTTACAAACGTACCCGAGAAACCTTAATCTGATCAAAAATGTGGAAGATACCTTAGTTTATCTGACTTATTTTGCTTCAGGTAAATTAACTAATTAGTTGAAATGAACTAATTATATTTGCGGTTCTCTATAAATGCCTCTTGGGGAATTATCGTGCAGAGACAAGGAATGAAATTGACAGAAGTGGGCAAAATAGTAACGTTAATCAATTGTGTAACGTTTTTAAACTGGGTTCAACTTGATAACTTTAAAGCAGTATTTAGGATCCGGATCCATTGGATCCACAATATTTTGATTTCCTGGATCCAGATCCGTAAAAATATACTGATCCGGATCCAAGGGGCAAAATATCAACAAAACTAAAAAAATGTTATACTCCCCAAACCCAAATTAAAACTGTTAATTTCCTAATCATTGGTCATAAAGTTATAGCATAAAAATAAGCGAAAAAAAAGAAGAAAAATAATTTGAAGACTCTTAAAACTAAATCATTTTAATTTTGTGGTTCTCTATACAAAGCCAGACGCGGATTTAAGGTGCAGAGACAAGGAATGAAATTGACAAAAAGTGGAAAAAAGGTTCTAGTGTGAATTTTTCACTTGAGATTTCGTTAATCCGTAATTTGCAAGATTAAAACTAAAAAACAGGGTTACTCAAGGTTATAATCCAAGGAAAGTTAACTGCATGTGTGTATACTCTGCGTACATATTGAAACCAGTTCTCTCTGGGCGGGATTTAAACAAGAATCAGTGTTTGTTTAATATACGAGGAGACAAGCATTGAATTTTAATAATTTTGATACTTCGCATTAATAGCTTCCTATGACCAGAATATTTTATTGATTTTTTATGCGAAAGATAAATTCCATGTCGGGCTTCGACATCCGTCTTGTGTTTACATTACCGCCTAGAGACAGTACACTGCAGTACAAAAGATGCGTACACCTATGAAATAACTTTCCTTGCATTTCAACCTTGGAGTTACCCACAAAGGATGAGATTGTACACTCAACCTGAAACTCTTATAAAGGTAAAATTAAATCTTATGCTTGAGAATTAGGCAGAGAGAAAACAATTTTACAGTTGCAGGGAATTATGAATATAAGGAAACAGGCAGTATAATTTCTCTGTAGTCTCATCCCAGGGGTGGATATTTTTCAGAATTGGGGCGGGGAAGCAATTTTTTTTTTTTTTACCCAAAAAATCATTTATTTTCCGCATTTCAACGGAAAACTCTAATTTTTTTTTGCGCTCTACAGTCTACACAATCATATAAGTTCTGGGGAAAAAAATGATTTTCTAAAGGTTTTTTTTAGGAAAATATACGCCCTTGGGGAAACCCTGTATATCTACCTCTAGATCCTCCTCTGGAAGACCTGTATCAGCATCATCTCCAACTCCGACCTGAACAATATCATCATTAAGCATTATTAATCCCTTGTGACAATGTTATTTTATTAACCCGGTGTCCTGCATGGAGAGCCTGTCCCATACGCGTTTTAACCATTTCAACGTAATGCTAGACATTAAAAGCAATTTTAAACCATTTAGAATTATTAGTGCATACAAAAATAATTGCAAAATTTCAAAAAAATGCCATTTCTTCGCTAATGTCGTCTTCCTTTTAAATTATCAAAAAATCATTATTTCTTTGAGAAATAGATAACTTCAAATGCGAATTCTCAATAAAAATACATTAACAAATATTGACAAGTATCGAAACATTGCTTCTGATGTCTAAAATTGTGTTGAAATGGTTAAATCACATAGGGCCGAGGTAGGCGCTACAATCTACATGCATGACACCGGGCCTGGTTTTGAAACACACAAGAACAAAAAAAAATTTATATGACGTTTCAAAAAATACAATATTTTCTATTAGCAAAATTTCCTTGATTTTTATTAATCTTTTTTTTCATTAAAGATTTATAATAAAAACATGATTCTCCCAACTCTATCTGAACAAGAAATCTTATCATTAAAAATTAATTATTTTATATTGTAGTTTTTCTAATAAGTGACTTTCGGATTTAATTCTCTAGAAATGGAGGAAATTATCTTGAAAACTGACAATATCTGCTATTATTAATAAGGAGTTTAAAATGGTAAATGTACAGGTACCTAGGTGAATCGAGTATTCCTCTCTTTATAAATGAAGAGTTTCTTGAGAAAAAAAAACAGTCCCTTTAAATGCATACCTCGAAAATAGTTTCTCCTCTCCCCTCCTCCATCAAGTTTCTGATTTTTGTCAAGATTAATTCATATTCATCCTCAGTCGGACTTACTAGAGCGGTGGACCTACAAGGATATCATTGTGAACAGTGCTTACTAGAGCGGTGGACCTACAAGGATATCATTGTGAACAGTGCTTAAAGGGAGTGACCGGCTATGTAAGGTAGTTGAACTGAGTATGCAGTGTTGTTGAAAGCTTCTTTCGGCGTTCAAAACTCCTACTTTGGGAGTAGATACGTTTTCAGAATCAGTTTATTTTAAATTACTAAAAAAACGACGACGAAAAATAAAGTAAAAATCATACAATTCAATTTAATTCAATTCAAGAAGATAGGGAAGTCCCGTGGGCTCCTTGATCTAAATGGGGTACGCCATCACGATCCCGTCTAGATCAAGGCTTTTCAGCCTGACATAGTTTAGGCCTAACGTCGGGTATCACGACCAAATTTGAGCCATGAGTCCGGATTAACTCCTTCCACCGGTGAATTACCAAACAAACTATTTCTAGTATCAATTAAATGCCGGTGGATTGAGTCTCCCTTCCGGGAGTACGGGATACGCGCGTTTACTATTATATCATTATATGATCTGATAGGATATGATATTGATAAGATATGATAACGAGAAGACATGATAATGATAAGATTGAGATTTTTATCAGAATTTGATTTGAAATGTAATTTGGCTTATCATTATTTGAAACCAGTGTAAAGTAATATAAATGTACATCTTCATTTGCAGTGTTTAGGATCCGGATCCGGTCGGATCCGTATCATTTGGTCGGATCCGGATCCGTATCAGGAAACGTTGATATGGATCCGGGTAGCGCCAAAAATTAACCAAAACCATGGAATAAATAATTCAAAATGGTTCGTAAATGTATTATTTACATGACAAAAATTTTTCAAAATTATCTTGAATAATTTAATGTTTACATTTATATAATAGTAATGACGACATTTTTAACTTTAGGATTACTATAGTTTATAAATTATAACCTTGCATAACATTTAATAAGGAAAATCCGATTCACAGAATCAAAAGTTACCTCGGATCCGGATCCGTATCAGGATCCGGATCCATCATCACGGATGCGGATCCGCGGATCCGGATCCGAATCAAAATGATATGGATCCGAAACACTGTTCATTTGACTTTGACCTGTATTAACCATAACTGAATACTCAACACCAAATTAGGCATGAAATTAAAACTGTTTAACCAGATATTGCCTCAATATTAAATTGTACTTTGATGAAAAAACATTTGAACCAACATTAGCTCAGTATTTATTTTATCTTGCATTACTATAACCAATATTAACCATAACTGAATACTCAACACCAAATTAGGCATGAAAAATTAAAACTGTTTAACCAGATATTGCCTCAATATTAAATTGTACTTTGATGAAAAAACATTTGAACCAACATTAGCTCAGTATTTATTTTATCTAGGAACATATTTCTATAGAGAAATTTGTCAATAAATCAATGCTAGAATCAATTACTTCGTTTTCATTATTATATTGAATTTCTTAAATTTCTTTGAAATTATAATTATCAGATTTCTTAAAATTCTTTAAATGTCGTCTTTTAAATAACAATTCCAGAAAATATGCAGAAAATCTTTGTGAGTAATGAGAAACCAGAATAATGAGAAAATAGAAACTAATAATTAAACAAGATTACTTATTTTCGATGATAAGATTAATTTTTATTTTCTCATCCGGTTCCTAAACAACTAATTAGTCTACTGTTTTCATTTTTTTGTCGTCGTTATTTAATAATTCTAAAAAAAAACGATGCAGAAAAATATTGATATCTTTTTATTTTTTACATTTTGAACATACGTTCTTAGCTAAATAACTAATCTAACTTACGTGCAAAATTTCAAGAAAATAGCTTAAAAATTGAATACGTGATCCACTGTTGAAAAAGTGTGGCTTTGGTTGGGAAATGTGGACATTAATTACCCTAACAATTGTATGACCTGGAGACAAAAACTTAGATTTTTAAAGGACAGTGGAAAATTTCCACTGAAACGGTCTGTTTATTTTCAATAATATTTTTTTTTTTTTTAGATTTAAACATTTTTGAATTCAGTGTTTCAAGACGAACTTTTTGATACCCATTCTGAAATTTTGCTTGCACTGCAATGATCAAATAAAGTTGTGAATTTGGAGGTAGAAAACATTACATTTTTTACTTTAGTATAGAAACTTGCTTCAAGGATCTCAACATTTTTATTAAAAAAGTGCCCAATAGCCCCACCCTTAGTATAAACCTGTTTATAGTTGAATAATCTTCATTGTCGTCTCCGTCCTGAAGCAAGGCAGCCGAGGCAAACAGCTGCGCAGCTTCTACGCTGCTACTTGGAGTCTGATCCAGTAAATGCGCCATCTTACGTAATCTTCAATCTACTAAAACATGTAATTTTAGTAAACTGAAATACGTAATCTTGAATCTACTGAAATACATAATCTTTAGTCCACTGAAATACGTAATTTTTAGTCCACTGAAATACGTAATCTTTAGTCCACTGAAATACGTATTCTAAAATCTAAAATACGTAATCTTAAATCTAAAATACGTAATCTTAAATCTAAAATACGTGTTATTGAATCTACTGAAATACGTAATCTTTAGTCCACTGAAATACGTATTCTTAAATCCACTGAAACACTAAAATGAGTAACCTTTAATCAGCACTAATATGAATATTCTTTAACCAACTAAAACGAGTTTTCTTTATTCTACACTAAAATGTGAATTCTTTTATCCACTTATACGTATTTTTAATTCTCTGAAATGCGTATTTTTCATCCCCTGAAATGTTTTTTTTAATCCACTTAATTACGCACTTTTTTAATCCAATTAATTACGTATTCTTTAATCCACTTAATTGCGTAATTTTTAATCCACTGAAATATGCAATCTTTACTCCGCTGAAACGTGTATTCTTTACTCCACTAGATTGCGTAATCTTAAATCCACTGAAATACATATTCTTTAATCCACTAAATTGTGTTTTCTTTAATCCACTAAATTGTGTTTTCTTTAATCCACTTAATTGTGTAATCTTTAACCCACTGAAATTATTCTTAAATCCACTGAAACACTAAAATGCGTAACCATTAATCAGCACTAATATGGATATTCTTTAACCAACTAAAATGAGTTTTCTTTATTCTACACTAAAATGTGAATTCTTTTATCCACTTTTACGTATTTTTAATTCTCTGAAATGTGTATTTTTCATCCCCTGAAAAGTTTTGTTAATCCACTTAATTACGTATTCTTTAATCCACTTAATTGCGTAATTTTTAATCCACTGAAATATGCAATCCTTAATCCACTGAAACGTGTATTCTTTACTCCACTAGATTGCGTAATCTTTAATCCACTGAAATACATATTCTTTAATCCACTAAATTGTGTTTTCTTCAATTCACTTAATTGCGTAATCTTTAACCCACTGAAATATGTAATCTTAAATCCACTGAAACGTGCTTTCTTTAATCCACTAACTTGCGTATTATTTAATCCACTTAATTGCGTAATCTTTAAATAATCGACTGAAATACGTAATCTTTAATCTACTGAAACGTTTATTCTTAACTCCTTTGGATAATAGTTCATATGATCATTAAAAAAAAACACTTTTTAATTTTCCAAACAATTTTTGGAAACCATAACAGCCATTTTCTAATAAAGGCTCAGTGCCCCCAGCCCTAATCTATTTGTGCACAGTGATATGGAGTGGATAGCGTTTTGGTTAGATTTTTCAACTTCCCAGTTTCAAGGGCGTATTATATTGATTACAATTGTACTCCTACTTTTTTTGCAAAACAGAAACTTTAACAAGTCATAATTATATTCTGGACCTTTGTCCTTTTTTCATCTCATAGAATTTAAGTTTAAGTTGAGTTTTTTTATTTTCAAAAATGTGTTTTTCTATCTATAGATTAAATAATAACATAACAATGTAATAGAATGTCGATTTTTTAGAAACATGTTTTTTTCCTGCCAGTTTTGTTTGTAGGAGAGATAAAGTAGTACTTGCAAGGAATTTGACTATAGGTGTACCTTTAAATAATCTTAAACTTTTGCCTAATATCCAAGAAGCCAAATGTTTTGAATTTACAGTTAGATTTCAAAACAATATTCTTAAGTTTACTTTTGTGAAAAATATTGAAACATCTACAAAATACGTACTTTTTAATTTTTGCATATATTTTCTGTCAGGGTCAAAATTTGACATATATATAAAATGTTGAAACATTTAAAAGTGGATAGCGGGGACAATAAAATGGACAAATCGGACACTTTCTTGTCCCGGCTCAGTCGGGGCAATAAAGTGGGTTTTGTTGAGAAAGGAAAATGATGTGAGAGCCAAAAATGTTTTAATAAATGCGTATTTCATTGACAAACCTGATATAACTTTTATCCTTGGTCCTTGCTCAATGCTAACTTAACATTTGTAATTATATCTGAAATGAAAACTTTTTAAGCTACTTTTCTCAGAAATAAAGTTAAGTATGGCGTTATTTTGTTAAGAATAATCAAACTATTTTTTAAATTTTCAGAAATCCAGAAAAGCTAAAGGATTAATGAGATTTATGAGATCGTATAATTTTTTAACAACATGTTTTTGTAAAAAAAATTTCCTAATAAGACGTAACTTCAATTATTTAAGAGGAATTTTCAGCATTTCCAGTAAAAAAAAACATTATTCCGTGTAATAGAAATAAGACGTAAACTTTTTGAGTGCCAACATAATAAACCTATTTTTTAAATTATTTTTCAAAAAAACTGATTAAATGGATAAAAACAAAATTAGATGAATTTCTGGAACAAAGAAGATCATTAAGTACTTACCTTTCATATCCATAGTTAAAGAACTATTAAATAGGTTAACCCCACCCCCTCTCCTCAGGGTGGAGAATTATTTTTAAAGATTTGGAAATGGAGAGAGGGAGGAAAAAATAGACATGAACGTGTTTCATGTAAATTTTTACCACAATTCAAATTTACTAAAATAATTTTTTTAAATACACCTGCAATTCAACGAAAAATAAACTCTAAAACCCATTCATTATAAACTGGGAAAAAGAAGATTTTGTTTTTAAAAGGGCCTACTGAGGGAAAATGATTTTTAAGAAAATATATAAACTGCCCATTCTTTCCTAGTCCAAGACCACAGAAAGACTGCGGAACCCCTTTACTTTTACCAGCTTTCCAATTTGCTATTTCATAATACTGTGAATTTGTTCATTTAATTATGATGAAATATATGATTAAGTTTAAAATCCAGAGAATAAGACTTAAAATTATATTTAACATTATACTTCAAATCACTTTTAGGACATTACTAATAATATTTGGAGATGGTGAAATTACTTACTTAAAATAACATTCACAGATGGTGCATTATATTACCTAATGTTGATATTCAGACATGAATAGTGCAGTATATCACATAACGTTAATATTCTGAGGTGGTGCAATATAATACACAATGTTTATTTTCTGAGATGGTGCAATATATCACGTAGTGTTGATATTCTAAGATGGTGCAATATATCACATAATATTGATATTCTGAGATGGTGCAATATATTACGTAATGTTGATATTCTGAGATGGTGCAATTTATCACATAATGTTGATATTCTGAGATGGTGCAATATATTGCATAATGTTGATATTCTGATATGGTGCAATATATCACATAACGTTGATATTCTGAGATGGTGCAATATATCACATAATGTTGATATTCTGAGATGGTGCAATATATCTCAAAATGTCGATTTTCCGAGTTAACGCAATTTAATGTATTGTTAGTACTCCGAGCTGATGCAATAGTTTGCTTATGTTATATAGAGATGATGCAATATTAATTTCCATGATGAATAGAGATGATGCAATAAATAATTGTTGTCAATTCTTTTTCATCCAGACCTTACTCACCACAACACCGGAAAATGACAGTAATGCAACTTTAATAGCTATCGTGTCAGTCGTGCAAAGGACTAGACACCTTTTATCATTTCAGTCCGTTCGTTAACATTTGTTAAATTAACGAAACGGATTGACCCATCACTTATCGATCGTTCGTGATTAAAAATAACTTAACAGTTATTTTTGTTCTTTAACAGAACCTAGCAAACAAACATGGATTTTTTTCCGTAAAATAAAGTAAGAAAATGACAGAAATAATGTTAATTCTATGACGACGCTTTATAAAATTCTTTTGTCGAGATTTTAGTGATTCTTAAAGATTATTTCTAAATCCAGGTTATCCAAAGATCTGCTCAGGCGAGTATTAAACATCTAGTGGACGTCGGTGTATCATAAATTTTAAGTGGATATAAAAATTTCAGAAAATCGGAAAGCCGAAACTCAAGTCCCAAAGGAAACTACAACTTTTCTCGAATACAAATCTGCACTACAGGGTTACCCACAAAAGATGAAACTGTAAAGAAAGATGTAAGCTCAAAGTTACAAGGAATTATGAATCTAAAGAAACAGACAGTGTAAATTCTGTACATCGTCCCTGAAGTCTCATCCGGTGTTGGTAACCCTGTACGTTTATAACTGATACATAGTTAATATTGGTTTTTGATCAAGTTCTTAAATCTGCTGCGGAGGTTATAATTTAGATTTAAAATAGAATTTAATCAAATTAAATTTTTCCTGATTTTTTCGTCTCCGTCAACTGAAACCATTGTAAAAAAGTCTCATATAAAGAAATCATGGTTTAGATCGAAAAAGTATTTCAATATTTGTTTTATCTTCAACTTTTAACTCAGGTTTTTAAATTTTGGACTCAAAAAGGGTAATTTTAAGTAACTAACCCTTACTGGATAGATGGGAATGCAAAATTAACAACGGTACCCTTAAAAACTTCATCGGATTCAGTAAGAATAAGATACTGATGTTTCTAATTTTAAAAACTGATAATTTTCACTTGGTTTTTTTTAGAAAACTGACTTGAGCATTACAATACAGGATTACATAGGGATTATAACAAATACACCCATTTTCAACCTAGAAGAACGACAAGGTTTCAAAGATAACATCATGAATCGGGCATTGCCATATTTGTGTTAAGGGTCCCTTAAAATTACGGGTTCAGTCCCTTTAGTGGACAAAGCTTAACAATCCTTTGACTTTCTCCTAAATTAGTACAAAGCAACATTTCTTTTAAAGAAAAGTAATTTCACGTGATCCATAATTTGAGTGGCATGTATGATTCACAACGGTAACCTTAAAAGTTAATCTATGGGGTTAAGAATGAACGTCATATCATGTTTTTATTTTGAAAATTGATTTTGCTCAATTTCAGTTCTCTCTTGTTCAATGAATTACGGATTTATGATTGCGAAACAATGGAGAAAATTGTCAGAATTAACACGTTTCAAAATATAAAATCGACGATATCACCCACATTATAAAGGTCCCAAGAATAATATTTCTATTTGAAATTGAAACATAAGTCCCCAAGCTGGATAACGGGTTCGAAACATAACCTTCCTAATAAATAAAAATTCGGCACGTTCAGTAAGTTAACAACTGGACGTTTTTATGAAAACCCGGATCCTTGTTAAGTTTGGCACTTTTGCAGCAATTCTTAGCGTCCTGGTGTAATATGTTAACCGCATTACGTATTCACTTATCATTAAATGCTTAGCAGCTCAGGGGTGTGTATTTATCAGAATTACCCACTCCCACTATCTCCCATCCGGGGAGAAGCAAAAAATGAAAAATTCTACATCAAAAGGCATCTTTTGCATTCTTTTTGACACTGTTCACCCAAATCAGCGAATAACACCCAAAAAATGTTATAGCATAAATAACTTCAGGGAAATGATTTTCAAAATGGAGGGGGGGGGGAGACAATTTTTTTATTTTAAAAAAATGCAGGACATTCCTGGCTTAGTTACTAACAAAACCTTGAAAGCATTGATCGACAGGTCTTTTATCACTCTCTAAAACCTTCTCTCTTATAACTCGAGTTGGTTGACCTAACAGTTACTTCTTTTACTGATAACGAACAGAACATAGTACAATTGTTGGCTACTGAATATCATATTATTTATCCATTTAAATATTTTCTTTTTAATCATTAAAAAGTTTTCAATGTCTATAAAAAAATAGTCATATGGGGGGGGGGGAATTTTTTTATTTTAAAAAATATGCAGGACATTCCTGGCTTAGTTACTAACAAAACCTTGAAAGCATTGATCGACAGGTCTTTTATCACTCTCTAAAACCTTCTCTCTTATAATTTGAGTTGGTTGACCTAGCAGTTACTTCTTTTACTGATAACGAACAGAACATAGTACAATTGTTGGCTACTGAATATCATATTATTTATTCATTTAAATATTTTCTTTTTATCATTAAGAAGTTTTCAATGTCGATCAAAAAATACTCTTATTTATTTAGGTATTCAGAGGAACTGAATAAAACGAGGTGTTTTTATCTTTGAATTCTTCGAAAATTACGAAATTTTGATTTCAATGTTTGTCAAAAGGAATGGAGTAAGAATATAGATTTGCCATCAAGAGATAAAACCTCAAAAAGTCTCGAGAAAACTGAACATAAAAGATGTGCAATGCAGTTACTGCTTGTAGTAAAAAGTTCTGATTGTTTTGACTTGATATGCCTAGTGGTAGAGTTTGGTAAAGAAAGATTCTGCCTGCCAACTTACACAATGCTTTGGATTATTTTTATATTTCAGTTTAATCCCCCCTCCTCCCTAATTATATCTCTAAATAATGTTATTTCAACCCAAAACTTAAGTCTTAGATGAAAATCGTTAAATTATTTTATTTTATGATTCAGAACGAAAAACTTTTTTTTTCAAAACAATCAAAACCTTTTTCTTGCTTGACCCCCCCCCCTCTCTCCTCCTCCAGAAATTAATCAAATCGAATCAAATCAATTCCAATGTTTAGTGCCCAGGACAGATATTAAAACATTATTACTTCTAGTAACAGTTTTGTAAGTGTAATTTTTTCATTAACTTCATGTGTAATTTTTAAGTAAGCATTGAAAAAAAACTTATAGCAGCGCAAAAAGCATTATTAAAAAATACAAAAAGTGAATTAGTTTTTTAATCCTTTTTTAATTGTTAGTAAATTGTTGGTATTGTAAGAACCTAAACATGTTGGTGAAGATTATCTGACAGCTTTATCACGTTGTGAGTTGTTTTAGTTAATCCAAATAAAATATAATTACAACGTTGAATCTACTAATCGAAATAAACCAGACCCTGCCTAACAGATTTTTTTCCCTATTCCATAAAAGGAACTCACAAGTTGTTCAGAAAAATATTTAACGTTTCTATTTTTAAATGTCTTCACTTGTTACTATACCATCCTGTTCATCTTTATTCAATCTTACTTTTAAGAACATAACAAAATGGCAACTGGTGAGTTTTAATGGCTGAAAACTAATTAGTGTGATTTACATCCTGATTATCTCTCTTCTCGTCTTTTCACAATCACTGAGGTATAGTAATTAGATGCATTTATTCGTGAACTTACAATTAATGCATAAATCAAACACCCCCCCCCCCCCCCCCCCATTAAGAAATGTAAAAACTCAAATAAACGAAGAAAAAAATACAAGAAACAGTGAAAATTTTCATTATTTGTGCAACACGAAATATTATTCTACAGGGTGTCCATTAAGTTCCTGACTCGACTGTTTTTTTTATGGAACACCCTGTGCAGCAATTACACAAGTGGGTTCCATTTTTTCCTCGCGCATTTCTTCTGCATCTAGTGATCATCGCGGCGGGAAGATCTAGTGCTCGAGCGTTCTCTTGACCGATCTCTCTTCGATCGGGTTCCAGATCGATCCCTGGATGATCGTTCTTTTTTAATTCTGGATTCCGATCTTCCCCTTGAGGTTCTCCTAAAATATTGAAATAATCATAATAATAATTTTCATCTTATTATGCTGCGCCCATCTTCTATTACAATTGTGAAATCAAATCAAATCATATTAGTAGGGATGGCTTAAGGCTCCTAAATGGTGGTTTGAGTTTCAAGTCTTGCCGGCATCCGGGTTTTCTCTTTGTATACAATACATTGTAAAACAAAAACAGTTTGCAGATTATTAAAACAAAATTCGTGGATTTTCAAAATTTTATGAAAATCGAAATTTGCTGGAGGCTAATTTTTCACGTTTTTTTGGATACATATATACAGAGACCAAATGAAAGTATGTAGCTATCATATTAATCGCTAATATGAGAATTTATTATCTTGTATAATTTCTGTATTTATACATTATCTTCCTTTTTTGACTAAGTTGCTGTTCCTGATTTTTTGCGAAAAATTATTTCCGGGTTCATGAGCCGAAAAATTGTAATTCAATACCGTTAAATAATTCCTAAAATTGTGTCTTTTGTTTGAAATAAAACTGTTAATCTGCAATCAAAATAATTTTATTTTTTTATGCGTATTTTTTTTGTGACGCATTAGAACCAAATATAGATTCAAAGAGTTTAAATCCCCCCCCCCCCCTCCAAAAAAAAGAGTTTAAATCTCCCCCCCCTCAAAAAGAGTTTAAATCTCCCCCCTCCCTCAAAAAGAGTTTTAAACTCCCCCCCCCCTCAAAAAGAGTTTTAGTCTCCCCCCCCCCCTCTAAGAAAAAAAAACATTCCTGACTTAATGATTTGTCAAAGAGAGAAAAAAGAAAGTATCGTTTGATTTTACCATAGAAATTATGTAAAAATAAAGCAAAAAGGATCTAGTCAATGAAGTAACAATGCTGTTAGCTAATACCCTAACAGTTCTTTCCCTTATTTTTGAACTAATATCTCTATGATTCCGTTCGTTTAACGAATTTTCCGTTAATTTTCATAATGTTCATAATCTAAAAATAGAAAATATATCTCTGTCTCACCTATCATCTCTTTTAGATCTTGATCTGGACTTAGAACGTCTAGTCCTGGATCTGGACTTCTTTGTCCTGGACCTGGACCTTCTGGTCCTGGACCTGGACCTGGACCTTTTGGTCCTAGATCTGGACCTTCTTGTCCTGGACCTTGACCTTGATCGGTTCTTTCTCTCCGCCAAACGTTTCTCTCTGTCCGCCATTCTCTTTTCTCGCTCCGCCTTGCGCTTAGCCTCCTCTTCTTCCAGCTTTTTCGCCTTCTCCGCCTAATATTAGGGAAAATTTACGGGAGTCGTTAAAATGATTTATAAAATGTCGTCTTACAAACCTACTGATATTGGAATGCCGCAGATATTTAGTTTTTAATTGAATAATTATATTGAACCCCGCATATTTAAGGCTACTGAGATCTATGTATTATCTTAGAAAACCCATTGAAAATTGTCAAGATTTCGACGAAATTCTGGGTTGAACTGTACAAGAACTGTAACTTTCTTTTTATCAACAATTAACTGATGCGTAGTTTAAATGGACCCCCAGCGTAGTTTTAATTTATCCTCTAATAAAAAAAATCCGAAAGGACAACGGTACTCTCTAAACCATTTTCTAAGAAAAAAGGATTGAACTATTCTTATCTAATAGTTAATCTATAGTTTATGCAGAGAGAGGTTCAATTGACATCAAGTCATCTGTACTTTTAACAAATGGAGAGGGGGGGGGGTATCTTGATCTAATTCTCATGACAGGTTTTTATCTAATCAAGATACAGGAAGCCAAAATATTGCACTGATTTTAAGATATCGAAAAGAAAAAAATGGAAAGTAATAAACTTTGAGATTTGTTGGTAAAAGCCGTTTTCTTTAAAGCAATTTTAGCTACAATTACATATAAATTTTTATATAAATTTTTGTTTATTTTTTAAAGAAATGATGATAAAAATATTAATGCAGACAATAAAAAAATATAGTTCATTTTTTTTTGATTTATTTATAATTAACCTTTAGCTGTTCAATTTCTTCCTTCAAGTCCACGCTCTTCTCCGCTGCCTTCGCGACCTGCTGTAGCCATTTCTCTTCAGTCACGTGCTGTGCACTCTTCAACTTGGGTCCAGTTATCTATAACACACATATATATATAAATATATATATATAAAGTTGTATTCTCTGTTTGTGTGTCTATCTGTTTGTTTGTCCGATCATAACTCAGAAACCCCTGGACCGATTTGACTTAAATTTTGATTGAGAAACTTGGGAGAACCACGGGAATGTTCTCATATTAGTTTTAAGATTCTGGGTTGAGTAGGTCAACTTTAATAGAATTGGGGAAAAATAGCTACACTCGTAATTTAAGACCATGCGCGGGTAAACGGCAGGAGTAACTATGAGTAGACCTGGGCAGCGCCCGGCAATTCAGTAATAATTTGTATCAGTTAACTTAATCACTAGATTTAACTAGTACATAAAATAAAACTCGGCGTCCATCTTTAATTTCAACCTATAGTACACTATAAAACAATAACAAAAAAGTTCGCGGATTTAATGATATTTGTTCGGGGATTTTCAAAATTTTACAAAAATCTAAATTTGTTGGAAATTTACTTTAGTAATTTTGGGCATTCTAAAACCTTCCCCATGGGACATCCCAGTTCTTTTTTAGTTTACAGAATATAATTAAGCTTTTTAGCGTTGATTTCCGTGCCACCATGTATGTAATGTAATGTAATGTACCTGTGCTGCGATATTAACAGCCAGCTGAGCAGCTTCCTCCCCTGATACTCCTAGATAAAGACCAATCATCAGCCAGAGAGAAGTATTTATTAAACAAACAAATACCCCATCCCCATGATTCTTCATTTATCTTTCTTCCCAGAAAATTAGAGATTTTTTGGGTTTTATGATCAAAAAACCATTTTTCATGTTTATGTTATAATGTCTCAAGGGCCCTATCGAAATACATATGATTATTGAGAATCAAAAAAACATTATTTGCGACTTTTTTGGTTACTTTTCAGATTTTTCATTATTTTTCAGATTTAATTTTTTTTTTAATTTTTCTGTTGAACCTGCTTGTGCTGCTTCTGAGGCCTGCGCTGCTGCTTTTACCGCCGCCGGGTTCATAATTGCCGCCCAGGCAATAGTTCCGGCAGCAAATTTTGCATCTTTTTTGGTCGGACCAGATCCAAAAAATATTTTTGGTTCAACCTATAATATTATAAGTGTTAAAGGGACTGTAAGCGTAATTTTGAGTGACCCTCCATGTAAAGAGGACAATGCGAGGCCGAGAACCCTTGACATCTTAATCTGATTAAAAATGTGGAAAATACCGTCGTTTTTCGTAAAGATCAGACAAAGCGTTGTAAATCGGGTCTTGTTATCTTTCACGGAGAGGTCACTAGAAATTACGCTTACTGTCCCTTTTATAGCGAGGCATAGTTGAACTTGGTAGACTGAGTTATACCACTTTTCTAGTTCAACTTAACCGAAGTAGTTCAATTTCTAACTATTCATGAAATCTAGTCCCACATGGAAATGAAAAGTGGTTTAACTAGGAATGGCCGATTGAACTAATTATCTGGTACACTTTCTAATACCAAGTTATTAGTACAACTATACGTACAAACATTAGCTACTTTATGCAAACTTATGAGTTTCTGAATCTATCTATGTAACCCTTGATATTAAATATCACTTTCAATATTTAAAGAAGGTTTTCTTGGGAGTTACTATCAGATGAATACATACTTTGACAGTTATCCAACACTCAAATACATCTTTAGGACACGCTGGGAATTTATTAATAGATTTGAAAGAATTCGTTCTTCTCTCTATTTTTCAAAATTAGTGAAAATTCCCTTTAAGAAAAACTAACCTGCCCTTGACCCGGCCAAACAGTAACTTTGTAAGTGTACAACATAGTGTTACTTTTCCCGTGCTTGTTCCTAGATAGATAGATAGATAAATAATATAATATATACAATCAGTTTAGTTACTCAGTAAACCCCCCCAATTANTGGAATACCCTAACTATATTAGAAATTGTTGTTAGAGACACAAATGTATAAAATATATAAAATCTATTCATTTATTAAAAGAAGATCGCTGGGGTTGTTCCTGGCCCCAGGCAATTCCACCCATCAGCACTCCCCCAATCAATACGCATATTCATCACGCCAGGGGTAGCCTGGTTAGTCCGCTAAGGCATGCACTTTTTCGAACCCTGAATATTATATATTAAAAATACCTTATAGTATCCACGATCTTTTCTGTTACAAGTTCGAAGGTGGGCGGTGGCCAGTGAGATTTCTTCGCTTTCGAGCAAAGTTGAAACACTGGGTGATTCTTATTCGGATGATCGTCACCGTAAGCTGTTTTGTCGTAATTTCTAAAAATGGCGTCCTCACTTTCCGGCGGCGGGAGTCGTGGCCGAAAACCAGGTCTCATCATTCCCCGATGCATCATTGGCATCGGCAAAGGCGGTGCCGGCGGTAAATCGTCCAGTTTTAAGACCATTGCATCGCAGCATCGTCGCTTTGCCTCCTTCTTCCCCCTGGCGATGCCACACGTGACAAGTACGTCGTCACTGCCCGGTGGTCCAACTGTAAGTGAGTAGCTGTACACACGATTATGTACTGGTCCATCAGCCTCCAGGCATTCAAACTCTATCTCCCACTGGCGCTTCCTGCACTCCAATCCGACGTACATGGCAGCGTTTCTTCCGTTAAGGATGCCCTGCACTGACTTGTCGAACCGGGTTGGGTCCGGGGCGGAGTCTAGGTCAAGTTCTTCCTTAGGATCAGGAGCAGCGATCTTTATCAAACTTCCGTCCTCACCCTTGACGATCACTCCGGGGGTCTGAAACCAAAATCTATTTATGGACTTTCCTCGTTTGTTGGTTTGTATCCAAATAACATAAGAAACAGTAACCCAACCTGGCAAATTTTTTTTGAGGCAACTAACATGACCCCAAGGAAGGTTTACGGATGGTTAGAGATAAAATTTTCCCTCGAAAAAACATGTCAGCATTTTATATGTTTGAAAATACGCAAATTTAAGTACAAGAGTGTATATTTTTAGAAATGATTTATATATATAAAAAAAATGGGACTTCAAAAGGAAAGTTTATTCATTCTGTTTGATACTTATTTAACCAAAAAATCATAAATTTTCCCCTCCAACGAATTTATTTTCGAAACCCATTTCAGCAAGAAAAACGCTTAAAATAAAAACAAAATAAAACATTATATAACGTCTGGGGAAAATGTCATTTTCTGAAATGGGGCGGAGAATGATTTTATTGGAAAATATACACCCCTTTTAAAGAAAATAAAATCCATAACATATTGAGAACAATTTAAGTACAAAGCTAACACTGTCAATATAAGAGGGCGTACAAAGCGCTCTGAAAGCCTATTTTTATTAAACTCAAAATAGAGATGGAATTTCAATATATTTCACGACAATATCATCTAAAACTTATTCAAATTATTCAAACATTGCATGTAACGACTAATGGAATTATAAACAACAGCTGAGATATCTTCTATGTAAAAAAGTTAACATTTTTTATCAGAGAAGACAAAAGTAACAAAAAAATAGTACGTTTTGCTCCACAAAAAAAAGCATATATCGGTTAAGTGAAAGGGGTAATAATATATTAAAAAAAAATATTTATATCGATATTTAAAGGAATGGTAAGTGTATTTTCAAGTGAAACTCCAAGATAAGAGAAGATCGCCGATTTACAACACTCACCCTAATAGTCTTGTGTGATTGAGAAAGAGTTAGATATCCATATTTTTGTCTCTATAAACTGTTGATTTTCATTTGCTGGTTCTCTGTGAAAGTGACTTGAGCATTTCTTACTTATAAGAAACAACGGAGAAAGTATCAGAATTAAACAGTTATTGAGTCAGATAAACTACTGTATTTTCTATATTTTGTTCAGATATAAGTTACAAGGATACCGTTGTAAATCGGGCATTACTATCTTTGCATGAAAGGGGTCATTCCATGTCAAGTCAGCCACCTGATGGACGGCATGTCACAGATTTTGCTGAAATTTTGCATACAATTTGGGATATGAAAAAAAATGCCGGAACCCGAAGATGAGCGTTCTGAGACCTCGGAGGCCGGAGATATGGCTTCGGAAAGTTTCCGATAATTCGAGATTTCGAGGACGGCCTCTATATTTCAAATGGCTCTAACTTTTTTGTTTTAGAAGATAGCTCCAAATTTTTTTCAGTTTTTAATAGGTAATCACAAGCCCGTTATTTGGCGTTATAAGAAAAAATATCATTAAAATATTATTTACAAGTCATAATTGCATTTCTTTATTTTCAGCCTCCGTTTGAGGATGTGTACCAATTCCGATTGTGTTGATTTTTTTTACATATTTTTATACTGCCATAAGGAAGGGGTTAGAAAAGTTAAATTCATATGTATTTGTTCCTGTTGAGGAGGAGACCTGATAATGTAATGCTAATTTAGATTTCTTAATGCAACTAATAGGTAGTATTTCTGCTTAATTATTGTTATCTCTCCTAAACATTGATAAATATTTAATATTTGATACTTTTATGTGAGTAAGTGATCTAAATTATAATAAGAGACCATCAATAGTATTTATTTCAACTATTGTACACTAAAAATGCATGTGTGTATTACTAATTTTTNAATAATATTTTAATGATATTTTTTCTTTTAACGCCAAATAACGGGCTTGTGATTACCTATTCAAAACTGAAAAAAATTTGGAGCTATCTTCTAAAACAAAAAAGTTAGAGCCATTTGAAATATAGAGGCCGGCCTCGAAATCTCGAAATATTGGAAACTTTCCGGAGCCATATCTCCGGCCACGGAGGTCTCAGAACGCTCATCTTCGGGTTCCGGCATTTTTTTTCATATCCCAAATTGTATGCAAAATTTCAGCAAAATCTGTGACATGCCGTCCATAGGTGGTTGACTTGACATGGAATGACCCAAAGGTCACTTGAAATTACGCTTACATTCCCTTTAAATAGAATAAATTAGATACCTTGTCAAGTTTGAACTTCTGGTTCTCTATACTTGCTTTAACATCCTCCGGCATAGCCTCATCCTGATCTGGTAAAGGAACACGAGGTCCCATCGGAAATCGTCCTCCCCGCTCCATAGGTCCACCTCGACCCCGTCCTCGGAACCTGGGAGGTCCACCGGGACCTCCTGGTCCCATTGGACCTCCAGGACCTCCTGGACCCCCGGGTCCCATCATCCGGTTTCCGAACCCCTGGGATCTAGGACCAGTAAATCCATAACCGGCAGTTTGACTGTACGCACCTGGTGCTCGAAATTCTAAAAAGAATTGTGTAAAGTTTTGGTAAATTTTGGCATTGAATGTTTTAAAATCTAAACTTTTACAATTGACTTATAAAGTTTATCATTTATTAAAAGCAACAAGAAAAATTTGAAGAAAAATCTTAACACGGTTAATGTATGGGATATGTATCTTTCGTATCAGTCGACGCAATCCCAAGTGACCAGTAAAAAAAATTAAAAATATCTAAAATTCTAAATTTTTTGTAAAAAAAACTAAGGATATCTTTTTTTCAACTCTTCCAACCAGTTAATATTCGGACATGTCCTTAATTTGATTGAGATTTTTTGTAGTGGCGCAACTAATTCCCCCCCCCCTCATGATCATGGTTCTGGACCATCTTTTATGCCAATTCAAAAATATTAAAAAAAAACATTTTTCTTTGGCGCTTCGCGCATCATTTCTAATAGAATTTCTAACTATTTTCTCGTTTTCGACGTAAAGAAAGTCAGTGATTCTGTATTTATCCTCACAATAAAAAACCTGCATATATGTTACTTCTCATGAGTATTACAATACATATATCATTTAAGGTGACACAAAACCACACAAATCCTGACAACCTAAGTAGAATAACAGGAATAAAATAAAGATTATATCGGACTGTTAGGACTTTTGCAAACTATAAGAGAAAACAGGGATCTTACTGGCAAACAAGGACAGAGGGAAATTAACAGTAACACATATTACTAACAGTATATTAAGCTAATCATGCTACATATTCATATTTGAAACTATAAAAAGCTCACACCAAAATTTTAAAGAAAGGAAATTACTCAAATCTCTTTATGAGAAACCTGGATGGAAATGTAGAAGAATATAAACCAGAGAACTCCGCTAGTCTTCTACTTGAATTATCTTGGAGGAGGACCTGGAGTCACAAACACACACAAACAAGAAATGAAATTAACGGAACGAGGTTTTGAACAGCAGTCTTGGTAATATCCTGGAGAACCATTTTTGGACCCTCCCCCCCTCCTATCAATTTTGTACATTTATATAATTGACCATGTGGCTGCAGCGCCCGGCCCCCTAGCCTGTCCTAACCGCGGCGCTCGGCCCCCTAGCCTGTCCTAGCCGCAGCGCTCGGCCCAGAAATTGTCTAAGCCTAACCTAACTCTCAGTAATAAAAAGTAACACCGCTCCACTGTATTTACTGAGAAACTTGTGGCAAATCTCCGGGTTATGATTCACTAGGTTCTGCATCTCGCCGCAAGTAGCGCTGCGTGACGAAATCTTGTGGCAGCCGGATCGGGGACCCGATCCAACTACCTCTAGATTTGAAACCGAGAACGCTACCACTGAGCCAAAGAAGCTAGCTGCTGTGCTAGTATTCTACTCTACTTAATTTGTTATCACACAATAGCCAGCCGAGCCAGCTAAATAAATTTATTTGGTTTGGAAATATTCTTGACAATGTAGAAGACGACATTGGGATTTTAAAAATTAAAATTAAAATTTGTATTTGTTTTTTCAGCAAAAGTAAAAAAACATATTTGACGTAAAAATTTAATTTTAAAAAGAAATTAAGCTTAAATAAATTCTTTAAAATAACATAATTTTGGTAATTTTCAACAAAGACGACATGATAGTATAGCATCAACTGAACTACTACTGTTTATTTTAAAATGAAAATTTCAAGTATTGTGATCTATAAAATAATCAAAGAAGTAAATTGTTTTTAAATAAAAATTATTTTTGACTGAGATGGTTTCTTTCAGACTTCTAGGCCAAGAAGGCACAAAGCTTTAATTAACTGATTTTCGAAAACTTGAAGTCCTTGAAGTTACATGTGAGAATTAAAATGGTGTGGTTTTTGCTGAAATAAATGAAAGTTTTGAAATTACCTAATTTGTTAGGAGCTTTGTTACACTAAAACCTTAGTTCAGTTGATTTAGCATCACAGAAATGAATAGCCAATGCCGCGGCATAAATTTAGTTCAGACATTTTTTCAACTAGTTTTAATCAAACAATTATCAGTGATTAAAACTCGGTTTTGTAGGCATATTTCCTTTATTATAATACTTTTTAATGTTTTAAAGAATAAGAAAAACAATATCGACATTATTATCTTACAAAACCAATAGAAATAAAGTTAATGTGCATAATGCATGAATATGAATCTGATTACAATTACAATCTAAAACATGTTAAGTTATTATATAATAACTCTATATCTAAATGGTTCTTCATCATTAAAATTTTCATGTCTGCAAATTTATTATAAAGAACATAAATTAACCAATTACTACAAGTAATGGCTGACAGAAGATCATTTCGAAGCTGCAAATAATTTTATAAATAAAAATCAGATAATTTTTTTGTTATTAGACTCTTTAAATCAATGTTGGAGTTAGAATTCCTCAAGATCAAATACGAGCGTCAAGGTATGAATTCATGGGTATACATTATCTAATACATAATTTGTTCTCTACATCCTCTCAAAAATGATTGTTTTCTTCCTATTTTGGCCAATTTAACCATAAAACATCGAAATTCTATTCGATATTTTGGAAAAATGTCATGAAGGTCATAAAAGTTTCCATTTTGTATTTCTGATCCATAGGAAGGGAGAGTGAGGGATTTGTCTATTGTGAATATTAACTCTTTGAAAACTGAATGTAGGTTGGAACAGACCAGGGACTAATATGCTATCTATTGCAGCGTTTGTTTTACAACAGGTCCAAGGACAAATCATCTTATTCTTTAAATAACATAATTAGAAACGCCACACCCCACCCTCTTACTTGTCATTTTTGTAAATGCATCTGATATGTTACAAAATGGCATGTTTTGGGTCTGTCCTAGTGAACGATTTTTGGAAAAAATCGTTCTCTAGGAATATACCCATGTTTTTTTAAATCGATATATATATAGATATATAAATAACAAATAATATCATTAGACCATAACTTATATCTTTAATGTACTTTTGGGTATGATGTTAATTTGTTTTGCTTTATTCGTTTGAAACAGCTTAATTTTTGCGACAACATTTTTCTTCATCAAAATTAATAATACATTATCCTTCTTGTTCGAAATTATTTTACAGTTTTGAAAAATGACAAATTTCAATCTTTTAATTAGTTTTAACTATAGACATAAGTTGTGAACAATATCTGAAAATTGTTCTTCTTTATTTTTAAGAATTATTATTTCTGGGATTTGGACAAATCTGTTAATAAAATCCCCAGGGGGTTTCTAATAAAACATTTTGCCCCAGGAAAACAGATTGGTTTTGAGAAAACGATCTGTCCTCTACTCAGCTGTAATCACGCTGATTTCAATCCTCAGCATTTATGCAATTTGTTGCACACATTTAACCTCGTTGCAAATATTTGCAATGTTTGTCACATTTTCCTGGTTAATATTTGAGAATGTGAAACCTTGCAAGCAGATACTTGATAATTTAGGAACATTTTATAGATTTTATATATATATATATATATATATATATATATATATATATATATATATATTGATTTACGCGTAACTTCAAGTGACCCCTGCATGCAAAGATTGAAACACCTATATGCTTTCCTAAAGTAGAAATGCTGAAGTCAATTTTGTGCTAAAATCACAACTAATAGTAATCATTTTTTTAATTTATATTTATACTTGATCAGACAAAGCAGTTGGGTACCGTTGTGAATCGTGTGTACAGAGGGTCACTTGAAATAATGCTTTCACTTCCTTCATGTCTGTTAGCTAAATTTTAATTGACCACTTTCAAGGTAATCAACTGAAAACAAACAGTTTTTTGATGCAGATTTTTGAGTTTTTAAACATAAAATTGTTCTGTATTCTTCCTAATTTCAGATCAACTGGTTGAATACCATTAACGTTGCTGTTGTTCAAGAGAAACTTTGAAAGAAAAATCAAAATGAGGCGTAAAACTTGTCTCCTCTTTATTTTTATTCTTTGTATTGAACAAATATCTTGTCTTGGATTGAAAACCAACTGCTATGTGGAGGGTACCTCCTACCAGGCAATATGTACATGTGGGGGAGAGTATAAATGGGGAGAAAATGGTGGTGGTAGATTTGGAGTGGATCTTTTCAAGCAAATCATCTGGTCTAGTGGTTCAGAGAACATTCAAGATTTGAAAACCATTACCTATGAGGGCTGCAACTCTAATTCAATATTCACATTGGATCTTGATGCTAAATATCCCCATGTTAATCTCATAGAGTTCAAAAATTCAGGTTTGGGCGGTTCATTTTTTTCAACTTTGCAGTGCACCCTTAAACTTTACAAAAGACACCCATATTAAAATTTCTTCCGAATATATTAATATAGGTTCAAAATACCTCTCTAGAAAATTCAAATATTTAGAAACATTGAGTTTGTGGACATTTTTTAATAATGAAACCAATTATGCGCAATTGATTTTAATAAAAACCAAACAATTTTATCAATAGTCTCCTTGCAGGTCAATATTAGTTGATTATTGATTTATCTCAATTACACAGAAACACCGAATTATAGCAAAATTTAGAAAGTAAAAAAATTAGTATTTCAAATATTATAAAAATGACACGCTGAAACAGGTCCTGTTAACATCTACTTCAGAGGAAGTGTTGACAAAGGAAATCTGACCATATTGTTTAAAAATATTCATGGTTCTGGTAAACTACATTTTGGAGCTGGATCTGTAGTACTCAGAGGATCCCTGGACTACTGTGTGCGTCCCTGTGGGGCCAAATTCCCATTTGAAGAGGATAAAAGGCCAGTTCCTCCTGGACTTGAAAAAAATACATGCAACGTCTGCACAGCAAATTCATTTCTCAATCTAAAGTTCAAGACAGTGGAGCATGTCATGCTCCACAATTTATTCATTGGAGAATATGAAGAAGGTCTTAGTGGTGGCACAGTGATTAAAGCTGATGATGTTCAGACCTTCAGGGTTGAAGATGGATCAATGAGACAAGTTCAAAATGCTGGAATCGACGCTGGTGGTTGTTGGAACGGTCGCAATGAATGTAGTTGTTCAGATGTTCTTGGTACTGAATACAGCTCTGATAGTTCAATAATTGGGTTACCTATTGTGGTTGCCATCTTGGTCTTGATAACTATAGCTATCGTCTTTGGTTTTGTAATTCGTAAAGCTCTTATGAACAGAGGAACTGCTGTGCCAACCATAGAAATGGCTTAATTTTAGTTTTTGCATTTAAAATGCTGAATTTATATATGCTTAAAAAGGCCTTTGCTTTGCATGCTTCTTATACAATATACATACACTCATACATACTAACCACGTTTACCTTCTAGTGATCTGAAAAACCTTTGTGAGCTTAAAGAGTTGGCTCTAAAACAACTTGTATACATTAATATGTGTTATGAACACTTAAAAGAATAAAGTATTTTCAGTACAAATGTAAATTTTACTGATATTTAACATTGGTAAGTATATATATTCTCCAAAATTCACAAACTTTATATTTCCTACCAATAATTCCCCACAAGAAAAATTTATTTTATTATTTGATTAGGGAATTTATTAATGAAAATATATATCCCTGCTTGTAATTCTGGCAAAATATTTGTTGGTGTCTCTTATAAGCATCATTAATACATTTATCTTGAAAATTAGAATGACAATCCTGTAGATTTCAATACAATTTAATTAAGCAAATTTAATATTGTCTTCTATAAATCGTAAAATAAAAACTAGAACGGCACGAGGAAAAAAGATTGGTGAACGTTCTCATAGATCTTCTTCTGGCGAAAAAAACCGACCCTGAGGAGATTTTTGAGTCTTGAAAATTGATGTGTCAACTTTTTATGCTTTATGGCAAAGGGCTGTCGTTATTTCAAATGATTTCCCATTCAAAGTAGGAGATGTCTTACTCTCAATAGAAGGGGTGAATATTTTTCAAAATCTCCCCCCTCCCAACATTTATCTCTTTTAAACGTTAATAATAACTTGGAAAATTCTAGACCGAAAAAAAATATCAGGAATTTGAAGCTGTGAAATATTTCTCAGAATCTCATCGTTCTCTTCTTCTTCGGATTCTTCTAGAACATCTTCCAATTATCAATCTCAACCGACATTAAAAGCTAGCTATTTCCTATTTTAAGATTGTAGATTTTTAAGGTACTGTAGAAGTGATTACATTTATAGAGTGGCATGTTTAATTCACAACGGTAGCTGCAAAAGATTTTTTAAATTAAAAATTATCTTTTTGAATTTTAATTATTTTCAATTTTAGTTTCTCTTAAAAGTGATTGCGAATTTCTCTTTTAGAAAAAATGGAGAAAATTGGCAGAATTAAACACTTCCTAAGTCTTAAAACTGACGTCATTTTCCACATTATTAATCAGACAATGTTCTAAAGGGTACTGTTGTGAATCAGACATGGAAGATCGCTATAAAATGCCATTTTAAATCATTATTGTTTTAGCAACAAAAAAAAACAACACTAAACTTTGTCAGCTTAAAGAATGTATTTCATTTTTTCAGTCTAGTTGAAAATGTCAAATTTCGTTAGCAAATTAGAAATTTTGAATTTTGTCAGCATTAAAGAAATATTAAATATTGTCAGCAAAATAGAAATGTTAAATTTTGTCAGCATAAATGAAAATTTTAAATTGTATTAGCATTTAGCATTAAAGAAATATTAAATTTTGTCAGCCAAATAGAAATGTTAAATTTCAGTCAGCATGAAAAAATGTTGATTTTTGTCACTATAAAAGAAAATGTTAAATTGTATCAGCATTGAAGAAACGGTGTAAAGTTTTGTCAGCACAAAAGACCAAGTTTAATTTTGTTAGTTTAAAACTCTATTTCAGAAAAATGTCTCTCGGCGCATTTTTTGGTCTGGACAAACTGCAGAAGTTGGCGCGTATGGTTAAAAATCATGGAGGCGTTAAGGCATCTTTATATCATCTTTACTTAACAGATGATCTCAAGGTATAACATTAATTAAAAAATTTAGATTTTCCAGAATATGATAATCTTATGAGGAAAAAATGTAATAATGGAAATAATTACAAAATAATTAAGTTAATATCAATATTGATTTGATGTTGACAAGATTAATATAAGGAGGTGTAAGAATGAATATTCTTCAACAAGTGTAATAATTTCCATTCTTTAATGTTCCGAGCGTGTATGAATACACATTTTTTCACGCTCTGGCCATGTAATAATTTCCATTCTTACACGGTCTGAGCGTTAAAGAATGAAAATTCTGCACCTACAGTGTAAGAATAAGCATTCTTAAACGCTAGGAAGCGAACAATATTAAAATTGTTCCTCCTGAACCGTGTAATAATGGGAATTATTACAATATAGGTTTACTACTAAGGAACCGAAAATATTTATTCCTCACTTACCCCTAAAAATCAAAAAATTACTTTTGTATTTAGTTTTTACATTGAAAAGAATGTACTACAGTGAGAACCAAAAAACTGTTAAATAGAAAGACAACATTAAAGCAAATCTGATTTGTATTTGCTTTAGTAAGGCATCTCTAAAACTCTGATTAATTGATTGATAGATTGCTTGATTGATTGATTTCTGCTACAAAGCAAATATCTAGTTTTACTATGTAGTTTTTTCACAATTGTGTTTCTTGCATATTAGTCTTAAAGTCGACTTCCTATCCTAGAGTTTTCTGGTTCTTACTGAAACATTTTTTTCCAATAATTAGTCCCTAGTTGCCTTCCTTCCTTGTTTTGGTACTTAAACTTAACAACAACAATTTGTTTTTCCGAAAATCCTTTATTTTTGCCAGTAAAGCGGTAAAAAAGACATTGATAACATTTTTAAAGAAATTTTAAAGAAATACTTTTTTCCTTTAATTTTTACAATTTTTACATTTTTTCTTTAAATTGTGTCCAGATTATACAATAACTATTGTATAACAGTTCTTTTTAAAGAAAATATAAACCCCTGAAAAATTTTTTTCGTAGGAGGGAAAGCTGGTTGGGGAGGACGCCGCCGGAAATAAATATTTCCAGAATGATCAATATTTTTATGGACGCAACAGGTAATCTTTAATCGTAAACACTTCAATTGTGCAATGTAAACAGACCCATTTCACTGAATATAAGGTTTAATAAGTCGCAAGTAAAACTAATTGCTTTGTAAAAACATATACTTTAATTATTGGTTTAAAAACGTCTTCGTATTCCACAGTTTTCTGGTTCTCACTGTATTAAAGTATTATCTAAAAATGTATATATTTTTATGTATTTTTTAAGGTTACAATCAGGTCTTATGATCAATTTAATTTTGATGCGGATCCGGGTCCTAAAAAAATGGATCCAGGGTATTTCCATAAAATCTACTGAATTTTTTTAACTAAGCAGAGTTTTCAAATTTTTTGTCTCTATTTTTTTCGTTTATTTTTATGCTAAACCTTGATGAACCATCCAGAAATCAGGAAATTTTAATTATCTCTTTTTTATTAGTTCAGATTTGGGGGTTGAGAGTAAATTTTTTTTCGTCAGTTTTTTGTTGATATTTTGCCCCTTGGATCCGGATCCGTCGATCCGCATTTTGCGGATCCGGATTCGGATCCAGGGAAGCTAAAATCTTGCGGATCCAACGGATCTGGTTCCGGATCCTAAGTGGCTTTAGAAAAAACGATTTTAGATAGAGATGTGAACCTTGGGGTAGGTGGCCTTTTAGGATCGTATAGCGGTAGAAGTCTACATCTTTGTTTCTGCTCCTTCAAAAGTTCCCAATCTTTGTACTTCTGCTCCTTTAAAAGTTCCCAATCTTGTGTTTCTGCTCCTTCAAAAGTTCTCAATCTTTGTGTTTCTGCTCCTTCAAAAGTTCCCAATCTTTGTGTTTCTGCTCCTTCAAAAGTTACCAATCTTTGTGTTTCTGTTCCTTCAAAAGTTCTCAATCTTTGTGTTTCTGCTCCTTCAAAAGTTCCCAATCTTTGTGTTTCTGCTCCTTCAAAAGTTCTCAATCTTTGTGTTTTTGCTCCTTCAAAAGTTCTCAATCTTTGTGTTTCTGTTCCTTCTAAAGTTCTCAATCTTCGTGTTTCTGGTCCTTCAAAAGTTGTTATCTTAGTTTCCTATAAAAATGTTCCGATCTTTGTTCACATTTATTAAAATTTACATATTTTAGTTCCAGTGCATTTATCAGTCATGCTTGTTTCCGTTCCTTCAAAAGTTTCCATATGTGTTTTCTTTTGCTTAAAAGTTTTCTTTTTTGTTTCCGTCTCTTAAAGGGACTGTAAAGGAAAAATGAAAGGGGGTATAGACTGAAAGCTAATCACTTTAGCTCTTGATCGCGACCCATGAAAGTTTTATCTGATGTTCCTGTCTCGAGAAATTGAGATAAAACTGTGTTAAAATTATACGAAAGTTCATATATGTAAAATTGAGAAAATCTTAAACTTAAATCACGTGACCAGAACTATCACCAATGGCAGAGCAGTATACTGGTCACGTGTATCCGCCTGTATAACGTGACCACTTCACTGCACTGCCATTGGTGGAATTTCTGGTCAAGCAATACGGACGTATACATAATATTATGAATTAAATCTATAAAAAAATAGAAATAACAAATATAAAATTAGAATTGGAGTAAACCTAAGTTACAATTAGCTTTCTCTGGGATATCATCGTTTTCAGATTGGTGGCATATTTGCTGAATTTTATCTTTTTAAACCCACTACTTTTATACAAAATTGTATATATATTAATTTTCGTATAAATTTGACAAAGTTATAAATCAGTTTCTCGAGATAGGAACATCAGATATAAATTTCATGGGTCGCGATCGAGAGCTAAAGTGATTAGCTTTCAGCCTATACCCCCTTTCATTTTTCCTTTACGGTCCCTTTAAAAAGTTTCCATGTGTGTTTTTGTTCGTTAAAAAGTTTTCTTTTTTGTTTCCGTTCATTCCCAATTTTCCATTTTTTCTAACAAAAATTCTTTTTTATTCATGAGTTGCCATCTTTGTTCTCTTCCTTCCGGTTCAGTTCATTCATTAAGTTGATTCTATTCTTTAAAAATGTTACCATGCTTGTTTTTGTTCCTTCAAAAGTTTCCATCTTTTTTTCTATTCTTCAAAAGTTTCCATCTCTGTTTCAGTTTATTAAAAGTTTACAAGGATGTAATGCAAGGAAAGTTATTTCAGAGGTGTACACATCTTTTGTACTGCAGTGTACTGTCTCTGGGCGGTAATGTAAACAAAACACGGATGGCCTGACATGGGATCCATCTTCCACATAAAAAATCAATGAAATATTCTAGTCATAGGAAACTATTATGTGAATTATCAAAATTATAAAAATTTAATGCTTTTAAACTCCTCGGATACTAAACGAACACTGATGCATCTATACTTGTTTACAAATTCCGCCCAAAGAGAACTGGTTTCATGTGTACGGAGAGTATACGCAACTGCAATTAACTTTCCTTGTATTACACCCTTTGTTGTTTAGGTGGGTTATTTACAACCCTAAGCACAATGTTGATTATGATGGAAGCATGGTCCCTGCTGAATGGTTTGGTTGGCTACATTACAAAACTGATAAAACACCAATTGAGCAGGTCAATTAATTATTTTATTTTCCGAAATAGAAATATTTTTTAATTCATAGGGCCAGGGGTTTTTAACTTAACCTTCTCCCTCCAAACATTTTTTTAACAAAAAGCTTTTTAACGCTACAAAAAAGTGAACTATATAATTTTTTTGTTTATTTTTACCCCGGTATGTTATTTTTATCTCGAGATCATTAGGGAAAATATAAGATATAATATTTTTCAATAATTTCTAAAATATGAAAAAGAGATATTTTTCGGTTTCTACTTGTTTCAGATTATTTTGTTATATTTGAAAATTGATATTTTCAATTGGAATTTCTCTGAAAAGTGACTTGTGAATTTTTGCTGTGGAAACAATGGAGGTGTAATTATTAGAATTAAACACTTTTTAATCTAGAAAACTGAGGATAACTTCGTCATTATTGATCAGATAAGGGTTTTAAGAGTACCGTATGTAACGGACATGACTTTTAACGACAGAATATTTAGGATTTTCAACATGAAATCTGCCACACCTCTAAATTTATCAGATTTTTTCTAGACTTTGAATTACAATGTTTTAACTCCATGTTGTTTTTTTAGCCACCAGTTAAGTACGATTGGATGGCCAAGCACTCAGTCAATACATCTGGAACCAAGGTACAATACAGTCAATACATCTGGAACCAAGGTACAATACAGTCAATACATCTGGAACCAAGGTACAATACAGTCAATACATCTGGAACCAAGGTACAATACAGTCAATACATCTGGAACCAAGGTACAATACAGTCAATACATCTGGAACCAAGGTACAATACAGTCAATACATCTGTAACCAAGGTAGAATATCGAAATCGGAATTCTTCCGCCCCATTCCTTCAGAAATAGGGCAAACTCCCATGGTATGAGATGAGGGTGCCGGATTGACCGGGTTTAAGAATCAATCCTGACCGAGACCATTACTTCCGTAGGCGGTCATGGGATCATTTCCTGGTTCCCCCCCTTCCCCTCCAGGGGGAAGGATGAGCTTTCATTGGGTTTTGGAAAAAAAGAAGAAGAAAAAGGGTGATGGAAAGGGGAAAAGGAAAAGGGAAAAGGGAAAAGGGAAAAGGGAAAAGGGAAAAGGGAAAAGGGAAAAGGGAAAAGGGAAAAAGGAAAAAGGAAAAAGGGAACGGAAAAAGGAAGAAAAAAATGGGAAGAGGGAAGGGGGAAGGGAAAAGGGGAAGAGGGAAGGGGGAAGGGAAAAGGAGAAGAGGGAAGGGAAAAGGGAATGGGAAAATGGGAAGATGAAAGGAAAAAAAGGGGAAAGGGGAAGGGAAAAGGAGCAAAAGGGAAGAGAACCACAAAAAAATTGAAAAAAACAGTATCAGAAATGCTTAAAAAAACTCAAGGGGGACCTAGAAGTTGACCTTTTTAGGAGACCGAAACGCTCCATTAAATTATTAAAATCCAAAAATTTTCTTTGCAACTGGGGCTCTGCGGCCCCTGCCCCCCCCCCCCCCCCGCAGCAGCAAACTTCTTCGAAAAAACTATTACCTTAAACTGTGAACAAATTAACGAGTAAAAATATCTTTTATATTTCAGGACGCCTACATGCCCTACACGACCACCAAGCCTAAGATCCAGTCCTGGGTGCCTCCCAAAAACTAGATAGATAGATATTGAGTAGTCAAAATGAAAAAATATGAATATAATAAATTAAGAATAAAAAGATTATTGTTTTGTATTATAAAGGCCAGCAAGCATTAAAAGATATCACTATTTCTAATTGATAACAAATAAGTGCATGACTTATCTGTTGTTAAACAACAAGTGGGCTTTTGCCTTTTTGTGTGATTCATACATTTTCTTAGAAGGGACAATTCACATTTTAGAGACAAAGACGACTTATCATACAGTGGCAGGCGATTATATAATGACGATTTCAATTTTTGATTTTATCAAGCTTTTAAACAGCATGGTACACATAATTACTTGTACACTTTAAATTATAAAAAAGCTTGTAAACAAATAAAAAGTCGTCTTCATTGTATTAATATAATCGCCTACCACTGTAGATAAGGTTTTTTCCAATTTATCTTTCTCGATAAATGACGTTTTATAGTTTTATTAGGATTTTATTACGATATTGTCGATCAAAAAACCCCTGAGCTGGAAACTTTTGAATCGGATCTCCTAATCTGATAATCCAATGTGAACACTCTTAAATTCCTGCTTAATCAGCTATTTTTGGATAGTTTTACCAGATTCCGACCAACTAGAAATCTCTAATTAAATGGCGCGCAAAATTTCAAATTTCCCGGCTTCTCATTGGCTGGTTAGAATTCTATTCTAATACTGCATATTCGTTGAATTTGATAAACTTCTGAATTCGATAATCCGATCTCTTAATCTGAATATCCAATGTGGACACTCGGAATTTCAAATTTCCCGACTTCTGATTGGCTGTACAGATTGGTTGACTTTAATAAACTTTTCTTGATTCTATCTAAAGATTAAATTAATCTTAAGATTAATTAAGAGAGGAGATAAAGCATTGTTTTCAATATCCACAATTTTATAGTTTTATTAAGGATGAACTTTGAAATAAGAAGGAGGTATTGCATCTATGACATTTTGCAATATCTCAATAAATAATGGTGTTAGCCGGTCCTACTTATGCATGTACTGCAGGCTGTCCCAATAAACATGGGAATTGAGACACCACTTGAAAGTTTTTCTTAAAGTGGTCTTTCTTGTACCTTAAAATTGACAAAGGTATTAGATATTAAGACAATTTTGATTTATTAAATAAATTTAATTTTGTACAAATTTTGCAATATCTCAGAAAGTTTTGAAGATGCCGTGGTAGGCAATTATAGCAATAAACCAAAGACCATTTTTTTAAAAATTTTAATTAATTCAAAAAATTTTTGAATTACAAGTTTACAAGCAATGAAAGAGAAGCTTTTAAATTTAATTGACAGCTTCTCTCTTTTTCGATGTTTTTGTGTATCCATGCTGTTTAAAAACTTTATATAAATCAAAATTAAAATCAAAGGTCGCCTAAGACATTTTATTGATAACATCGCCTACCACCGTACAAAAATGGTTCACCTCATTTTGAACATCTCTCGACCAGGCGTTTTCGATATTAGATGTTTGAATACTGGCATAATTGTGTTCATGATGAAGATTTAGGCTTGTTTTCTGTTTTCAGTTAAATCCTTTGATTTCCCTGAAAAAGATCATCTAATGGCAGAAATTAAATTAAACCTCCAGAACGGTTTACAGGGTTACCAATACCTGCAAAGTTTTTACGAAGAATAAAAACTATGCAAATTTTACCGCTCATAAATTAGAGTTACTCGACAAAGAATAAAATTGTAAAGGCGACTTAAAACTCTTAAATAATGAAGCCTTTAAGTTTAAAGTACAGGGTGTCCCACGAAACATGACAGTTGGTGAATAGTTTTGAATGTCTTCTTCCACATATTGTATTAGATATTTATGACTTTTTGCAGTTTAATTCTTTAAAAAAATGTCAAACTCATATATATTCTACTGTGAAATCAATTTTACTATATTATAACTGTCAAATAAAAAATTTTATTAGTCTTTAGTATCAAACAACTTATCAAATTATGAAATAAGACATTATATACTATTTACCAACTGTCATGTTTCGTGGGACACCCTGTAAGTCTTCTGACTAACAAGTTTTTTAACTTTAATAATTTATTTTAATTAAATTTTACAATATTTTTAAATTTTAATATGATATCAGATGGAAACATTTTGAGACTTCTATATTTCTTGTTTTTAATCCTTTCTTCTTGATCTTCCATTCCTTGTCCATCCTTCAATCACACTATGGCTAATTTTGAAAATGAAAATAAATGAATTTTTTGGATGTTTTCTGCAGCTAGCCAAATTGCAGAGGTAGAACTATTTTTTGAAGCCCTGTATCTATATTCTATATATTGAGAGAGCAAGGTTACTCTTCCCCTTGTTTATATTTAAATTTTGCTTCAGTCATGATACAGTGTCGAGTCAGCTATTGCATTCCTAGCTTTTCTTGGAGGGGGAGAGGGGTGAGGGGGGCATTTTCCACATTTTCCAGTTTTTTTATCTCAAGTAGGACATAGAGGGGGGGATGGGACGTCTGCCATCCTGTGTATTCCCCTTCTAATTTTTCCTGTTCAAAGTTTTCTTCTTCTTTCTTGTTTATCTTGGTTTAAGCACCCATCTCTCCTGTCAATTTTTTTCCCACTTTTTTCTGTTCAATTTATTTTTTCTTCTTGCTTCTTGTTTGTTGTTTTTACATAAGGCCTTTCCAAATAGTTCTTTTAACATCGAGTTGTGGAGCAGGTAGGAGAGAGATAAGGAGGTTTGTAGGAAGAAGGGTATAGGGGATTTCTCCCTGTGTTCCTTCATTTTATACTGTTTCCCAGTTAGGGGAATTAAGGAATTTACCCATAACTGCACCCCATATGCAAAATGGGGAGTTGTGATCCCTGAAAGCTCTCTTGAGAGGTATCTTCCATGGTAGTCCAGTCCTCACATCTGGTCGAGTAAAAAACCGGTATCGTTGTGCATGGCTTGTATTCCCAGGAGGGGTTAAACTTCTCATAATGAAGAGGGAGATGACTGCTGAACCCGACAGGGTCTGTCCTCCTCCATCGGGTGTCAGAGCCAAGCGCTAGGGACGAAGTTTTGTTTTAATCTATGTACAATTCTTGCTTCCCCTGTAGGATACTAGATGCGTAACTAAACACAGCGCTTCCCCAGCTGCAATTCTGGGACTGCATAGTAGGTCCGTTCTGCTAGAGAGAAAGCAGGCAACTGTCTGACTAACAAGTAATAATAATCTTTTAATGGCTTATGAAGTGATTTGCCAGAGAAAGAGACAAGTCTACAGTTGCAGGGAATCATGAATATTGGAAAACAAACAGTTTTAATTCCGCACAGTCGTCTATAAAGTCTCATCTTAGTGGTAACCCTGTATGAGCATTACTTTATGTAAAATTTATCGTAACTTTCTTGCCATATCTTCGTTTATTTTCAGACAATTACTAAAAATTTTATTTCTACGAAAGTTCAGTTTGTTAGCTAGAGGTATCCCATGAATTTCCGTGAATTTAACCCTGTATTTAATGGCTGACTTTAAACCCAATTTTTTATGATAAATGTGTTTGTAGAAAGTGCATTGTAATTTGCACAGTTGCAAAACACTATCAATGAAAATATATATTCTCAATATTATTTTTGGCATTAAAATAAATTGTTCTATTCTACATTAATCATAGATTTTATAAATTACATCTTAAGAAATTCGGGAACCCCTTTTCTAAAGTCAAATTTTTTTTTCAAAAATCGAAATAAAAAATTATTATTATTATTTTTATCGCAGGGTTCATATTTTAGGTAAAAATTATCTAGATAAATACAACGAAATTAAAAAATTAATTTTGGGACATCGAAAAATTAAATCCGCGAAACAATTTTCTTTGTGAACAAGCATTAGAAATTTTATTTTATTCTGCTGACAAGAAAAAGGATGATAACAGTTTTCTGACAAATAATCAGTACAAATTTTACAATAAGAAAAATGTAAATTTATTTTAAAATAGTTAAGTTGTTGATAATATAGTTCATACTTTGATGGAGGTTTTGTTCACTTAAAATGTTTTATTAAATTATTGAAATATATGGTGCAGACTTTTACTGAATAATTTACCCAGATTTCTTGTTCCACTCTTTATATTTCTCAATATGCATTCATGAACATGTTTAATAGAACAAAAAAAAACATTTTAAAAAAATGGCTTCGCGTTTTTTTCCAATGTACAAATAAAATATTTGTATTTTGTAAACAAATCTTAATAATTTTAATTTTTAGCTTAAAGCATGAACCATGCAAAAAAATTATGTTCATAAATCAAGGCTTATATTGCATTTTTTTTACTCGCCCTACTTTTCTATTTTTGTTGACAAGAAAATCAAATCAAATTTTTTAAAATGATTAAAAGTTCTTTATTAAACTAAAATTATTCTTAATTTGAATGTGGATGTGAGTAAATTGTTTTTCATAATTAGGCAGATTTACAGGTGTTTCTTAAAGGAGTAGATATTAGTATTATTCAAAAGAGCTCCTTGTTTAAATGTTATGTCATATAACTTTTAAGTTTATCTTGGAGAATTGTTGATAAAAAAATAGTGTGACAAACATTTTTTTGCAACTAAATAAATTAGCTCCCCTTCTGTGTACAAGAATCGTTACAAAATTGCAAGTCATGCTTGGAATTCCTATTGAAATCTTTACCCTGTTGAAAATACCAACCAATTGATCTTTCTTAGAGATTCTAAGAGAGTAGGATTATAGCACACTCAACTAAACTTCCGGTGTGTACTGCAGTAACTTGCTGTATTCTGACCGAAGAAAAGGTGTGTTAATGATGTTCCAAATTCAAAATGTATTGTCTCTTATTCTAAATACTGACTATCAGAAAATGATGTCTCTTATTCTAAATACTGACTGTCAGAGAATGATGTTTCTTATTCTAAATACTGACTATCAGAAAATGATGTCTCTTATTCTAAATACTGACTATCAGAAAATGATGTCTCTTATTCTAAATACTGACTATCAGAAAATGATGCCTCTTATTCTAATCACTGATTATCAGAAAATGATATCTCTTATTCTAATCACTGATTATCAGAAAATGATATTTCTTATTCTAATCACTGACTATCAGAAAATGATATCTCTTATTCTAATCACTGACTATCAGAAAATGATGCCTCTTATTCTCCATAATGACTATCAGAAAATGGTGCCTCTCATTCTAAATACTGACTATCAGAAAATTATATCTCTTATTCTAAATACTGACTATCAGAGAATGATGATTCTTATTCTAAATACTGACTATCAGAGAATGATGATTCTTATTTTAAATACTGACTATCGGAGAATGATATCTCTTATTCTAAATACTGACTATCATAGAATGATGATTCTTATTCTAAATACTGACTATCAGAGAATGATATCTCTTATTCTAAATACTGACTATCATAAAATAATGTCTTTTATTCTAAATACTGACTATCAGAGAATTATATCTCCTATTCTAAATACTGACTATCATAAAATAATGATCATAAATGGGTTGTCCCTTATTCTAAATACTGACTATCAGAAAATGATGTCTCTTATTCTAAATACTGACTATCAGAGAATTATATCTCCTATTCTAAATACTGACTATCATAAAATAATGATCAAATGATGTCTCTTATTCTAAATACTGACTATCATGAAATAACGTCTCTTATTCTAAATACTGACTATCAGAAAATTATGTCTCTTATTCTAAATACTGACTATCATAAAATGGTGTCTCTTATTCTAAATACTGACTATCATGAAATGATGACTCTTATTCTAAATACTGACTATCATGAAATGATGTCTCTTATTCTAAATACTGACTATCATGAAATGATGTCTCTTATTCTTTTAATAATTTGAACTATAAGTAGACTCGGTATACCTGTGCATTATAAATTAGAAACAAGCAAAAATTAATGTTTAAAAGTTTATTATGAATAAAGTAATAAAAATGATTAAAGTTTTTTCAAGTAATGTGTTAATTTTTATCTTAAATTTAAACACAAACTTGAGAATAAGATTCTAAGATAAAAATAGTAAAGTACAGTAATAACATGAAATGGTCCAATTTAAAGGCTAGCTTTGATATCCAGAACGTAACGAACAATTTGATCGTTCTTTGTCTCCAGTGATTTGTAAACCTCTCCTATTTGATCAGCTTTCACCAGTTTGGTGGCAGGAATTATCCCATGCTTGGCACAGAAGTCCATGCAGTCCTGGGTCTCCGGCATTCCACCGATAACAGACCCAGAGAGGTTGATACGCTTCATGAGGAATGGAAACTGGTTGACGCTGTGGTTAGCAGTCACCAATCCAAGCTGAACTAGAGTTCCATCTTTCCTCAGCAGAGGGAGATAGTGGGAAAGCTCATGAGGAGCTGACACAGTGTTGAGGATCAAATCCAAAGAGTTCTCGCCTGAAGCCATACTGTCAGCATCCTTGGAGACAATGAAGTTGTCTGCTCCAATGGCCATTGCATCAGCTTTTTTATTTGGGCTTGTTGAAATTGCGGTGACTTTATTTCCCATTGCTTTGGCTAACCTCACTCCCATTTGACCAAGACCTCCAATGCCAATGATTCCAACGTTCATACCTCCAGGCAAAGCTTTCCAGTGAGCCAGTGGTGAATACATAGTGATACCTGAACAGAAAATGGGTCCGGCAGCTTCCATTGGATAATTGTCAGGGATTTTGACGATGTATCTCTTGTTAACAGTCATAGACTCGCAGTAGCCTCCGAAGGAGTATCCGGTGTTGGTCTTTAAACCTCCATGGACCAATGGGTAGTTGAATGCATTCGTGAAACCACCTTCACAGAAGTTCTCTTCTCCTTTCTCACACTGGGAGCATTTGTTACAGCTGTCAACAATACATCCAACGCCAACACGATCCCCAACTTTGATCCCGGTCACATTGGAGCCAACAGCGGTCACCACGCCGGCCAGCTCATGCCCGGGTACTATGGGATAGCTGGTGTTTCCCAACTCATTGTTGGCAAAATGAATGTCACTGTGACAGATTCCACAGTATTGCAGGTCAAAACTCACATCGTTATCTCCAGCCAGATTTCTCTGGATTTTAATCTTCTCAAATTCAGTCTCTTGGCTCTTCTTGCCCCAAGCATTTGTCTCATACATATCAGTAGACATGGTTTGTTTGCTAGGAGTGAACAGTCCGGTGTGTGTGAATGGTATGATGGCGAACTGAAGCCCCGCTTTGCTTTTCTAACCTCCAGGCCTCAGGTTTGGGGTTGAAAGAATACGTATGTTTGCTTGGGCCGGTGTATAGACTATAGAGTTCCTAGGGTACGCACAGCTCTCTTTCTGTTGTATTGCCAGACTAGTCGTTTATAACTTTACACACACCCCCAAGCCTCCAATATACCTTAGATCTCAATTGTAATTTTGCTCCAACTTTGAAAGGCGTTAATCAAGAAATTCTCAATGACTTGTACTCCGCATGCATTGTTAAAGTACTCGAACTTCGTAGAAACTTCCGTTTACAATAAAATAGGGATTGTCAATGTCTTGCTTCTGGATTTTACTAGATTTAAAACATCAGCGAAGATATTAACAATATATAGTATATAATAGAACAAGACATTCGTACATATATATATATGTTGCGTATAGCCGGCCAAATGGCTGGACCGATTGGGCTGAAATATTTCGTGAACACTCAGGGGTGGCGTTATAGGCTAAAAAAATTCGAAATTTTTTTTATTCCACGGGCAACGCCAGGCCCTTCAGCTAGTAGTATATACGTACCACAAATTGTATTCAGGGGGGGGGGGTTACAGCCTCCCCTCCCTGGATCTATAATTAGCAGTTTTTTTGACCCAATGGATGCTGTGCCTCCCCTCCTAGAATAAAAAATTAACCCCCTGTACAAATTCCCAAAAAGAGTGAGATTATAAAGACGACCTTAAACTTTTGAATATGATGATTCAAGGTTAGATTAAGACAACTTTGCCTTAAATATATTCGCCAAATGGCTTATTTATTAATTTGACAAAGTTAACAGTTACAGCTGGAACTTGAATACAAGAAAATAGATTTCGTACAGTTGTCTCTGAAGTCTCATCGTTTGTGTGAAACCCTGTAAGAAAGAAATGACATAAAGCCGTCTTTTTAAAGATCGCTTTTTTTATAACAAATCAAATGACTTTTGTATAAAATTTCTCAATGAGCTACAGGTGTATGTTACCAAAAATGAGACTTTAATGATGACCAAAACTCTTAAATTTAAAACTTAATGATTATTATAATTGGATTTGGTCTTCTATTTAGATTCTCATCTCTCTAGTAAATAGGCTTTAAATAATGGGTTACCCAACAATAATAAGACACTGTGCAGAAAAATTAAAATATCTGTATCCTTGTACAGTAATAACCAGAAAACTCTGGAATAGGAAGACGACTTTTAGGCTCAATTGATGCCTTTAAATAGTCCAATGAACATGATACGTAGTATCTTACCTAAACAATAATTTAACCAATTAATAGTAAAACTTTTTGCCTTGTAACAATTCAGCAAATACACTTGAGGATTGCTTTAATATCGTTTTTCTATTCCAGAGTTATCTGGCTATCACTGTTTTTATGACACCCTACAACAAATTGATTTCCAAATCATTTAATAGCCCATTTAAAGACCATGTTTCAGGCAAAATACTTAATTCAAACTTGAAACGTCATATTTTAAGAGTTACAAGTCTTCTTTATCTCATCCGTTAATTGTGGGTAACCCTGTATAAGAAGAATTCTAAATAGAAAGTTACGTTTACATGGCTGCATAAGAAAAATACCGTAAAATTAATGCACTGCAGTCGTCTCTGAGTCTTCAGTCATATGCATTGTGGGTTATTCAGTACAAATGTTATCAATTTAGAGGATAAATTTTATAACATAATTTTCAACAATGTAAAGTTTTGTTTTTTACACCCTAATATTTCCGAAGGCGTTGTTAATTTGGAGTCCATTTTGCTATCTAATAATTTTGTTTACTGGAAAAAAATTGTGCAATGTGCATACTCTCTGACAAAAATCGATCAGTATTTTGTAAGTTACTCAGTTTAAACTTAAGCTAGAAACTAACGCGTTGCAAGTATGAAATGTATATGTCAAGGGTTACAAAAACGTATAAGAGGTATAACCAAAGGCCAGGGCGGCATGCATATACAAATTTGATCAATAAATTTTAGAGTTGTCTAGATTTCAGTGCGTCACTTCTCCAATTAAAATAAGCTATCAGTCATCACTCATCAGTTCCTTTCTCTTGGATTAATTTATAACATTTTAAACTGTAAATACTTATTTGAGACCCCTGGCATACTGGTTGTACAAGAAGTTTATTAAGTGAACAACTACCGACAAGGAAAATAAAAATTAGGAAAAATACACAGCTCAAAGTTTTTACATATCGTTATTTATTTAAGCCATAACTAATGAACTTCAGTTTAATTTATGACAATGTGCAGTTATATATTGATATATATTGATTAATCTTTGTGTGACATTTACTAAACAATATATTATCTCTAAGATTTGAATTGGGTTGATCATACATAACATTTAGAAAATATAGACACAGTTTCTTCTGGTTACAGGGTGTCCTATGCTTTCAATAAATATGGGAATTGAGAGACGTCGGTGATTTCCGATAATTGATAAATGACATCAAGTGAATTAAAAAAATGTTGAATTTCGATGGAGACCCCCCTCCCACACTTTCATTGGAGACCCCCAGATTTTCATTGGAGACACGCAGATTTTCTTTGGAGACCCCTAATCTGGGGGTCTCCAATGAAAATATAGGAGTCTCACACGAAATTATGGGGTCTCCAATAAAAATCTGTGGGTCTCCAGTGGCGACTTCTTCCCAGACATTCCCAAAATATGGTCTGTCTATTCGTCAATATTACCGTACATATTTGAGGAGTCAATTTTACTTGCTGTCAATCAAAATTAGCATGTTGTAATAAATTCTATAGAATGGTGGTGTTTTGTATCTTTTCTTCAAAAACAAAAATAATTCAGGAATAAAAAACAAAATTCTTATATTTTCCAAGAAAAAAAAATGTTAAATACAGAACACACAAATAACCATTCAGTTGCATATATTCAATAAACAGGTTGGGATATTTGCGATTTCAAGGTTAAACCTCAATTTATATTGGTCATTAAATATCCTAGACTGTTTTTGCAATCATTTAGACTTCTTAGTATTTTAAGGAATAAATAGCATTAATATTTGCAATATGCCTGGAACTACGATGGTCTAATTAAGCCTCGAAGCTTACAACCAACTAAAGTGGTCGAGGTTTAAATTATTACAATCAAGACGACTTTTCTATTTAAGTATTGATTTCAAATTTTAAGTTCCATGTTTGTTTATCCATAATGCTTGAAAGCTATTATTAAAATCGAAAGTAGTCTTCTTTGTCTTATGGAGGGACCACAGGGTGCAGCTCAACCTTGAGCCCTGCGAACTGACCTCCGGAGCCTCCTTCACAGAATGATCTCCTCGCAAATCAAATTCATCTCCTTTCCTCACGCTGCGTTACCATGGGTGCTGGAATAGGGTGAATAGGGTAAGGTAGTCATACAATTCTAGCTTCTGTATCTTACCTACGTCATAACCCGGTACAGGGCACAAAGTGGACACTGGCGAGTATACGCATAATTGTGATTGGCATTTCTTTAGCGGTCTGAGAATTCTCCACCAATAGTTTTAATCAGTGACGTCAGAGGATACGGATCTTCCCCCCGTACCGTATCGACCTTTCATTCGTGCGCGAGCCTCGTTGGGATACACTTATTCCAGTACCCATGTGCGTTACCCATAATTTCAGAGATTACTAGAGAATTTAATGAAAAAAAACCAATTTATTTTGGAAAGATCTAATAGTAATAATTACAGGATGTTCCAATAAACATGGGAATTCAGTGTCGAATTTGATATCGTCTTTTTAGATACAGAGCGTCCCATATCATATTAGATTATCTCCAATCCTTAACACCAAAATAAACCCTTAATACTCGAAAAACTTATCATCTTCCGCAAGAAAATTCTTATACAAGCCTTATTTTATTTTTCAAAATGATTCGTTCTAATGAAATTTTCTAATTAGTCCCGAAAATCGTAATTTAGACCCGTTCTCGGTCTAATATGATGTGGGACACCCTGTATTTCTTTGATTTAGTAAAGTGATACCTATTGTGAAAGCTGTAATCTGTAAGAGTTTCGTCTACTATGTTCACATTTGGTTTGTTTATGTTTTGAATGCATACGGATGTACTAAGTAAAACAAGAAAAATTGCAGTTTACAAACTGAGTTAACTTGTCTGTCTTAAAACTATCCATCTTGCGGAGACATTATAGACACATCTTTACAGTCTTTTACCCTTTCGATAATAGAAAGTAGAAACTCTAGCAGACAATAATATTATGGCTTTTGAAATTAATAACAAAGACGATATCCAATTCGTCACTGAATTCCCATGTTTTTTGGGACACCCTGCATCATTCACAGAATTTCCATTTATTTGATTCTTCGCAACTATAAATTAGTTTCTTTCTTTTCCAAGTAATTTTATAAGCCATTAACAGACCATTTTTAAGGATAAGGTTGTAGGTCGTCTTTTCAGTCTCGTCCTGTGTGAGTAACCTTTAACCTAATTAGCTAACTAATAACCGACTCAAAATTCCCTCTTTATTAATTTTTAACATGATCATTTAAACATAATTTAGATGCCTTAAACTAAAAACTTGAATTAAAAATATTGAACAAAAATGAGGCATAATTATTTTGAGAGAAAAGAACAAAAACAATCAGATTTAATTATGTTAATTTTCTAAAATTAGAATAATGACCTTGTACTGTAGTTCAGAATACTTCAGTATAGTTCAGAAACTTAAGTACAGAATACTTAAGAACAGTAAAAGTATACTTGTGTATGGTGAACTTAAAACCAGTTAACTGAAGTATATAAAACTGAATTACAATAAACTGAAGTACAGTAAACTGAAGTACAGTAAACTGAAGTACAATAAACTGAATTACAATAAACTGAATTACAATAAACTGGTACAGTAAACCGAAGTACAGTAAACTGAAGTGCAGTAAAATGAAGTACAATAAACTGAAGTACAGTAAACTAAAGAACAGTAAACTGAAGTGCAGTAAACTGAAGTACAACAAACTGAGGTACAGTGAACTGAAGAACAGTAAACTGAAGTACAGTAAACTAAAGTACAGTAAACAAAAGTACAGTAAAATGAAATATAGTAAACTAAAGTACAGTAAACTAAAGTACAGTAAACTGAAGTACAATAAACTGAAGTACAGTAAACTGAAGTACAGTAAACTGAAGTACAGTAAACTAAAGTACAGTAAAAAAGTAATAGTACAATAAATTAAAGTACAATATACTTAGATATCGAACACTTAAGTGTAATAAACTGAAGTGCAATTGACTGAAGTTCAAAAAGCAAGAACAAGTTGAATTTTAAAATGATACGAATCATAGTACACAAATAATTTGTAGGACAAAATGGTTGATTTGTCACATCTTTTCAGTGTCTTTTAAATTGAGTTTTATCATATTTAATCAGCTTCAGCACGCCCAACAGCATTCTTAGCATCACAGGCAACTAAAAACAATTAACTTCAAGCAACTACTAACAGGACGATTAACTTCAGGCAACTACTAACAGGACGATTAACTTCAGGCAACTACTAACAGGACGATTAACTTCAAGCAACTACTAACAGGACGATTAACTTCAAGCAACTACTAACAGGACGATTAACTTCAAGCAACTACTAACAGGACGATTAACTTCAGGCAACTACCAACAGGACGATTAACTTCAGGCAACTACCAACAGGACGATTAACTTCAGGCAACTACTAACAGGACAATTCAACTACTAACAGGACGATTAACTTCAGGCAACTACTAACAGGACGATTAACTTCAAGCAACTACTAACAGGACGATTAACTTCAGGCAACTACCAACAGGACGATTAACTTCAAGCAACTACTAACAGGACAATTCAACTACTAACAGGACAATTAACTTCAGGCAACTACCAACAGGACGATTAACTTCAAGCAACTACTAACAGGACAATTCAACTACTAACAGGACAATTCAACTACTAACAGGACAATTCAACTACTAACAGGACAATTTGATTTACAAAAAATCATTTTTGTAAGGCAATTTTTTTTTCTATTACCCGTCCATAAACCCTTCCTCAGATGAGATTTTAAAAGCTTAGTCACAAGTGAAGACCCGAATAAAGACCCGGGTTTTGGTGTTTAGTAAAAACCAACCACCTTGGGTTTTTCTCTTTTCAAGGCTCGGGTCTTCAGCAGCTATGATAGTAAATTTCGAAAAAACTTTTATATTTGTAAATTTAAAATCTCGGGAATTATTTGTAGTGTAAAATTTACTCAAAGGTATGAAATAAACATACTACACAAATAATGTAACGACGTAAAGTTAGAATTTTCGAAATTTACATCTCCTTGTCACAGCTGATCTGCTAGCAATCTGTCTGCTACAGAGAGAAAGCTTTCTAAGCAGTCTCTAATTGGTCGAATCAGAGCCAATCATGACTTGGGTTCTATCTGAGCCCAACTCGGGGTTTCACTCGGGCTTAAGCTTATAAAATCTTATCTCTGGGGTCATGTTAGTAGTCATAACAAATTTGGGCCCGATCAATTCAATCGTTTAAACGTTTATTGGATACAAACAAACAGAAAGACAAATTAAAGTAAACATAAAGATTAATTACCTATTTTGACCCGATCTACTTTCGAGACCTCGGCATGTTCACGGAATTCAACATCCTAAACAAAAAGCATCGTCGTATATATAAATACAATGAAGACGACATAGGATTTCAATTTTTTGGCTACCAAGCTTTAAAACAGCTGGATAAACATAAACAGGAAACAGATAAACTACCTATTAACAAATTCGCTTGTAAAATTTTAAATTTAAAAAAAAACTGGATAAGAAAAGTTGTCTTCATTTTATTGATATAAAAGCAGACCACCCAGGTAATGCTGGTGTCGTAGGATAATGCCCAGACAACTGTATTTTATTCTTTAAAATCAAATTTTAAAATGTTTTATGTAACGCCTTAATATAAATAAAGTAAATTATAGCGTCATGTTAAGATAAAAAATATAATTTTAATCAAGAAATATTTACTAGAAATTTTCCAATAAAATATAATTGTATCTGTAAATAGGGCATCGGACTCAACACGTTTTAGGTTTTCAGAAGGATCTAAAAAATAGCTAAACTGAACTTCTAATTTAATATGCCAAATTGTGACACTCGCAGAGAGATAAACGAAGCTGGACCAACGTTCAGATAGTATCTAAGATCAAAGTCGAGATTTTGTACAGTGCATTGAAGAAAAAAAAAACTCTTGACATTTCTGCAGAACTTCTATTAAACTGAAGAGCCACATAACTCCAGAATGTTTTAATAACGGATAAAATGGATTAACAAAAAACTCAGTTAATTTAAACTCTCAAAAACTGGAAGCCAGGCGGAGATGAGATGGGGGGGGGGCATACCCTGAGCATGAAGGTCCAGACGTTGTCACAGAACCTGTAGGTGTTCAACTTTTCAGCCCTAGAAATATTCTATTATTTTAAAGTTATTTTTTAAAGATTCCCTTAAAACTCATAATTTGTGTTCACAAACAAAAATGAAGCAAAACTATAAAATACAAAAAAAAAAATCAATAATAAGACTCGACAGACAAAAAAATGACTTTTTACTGCAGCAGTGGCGACTCAACGTTAAGAAAACTTCAGAAGAAAAGAAATTGTCAATTCGAGCCTAAAATTCGGTGTCGTATCGTTTGCCCTAACGATGAATCGGACTAACGTACATTCGAACTAACGTTCATTCGGACTAACGTTTTATTTGATGGTTAGGTTAAGAAAATTTCTGGGCCGAGCGCTGCGGCAAGGACAGGCTAGGGGGCCGAGCGCTGTGGCCACAAGTGTTACTGATTAGTACGTTAGTTTAATAGGACATTAGTGCAAACGATTTAGTATCTAAAATTCAAGTCGTCATAATGTCATTTTAAGTCAGGCGAGGCTTAATCAAGACTAAAAATCGTATATTTTACGTTGTTGTAGAAACCTTGTTCATCCAGGAAATTCAGGCGAGTTCTTTATTGAATGATTTTTGAGGGGTTCCTTGTACGAAGTAAAGATAAAACCTAATGCTTTAAAGTTCACCTAAAATGAAGCTTAGATTTGACTCGATTGGCCAGACCAGTGTTGATAGCTTTATCAAACTGAGTCAAGACCCTGAAAAAAATTTTAATTATAAATGATCAATTATCAAAATAAAAAAGAGCTAAGAACGACGAAAAAAGAACACTCCGTAAAAAAATAAGCTTTTAAGACCCACGAAAAAAAGTGAAGCAAAGAATAAAGAAAATTGTAGCAAATGTAGAGAGAAAATGCAAAAACATGCAGCAAAGAACCAAGAAAATCTGGGAAAATGTGAAAAAATGCAGCAAAGACTCAAGGAAATAATGAAAAATGTGAAAAAATGCAGCAAAGACTCAAGGAAATAATGGAAAATTTGAAAAAAATGCAGCAAAGACTCAAGGAAATAATGGAAAATGTGAAAAAATGCAGCAAAGACTAAATGAAATTTGGGAAAATGTGAAAAAATGCAGCAAAGAACGAAGGAAATTGGGGAAAATATAGAAAATGCAGCAAAAATAACAAGGAAATTGTCTAAATGTAGGAAATGTAGCCAAGAAACAAGGTACTTGTCTAAAATGCAGAAAAATGCAGTGAATTTAAAAATATCACCATAAAAATTATTCTTATTATTATTTTAATTAATTTTATTATTTTTATTAATTAGGCCAGTCGTTTAATAGAGTTGGGGCTGGCGCTCTACTCGTATTATTACAATCAAATCAAATCATTCTTTTTGGACGTGCTACACCCACACCCCAAAATTGAAGTGACTATACTGAATCAATAATGAAGTGAGGTCTTACGATTTGTATTTTTGCTAATTTCCAATTGATTGTTCAATAAAGTCTACAAAAAGATTTGTAATCGACATTATTTATACCGTTAACATTAACGAAAAATGCGCGAAATTAACAATCTACAACGGACATCCGACGTTATTGCCAGACCGCCAATCACAGATTTTAGTCCCAGTCCCCGGTATAATAAGCTTTTCGGTAATTTAATGTAAGATGAAATTAAATAATTATATTAATGTAAGAAAAATCCATAGAGACAAATAAAATGTAGCGGGAACTTTGGACACAAGTTCCAAGAGTCAAATAAAAATGTAACGGGAAATTTTAGAAAAATTCACAAGGACTTAAAAAAGATTTAGATGGAAAAGGACCTGAGAGCGAGGGCTGGGGAAAGCATTTGCAGTTGCATCAGCTCATCCAGGGACTCCTGAAAATATAAAATTTAGAAATTAAAGTAGAAAAACCTGGGATAAGCTAGGTTTTAACAACAAGACTAAGTTGTTTGTTTGACACCACCTAGCGACCAGTACTGGAAGTTGTAAACAAAAACATCAATATCAAACCTTAAATTAAAGAATTTATCGATTTTCTAGGTTAAAATTGCGAAAAATAATTAATTTCCCAGCAGTCCAAACTTTTAGTATTGTATTATCATGATTGGGTTGTTTTCGTCTAAAACTGATTTTTTTAGGGGGGGGGGGTAACACTTTTTAAGGCCTGCACACAAAAAAAATAACACATCAGCTTTGCACCCGCAAGGGAAGATTTTAAAAAAGTCCAAAAAATACATCGGAAAAAAGTTAACTTGTGAATGTTATTACATCCATTTTTCAAGGACTTTCAAATAAATAGAAATTATCCTCGTAGCAATAAATAAAAAAATTAATTAACCATTTATGATTTATGATTTAAACAATATAAAACATTGATATTTTCAGACTAATTTATTTTTACTACTTTATTATATTTTAGGTTGGTTTATGTTTTTTTTTCTATTCGTGATTTTGTTTCTTTATCTTTCGTTTATATTTTGTTTTGTTTTTGTTTTATTATGTTTTGTTTGTGTTTTGTTTGTGTTTTGTTTGTGTTTTGCTTGTGTTTTGCTTGTGTTTTGCTTGTGTTTTGCTTGTGTTTTGTTTATGTTTTGTTTATGTTTTGTTCATGTTTTGTTCATGTTTTGTTCATGTTTTGTTCATGTTTTGTTCATGTTTTGTTCATGTTTTGTTCATGTTTTGTTCATGTTTTGTTTGTGTTTTGTTTGTGTTTTGCTTGTGTTTTGCTTGTGTTTTGCTTGATGTTTTGTTCATGTTTTGTTCATGTTTTGTTCATGTTTTGTTCATGTTTTGTTCATGTTTTGTTCATGTTTTGTTCATGTTTTGTTCATGTTTTGTTCATGTTTATGTTTTGTTTATGTTTTGTTTATGTTTTGTACCTGGAGGGTGTGCCCCAAGGTGGTATTCCTGTAGAGCTGGTAGGACATTATGAAGCTTGAAGATTAGTTTCCACCCCTAGAACATGATCATCAATATTATCATTAATCTTATTATTAACAGAAACAAATTTAAGCGGAATGTCTGTTTAGCAACGGTAACCATAAACATTTTGATTAATCAAGAATGAATGCGTACTACAGGGGATATTAGTTCCAAAACAAACATTTGACCCATTTCTAACACTGAGTGTTAGAAATCTGCAAAGTTTTCTTTTTTCAAGGGTATATTTTTAAATCCAAGACGAGTAGAAGAAAATTTCATCATTTATAAAAAAAATGGCTAAAACTATGTATTCAACCAATAAATGTCAATAGCTCTACCTGAGAGCAAGAACTAGATGAAGAACTGAACCACCCTGTATCTTGTAATCACTCGCTATCTTATCATCGTTCATCTGCTTACCTAAAAATCAAGGATCTATATCTAAATCTGTATATAGATATAAATTTGGCTTAACTGCCTGCTACTTAATTTGTCCTGAACCTCTGAACCAATAGAGCCCAACTTTATGTGGTAGCAAGGTTCATTTAAAGTCAAAATTTTAGGAGAAAAAATTTAGAAGTAGTCTCCCATTAGCCTTGTCATAAACATTTCTTGTTTTTAGGAAAACAATGGTACCCAAGGGTGACAGAGGCTAGAAAGATCCCTTCCCCCCCACTCTCAGTCCTTTTATAACTAATGAGAACCACTATTTACTACAGATAGGTTTTAGTTAAAGAAATGTATTCAATGGCTCTGTTATAATCAGGAAGCAATGAAGCAGCCCCCACAGTGGGGGTATTTAAGGGAGACATCAGCTGGTTCTTCAGCTGAGAAATTCCTTGAGTTTTATCAACAGAAATATCAATCTTTTCATCATCAGAACCAGACTTGGGCCTGAAACATCGTTCCATTCTTGTTTAAAGAATAATCTAAATTGTCACCTGAAAGCTCGTTTCTTGAGAGGATTTGAGGAAGTAGACTCGGAGCTGAGGCATCCCCAGAGCGTGTGTCACAATCTTCCTTAAAAATGGATATGCTTTGTGCTTCATGATGAGCATGAACAACTTAAATGTACTCTGGAAACTTTTCAGTTTTTAAAAACATTGTATTAATTGTAGCTTGCAGAGAGTTATTATGATTTAAAACAATTACTTTTTCCGTACATTTATTTATCCTTGAGTCGATCCTGTAACTCTCCGAAATATTGCGGAGTTCAGAGTGTACAATTACATAGGAGAGGCGTAAAATAACATTTACTTTAGCTTTAGAACTTACCAGAGAAAATCAATCTTTGCTGCGGGGGAGGGATTCCTTCCTTCTCTTCTACTCGTTCTTTAATCCTCTCAACCTTTAACAATTATTTAGTTTAAAACTGTAATTAAAGGGACTGTAAGTGTAATTTCAAGTGTCCCTCCATGCAAAGATGGCAATGTCCGATACACGACGGTACCCTTGAAACCTTTATCTGATAAAAAGGAGTAAGTAGTCGTTTACTTAGAGTTATAAGTATCTAATCCTGATAACTCCTATATATGTTAAAGCAACTTCTGTAAAGAACCAAGAATTGAAAATTATCATGAATTATGAACCAAGAATTGAAAATTATCATGAATTATAAACCAAGAATTGAAAATTATCATGAATTATGAACCAAGAATTGAAAATTATCATGAATTATGAACCAAGAATTGCAGACTTTGCATAGAGGGTGACTAGAAATTACGCATACAGGTTCTATAACGCAGATAGCTTTCAGTCAATCATGTTTATTGATTTTAACAAGATAAAAAATAAGAAATGTAAGAGCTATCAATCGTTGTTTTGACTCACCTTATCAGTAGGCTCAATGTCAATCTCAATTTCCTTTCCGGTCAGAGTCTTAACCTAGAAAGTATGTTGATAGATATTGAGTAAGTTCAGATCTTTTGAAGATTTTTTTTTCAAACGTATTTGATGTACTTTTAAATTCAATTCAGTTGTTACGATAGGAATTAGGCAAGAAATAACAAGATTTTATTTTGTTTAAAACTTAATTTAAAGAAAGATATTTTTAATAAGGACAGCGAAAAAAATTGCTTCAATCTTATCCAAAATTAACACGTAATAAAAAAATAGACGGATTAGAAAAAATATATTTTATATACCCCTGATATAAATTTAGCGTGCCCTACCTTAATGAGCATTCTGTGCCTCTAGACGAGTATCATGAATAATCTGAAACTGATCGAGAACATATTAAACATGGTGGATTTACTATGCATGACAATAAAAAAATATTTTAGGATTTAAAAGAAATTAGACAACTTGGATAATTCGGTAAAATTCTTATTGATCTTAATTTTCAATTATTTTTTATTTTTTTTCCTCCAAACTTTTAACATTATTTTTCTTCCAAAATTAAAGAGATCTTGCATCGGACTCAGGGGCAAAACATTTGTTCACAGCAAAAAAATAATTGATCAAAGAAATTCACCATCGTTATACTACTTAACTGTACATTGTTACAGTGTACACAGAAAGTAAGGTTACATAAGTACAGAGTTATATAAATGCTCAAAAATAAACGAAAAACGCGCAACGGGATTCAAATCTCACACATCAAATTCGAAACATACCTTTGGGATAGGGTACAAGCTGGTACAAAACTAAACAACAACAAATTAATGTTGGGCACATTACAAATTCAAATACTGAATTCAAGAGTACTGGGTAAATTAACATGGTGCCAGTACAGAGGAAGGGGGGAGGGAGCACCCATAGCCCCTCCAAGTAATCTCCTAACGTGGCCTGTAATGATGGATTTAAAACTGATAGTACAGACATCTTGACCCGTCTTCGCAGTTCGAGAAGAGATCCTTCACCATCCTGTCGTCTTCGTTCGAGATAGGATAATCCAGCGGTTTCCTAAGCACAATCAATCAATCATAGAATTCAAAATGGCCGCCAAATACATGGTTAGATTTAAGAAATGTGAAAAAAGTGTCATTCATACTTGATGAGGAGATATTCTAGACGTTTAAGAATTAGTTCAGTTTCAGTTTCAGGAGAAATTATCATGGCGTTTTTGTCAGAAAGTCCGGTATAATAATTGAAATTTTTGAAAGTTTTGTGTATAGAGGGGGGGGGGGCACATGATATAAATCTTACTTTACAGGAGGTAGAGGGAACGTGTTCCATTCTTGTTTAAAGAATAATCTAAATTGTCACCTGAAAGCTCGTTTCTTGAGAGGATTTGAGGAAGTAGACTCGGAGCTGAGGCATTCCCAGAGCGTGATATTTGAACCTTCAGGAACCTGAATCAAAAAAATATTTGGTTTACAGTCATTCACTTGTAGCCCTCCCCTATATTTTCTCATCCCCCCTCCCCCCTCCTTTAAAATCATATTTTCCCACTGAATTGGGGAAACCAGTGTTTCGGATCCATATCATTTTGATTTGGATCCGGATCCGGGGATCCGCATCCGTGTTCATGGATCCGGATCCGGCTCCTGATACGGATCCGGATCCGGCTCCTGATACGGATCCGGATCCGAGGTAACTTTTGATTCTGTGAATCGGATTTTCCCTATTAAATGTTATGCAAGGTTATAATTTATAAAATGTCGTCATTAATTTACTATTATATAAATGTAAACATTAAATTATTAAAGATAATTTTGAAAAATTTTCGTCATGTAAAATGTAAATAATACATTTACGAACCATTTTGATTTATTTATTCCATGGTTTTGGTTAATTTTTGGCGCTACCCGGATCCATATCAACGTTTCCTTATACGGATCCGGATCCGACCAAATGATACGGATCCGACCGGAACCGGATCCGGATCCGAAACACTGGGGGAAACAAAATTATTTCAAGGAAAAATAACTGAATTTTTAGGGGAGAAGTATCAAGAAAAAATATGCAGTTTAATTTCCAATTTTAAATTTTTCCCCCCAATACATTAAAAATCATTCCCGGGGGGACCGGATAGGAGGGAGTAATTTTGAAATTTATACACCCCTGGCTAACCTTCCATACAATTTCTATTTAAGAATTTTTTCCTTTAATTTTTAGTACAATTTTAATTTAATTTAACTTTAATTGAATATTGATATCTCATTGCACATTAGTTGATTCTTAAAATTTGTGATTTAAGAACCACAAGCTTTCATCACTATTTTTGTTAATTTTTGCCACTTTCATATTATTTGTAAATCGGAATATTTTTTGCGGCTCTGGATCCATGGATCCAAATATATTTTGTAAATCAGGATCCATGGAGCTGAAATGTATCAAACCCGAATCCTTAACACTCCCCTCCCTGTTTTGCTAGGATTGTGAATGTAGTTCTAAGAGACCCTGCATCAAAGTACTGAAATATTTGGAGAAAAAAAAACATATTCAAAGTTGCAGGGAACCATAAATTAAGAAATAAGACTTAATAAGTTCCTACAGTCGTCTCTGAAGTCTTATCCATTCTGTAAGGATTAGCTTGATATCTTAATTAACAAAAAATAATGCCTTTAAAAGCTTGCGAGGTCGGGCATAAAATATCTCGAAGCCAGAACTTCAGTAGGCTACAACTCAGTTACCAGAGGTCACAGGAGTCTGACATTTTGGATTTAATGTGTTACTAATAACATGCTAGCTGTGTGCAATATTTAAAGAACACATATGAAATTGACTCCTATAGGGTGGCAGAGGTGTTTATTAGTTGTGAGAAGTATAATGTCGACAGTTTCAAAAGAATGTACGATGAAAATGTGAATTATATAAACAATGATGGCCAGAACTTTAGCTGAACTAAAATCATTTACAGTGAAATCAAGAAATTCTCATTATACTCCAATAGGAATCCTGAGAATCAACACCACATAAACATGGAGCATTTTGGTGCCCTAAAAACGACAACTTCAAGGTCCCCCCCTGAGTTTTTAAGCATTTCTGACTGTTTTAAAAAACATTTGTTGGTTCTTTCCCTTTCCCTCTTGCCCATTTTCCCTTTTGCCCCTTTTCCCTTCCCTCTTGCAACTTTTCCATTCCCTCTAAACCTTTTTCCTTCCCTCTTCCAATTTATTCCCTTTTCCCTTTGCCCCTTTCATTCCCCTTTTTTCATTTTTTTTCTTTATTTTTTATTTATTCCCCCCAACCCAATAAAGGGGGGGGGGAATCAGAAAAATATACACCCCTGTAGGGTGCCTGACTTTATAAAGAATCACCAGTTTTATATTTTAAAGCAAAGACGACCTACCCGCAGTTAGGGTTGTTAATTGTTTTTGAAACGATCGTTAACCGATCGTTTTTCGTTTCATTTTTCAATCGTTTCGTTTCGTTTTCGAAAAAACGATAGTTTTTAAAAACGACCCACTCGTTTTGAACTTTTAGAAAACGAATAATGAGGGTTTTTGAAAACAATCGTTTTTATAGCGACCGTTTTTATACAATTGTTTTTAAAGAACTGTAGTTTTTGAACGAAGGGTCGTCATAACGACCTTTCTTAACGTTAACTGTCCTTAACGATGATTCGTCGTTAACGATTGTTAACGAAGGGTCGTCGTTTTAAAAACGACCATTTTTAAAAACTAACTTGTAAACATCCCTCCCTACCTGCAGTCCTTGCATCAGCTGGTTCTTCAGCTGAGAAATTCCTTGAGTTTTATCAACAGAAATATCAATCTTTTCATCATCAGAACCAGACTTGGGCCTGAAACATCAGCATTAATGGCATCACGAGCATCAAAAGCATCGTCAACATCAACATCAACATCAACATCAACATCAACATCAACATCAACATCAACATCAACATCAACATCAACATCAACATCAACATCAACATCAACATTGAGATATCCAACCCACCTGAAGGTCACGGTAAACTCATTAATCTTCTGAGTAATAAACTTGTCATAATCAAGGATTGCTTCTTCTAAACAAATTGTCAATTAGTGAACTTCAAACTGAGATAAATTAATAAAATTACTAAAAGTGTGGGATTTTATGGTGAGACCCATTTAAATGTAGAATATTAAGACGACTGTTAGACTAACACCTAATGTGAGGTTTAGATCATCAACATCATCAAGTTTAAAAACTAACCTGGAGTTTTGGCGCCCTCCTGGATGACGAAGATGTCAAAGTTGTTTATCCCTTCAACATCATCGTTACGGTTCACCTTGGTCACATTCAGCGGGTTCAAAAACCTTAAAGTAGCGTGGCTTAAAGGGACTGACGGCGTATTTTCAAATGACCCTCAATCTATTGGCAAATTTAAATCTTTGTCTATGTTTTCTTTAAAACTTTGTCTAAAACAAAATTAATATATTATTCAATTGCATTTTTCTATTTAAGTAACTTTCCTATTTATGCAGCAAGAAAAAAGAAGAATATTGTCAGATATCATCGTTCACATGTTAGCCCAGATAAAGGTTTAAAGGGTACCGTTGTGAATATAATAATGGACATGCCACTCTATAAAATATGAACATTTACATTAGACAACACATCTCTAACCATTGCTGGTTGTTAAAAATAAAACCCTTTTAACAGGACGCATTGAAAATCAAATAACACAGAACAATTAACACTGAACAGGGGGGGGGGGTGAATATTTTCTTGAAACCCAATTTTCCTCCATCTCCTTATCTGAAAATTATTTTTCTTCCCAAGAAATTATTAAAGATTATTTTCACTGATTTAGCGAGAAAAAAAATCATTTTGAGAGGGAACAAGATGAGCGTTTGGCCAAAAAGTATGAAAAAAGGTTAAACAAATTCCCATTTTCATGTCCAATTTTTCATTGGAGTATCTTTAGACAAAAAAAAAAAATCATGTTTTTAAGAAAGTAAAAAAAACTAACCTTCTGAGGTAGACCTGGGAGTTAGGATCACTGTTGTATAGAATCATGTTGAAGAATTCCTCAGAGGGTTTCAGGATCAGATCATCTGTCATCTAATCAATCATTTAAATATATGAATGATATTGTAGTATTGATATTGAGCTTCTTCATATTCATTCTCATAATCTCTAATTGGAAAAACCTGCTTTTTCAAAGATATCTAGTCAGCTTCTTAATAATTATTGACAATATCTCACCCCTAGACAAATAGTTCCACAGTATCTGAGTTGACCAGTTCCAGATTCATATTTGCACACAGAGGACACCAGCTTGTCATTCTCACACTACAATATAGATCAGAGGTCACCAGGTTTGTATGTTATTATGAAGGGCCTAACAAATGATAAATTTTCAAGAATAAATTATTACCTTGAACTCTCTCTCCAGCATAATCCAGAAGCGAGAAGTCTTGTACTTCTTCTGTAGATCTCCCAGAGCCATCAAGAACCTAAAAACCCATAACTCAAATGTACGCAAATTGTGTACTGTACTGTACTGTACTGTACTGTACTGTACTGTACTGTACTGTACTGTACTGTACTGCACTTTACTGTACTGTACTGTACATCAGGTCAGTACCTGTCGGTTTCATCAGCTCCCTTTCCTGTATATCCAGGTCTTCCTTGACTCTCTGTTAGATCCTCCACAACCTTAACAATCAAATCAAATAAAATTTAATCTAATCTGAACAGACCAAACCAAACCAAACCAAACCAAACCAAACCAAACCAAACCAAACCAAACCAAACCAATCCAGTTTCAAGATTCAAAGTCCTCAATGAACAGTTTTGATAGGCTCCATAACCTCTGCGATAGAAGGATAATTTATCAAATAAGGCTTCTTTCCTCAAAGAACCAACTTGTTAATATATAATTAGAAAAAAATTGACAAAAATCTGCCAATTTGAAGTAGGAACCCTAGATGTGGTTTATATTTTCTTAAATGTATTTCCAATCCTAAAACTTTGTTTTGTAAAAAAAAGTTCAATTACTATATTTGGTGAAATACATAAATTAATAATGAGTATCAAAAATGGGAGGAAACTTGCCCATTGAAGACAGTTATATAAAATATGTTAAATAATTGTCTACTTTATCATTTGAAACTTACAAAAATATGAAAGCTTTTTTTAAACCATCCGACCTATTGTCAAAAAAATAAAAATAATAATGAAGTAAATTCTGTGAGATAAAATGGTCAAAGTTTGAATCAAAGGGAAAAATTGGATTTTATGACAAGTGTTCCGTTTGTTTACCTTCGATATTGTTTTGTAAATAGCATCGTTTCTCAGATACGCAGATAGTTCTGTTTCTTTACCTTTGTTAATGTTTTGTAAATAGCATCGTTTCTCAGATATGCAGATAGTTCTGTTTGTATATCCGGGTTATCCTTGGTGTCTCGCTTCCGGCATAGATTATCATCACTCACAAACCAGGCATGGCAAATCTTCAACCTAATGATGCCGATTTAAAGGAAAAGAAAGAGCAATTCGACACTTTTTGAGCACAAAAAATCTGTTATATCTCCCCCCACATTTTCTAACAAGTTTAGAAAGGCCAAAATAAAGTTAAAGAGGCTAATATTTCTGTATAATCCAATTTTTAACTTTGCCTGCAAAATTTCAGCACTTTGAATTGTTCCCTCCCCTTTCTTAGTCGATAGATAGATACAAAAATTAAATTACCATTCTGTAATTGTTTTACTTACAAATAACCTTTTACTTAAAAAAAAATTTAGTTTTGCGATCATTCATCAAATCAAATCAGGCCTTTAGGGAGAAGATTCAATCTTTAGGTGACATTACTAAATCAAGAATGAAGCAAGACCTTATAGCTTGTAATCTGTGGGAATATTCTACTTTTTACTGTTCCAATTAATGATTAGTATATTAGAATATTAATTAAATCTTAAAAATACAAGCCAAGTATTTTCCATGGATTGGGCACTTATTACTAATTAAAAAATTTATTGCTTAAAATCCAATAGTTTCCGTGGAAAATATCGAGTTCGTTGCTAATGATCCGAACTTAAGTTCAGTGTTCAGAGCCCGCGATTTAAACGCTTCGGCTCGGGTCGTAATTCCTTAAACCCAGCTTTAAGACCCAATCTTAGACTAAACTCTGACGACAACTTAGGTCACGTGACTGACAGCTGAAAGATCTTAGGCTCGACTTAGAAGTTAGGCCCAATGAAAATAAAACCGACCTTGGTTAGTTTTAGTGGAGAATAAGGCTTAGACCTGATTGGTATTTTCTTGAATTTTTTAAATCGCCGGCTCTGGTGTGTTTATTTTTTTGAAAAATCATTCCCCGCTTGAAAATAACTTTTATGAAACTATTGTGTACTTTATCATTCATTCTTACTTCATCTTGAATTTCATAATGAACGTGCTTTAAAGTAATCATCGTGCTATAAAGTTAAATTAGCTGTATACTATAGCAACGTGCTATAAAGTAATCATCGTGCTATAAAGTTAAATTAGCTGTACATTATAGCATTTGTGCTATAAAGTTTTGATTGATTCCCGGATTTTCTCCAAATATTTAGGATATTTCCAAGAAATTGAAATCAATTTTATATTTTTACTTCTTCTTTGATTCCATGCTGATTTGATCTAGAAACAGTCATTGAAATAAGACAAGTACGAAACGTTTCATAAAATTACCTTACCACTATTATTTTATTATTTATAAAGTTTTTGGACTGAAATTTTCTCATGTCTCGAAGGTCCTCGCCTTTTTGATAAAGAGAAAATTTCTGTTCAAAAACTTTTTAAAACTGCGAACCAAAATAACAAAATAAATTATAATAGTTATTTTCCCCAGAAGAAATTTTACTTATTGTCAAATTCGCTAAATCAGGGAAACAGTTGATGTAAAAAATAACCCCCCCCCCCCCGTTCTACTTCTTGAAATTATATACCCGAGATTGTTTTAATAAAAACTTACTTGAGTGCTTTACAGATTTCACCCTCTGCACTCTCAATAGTATAATTATCCACACGGAATTCAAACTCTCGTCCAATCCCAGATTCCTCCAGACATTCTCTAGATAAGAAAATTCCTAATTAAGGCTGTTTATGAATATGACATTCTCTGAAAGAAACAATCTCTTGTTAGCACAATCAATGAATAACACAACCTCTATAGAACACAAAATATACTATACTGGGCTTGAATGGCCCTTTGTGCCACTTTCCTATTAACGATTACATCTTTAGCTCCTAATGGTTACTCTTAAAGTCAAAAAATCATTCCCAAATCATGGCAGATTTTTTATTTGAATTCGCACATTTTTAAAAAATGTTCCCATTTTTCAGGTTTTTTTCAATTTGGATGGTCCATGGAAACCTTTCTTGGGGTCATGATAGGTCCCACACAAAATTCAAGGGCTCGAGCGGTTCAGCCGTTTTGACGTTTACTGGATTTAGACACCCAAACAGACAAGCAAAGTATCTATATATAAAGTTGCAGACTTTGTTTGTTTGTCCGATCATAACTCAGGGACCCATTTGCCTTAAATTTTGATTGAGGAACTTGGTAGGATCACGGGAATGTTGTAAGTTTGGTTTTGAGATTCTTAGTTAAGTTGTTCTACTTTTATATGAAAAAACAGCTAAAATCGTAATTTACGATAAAGCGCGGGTCGGGAGTAACTTAGAGTACCTGGTTGGTATATCTCGAATTCCAACATATTCCACAAACTGTTTGTGAGAGATCACCGAGACCTTTAAACTCGGTCTTGCGTCTATAACAACCAACACCTAGAATACAAGTCAATCAATCAATCAATGAATCTATCAACTTTTAGGGACACAATTTGACCACATAAAAATCGCAGAATGGCTTAGTAAGTAATTATTTATATACAAAATTAAGTGTTTCTGGAGAAAATATTTTAAAACTTTCAAAAATAGAGGTTGTGGGAATATTTCCCCCCCATTGTTACACTATACTAATCTGAGATTTTAATAAGGGATTTAAAGGGACAAAATTCGAAGTCAGCAATCAGGGACAAATCAAGAAAGTATCATGTTGTAGTCTATTGCTTATTTTTTTCGAAATAATGAACGACCCGAGACCATCTATAAAATAAAACAAGACATTCAAAAATATGTTGCGTTTAGCCGGCCAAACGGCTGGACCGATTGGGCTGGCATTTTTTGTGGACGCTCAGGGGTGGCCGGGGGTGTTGTAGGCAAAAAAAAAATTTCTTTTTTTCTTTTTCCACATTTTTTTCCACGAACAACGCCGGGCCCTTCAGCTGGTTTTAATAAATCCCCCTGATGATTTGAAAGGGTCCGAATAACATAAAACACAGCAACTGTTTAGTGAAAACAGACCCATTTCACTTTACAAGTCAAATTTCAACTTTACTTGAATTACTTCTCTTCAAAATCAAATTGAATTGAGGTGTTAAACTTCACACCAATTATTAAATCTGACCCCAAAATTCAAGAAAATTTATTTTGCTTTTCAATGAGAAAATTAAACAAAATTACTACTTAACTATGATTCAGAAATTAACGTAAAACAATTTACTGACCCATCTAAGTTTACTATTACGGTGCTTAGCCTGATAATAAATGAAACAGCTGTGTTAACTGAGTGTACATCACTATCAGCTGATTTTAGTTTTTACTTTCCCGCATTTTATCAATTCAATATTATTAGCTATAGCTGGCAAAACGGCTAGACCAAATTGGCTGTAATTTTTTGAGGGAACACATATCTAGGCCAGAAGTGAAATTGGCTAAAAAAATTCAATTTTTTATTTTCAAAATAAAACATTTTTTTCTCAAGTAATTCTATTTAATTCCACGGGCAACGCCGGACTATTCAGTTAGTAAAATATTTGATTTCCTAATTTAAGCGATAAATACCTCAAAACTGGTAAGGGAGGGGCGGGTGGCTTCTGTAGAAGAAGAATGATTAAAAAAAACTATATATATTTTCTCCTGATTTTTTCAAAAAATCTCACCTTGACGAACTCGAGATCAATTTGCTTCCCCTTGAACAAGTTCCCACTCGTGAACCCTGACCCAGTCTCGTCCAAGTTAACCAGCACCTCAGCCTAAAATACAATAATATGGTTATGTTCCGTTACATTTTAAACAAACTCCATACTTAAGCAATAAATCCAGATGCAAAACGGAAAATTCAGAAATATTTTTTTTTCGGTTTTAAAACTGAAAGAAGAACTACCGATCACAACAAAAAAGATTTGTGTGTTTGAAAAAAATTTATTTTAAAAATAAATTTTATGTTTTGTCACGTTTGTTTTTGTCCAAAATCAAATCTGCTGTTTTGAAAAAGGAAAAGGTTGAAAGGTTGAACTCGTGAAATCAATTTAAATTTCTCATTTTTAAGTTTAATTTATTGATTTTTTTAAATAAATGAAAATAAAAATACCTTGTAAGAACCATCTCGCATTTTAGCAATCAGAACAGCAGACTTCCTAGATACCAGAGGTAGAGGTAAACATATTTAAATGTTTTAAACTTATGTCCGAAAAAAGTTTTCATTTGAAATTGGATAGTGAGCAGAAAAAGCGCAGGATTGGATACTTAAGGACGTAAAGCTTGGATAAATATATGAATAAGATACCGTTGTTTATAATGTATGTATATATATAAATGAATATTCGTGTATTTTTTATCATTATTACATATTTTTCTCAGATCTGTACCTTTATTGTTTCAATAAAAAGTTTGAAAGAGAGTTTATAATTTTGAAAACACAAATTACTTTTATTTGTGGATTGCTCTGTTCAAGTGACTTGCGATCACAGGAAAACAAATATGAATTATCAGAATTAACACTTCTAACCCTATAAAAACGACAGCATCTTCCACATCAGATCAGACAATGGTTTCAAGAGTACCGTTGTGAATCGAGCATTGTCATCTTAATTGAAATTACGCTTACAGTCCTTTTCCAAGATATTAGCGCTGTAATTTAAATTTACTTCTAAATAAGAAAGGGGCATGCCCGATTCCCGATGGTACCCGTAAACTGATGATAATGTGGAATACATTGTTGGTGTAGATTGTATTAAATCCGAATTTTTTTTTACTTTTAGTGGAAAACAATAATAATTTCTAGACAAAAAAATATGGATATTTAATTCATACAAGCTTTCAAAATGGTATTGTTGTGAATCGAATCTGTCACTCAATAAATATCAATATCTAGAAAGAGTGCGAATACGGAGGACAGGTTGCTACGACATCATTACTAACTTGTCATATTTAGTATGTAGCAGGATAGAAGAGGGGCGGAGCGCAACGGCAAGATGTCGGGGCGGGGCTGCCGTAGAAAATTGGGACAGACTAGAGAGGATTTTCACATTTCTTAGAGCAAAATTACGTATAGCAAAACTAGCATTGAGCAAAAATGACGAAAAGCAAAATTGCATGGTAATTATCGTATCAAGCAAAAATGACAAAAAAAGAGACATCAACGAGAAATTCCAAGCGCGAAAAAGAAAACGCAATCATGACAAAGAACAAAAATGACAACGAGCTAAAATTGCAAAAAGCACAAATAAAACCGGAAACAGCAAACCTGGCAGATTTCTGAGATTCCTCGTCACTCATCATTTCCGGTAAATTCGGCAGGATGGACTAAAATATCATTTCCGGTGGAAACGAGTGGATTGACGAAAAGATATTTTTTTAACTCTTGTTTTCATTTAAAGTTTAAACAATATTGGCATTTCAATAAAATTCAGTTCAAAATCCATTTTTGAGGGGTGAAAAAAAAATATTTAAAGAAATTTTGAAGACTTTTGAAGAATATTTTTAAAAATGAGAAAAAAATTACCTTGGTGGATTTCGGACCGGGTTTTTCCAGAGTCAGAGGTTTATTCCCCTAAAAATAGATAAATAAATAAAAATATAAATAATACAATAAATAAATGAAAAAATAAATCAGTAAAAAACAAACTAGTTTAAAGATAATTTAAATTTAAAAAATAAAGATAAGTGAAAAAACATAATTAAATAAATAAATTCTAGATAATAGGTTTTAAGGGTGGAAAAGAAATATGTTTAAGAATTAAGACACAATTGAACCCCAAATGTGTATGAAACCTTAAAGTTAATTCACTGTACTGTTAAACCAAAATAAGCACATTTCCTCGGTTCTCCCGAGTTCCCCAATTAAAATTTGAGGCAGATCGGTCGGGGGTTCATGAGTTATGATCGGTCAGGGGTTCATGAGTTATGATCGGACATACAAAGAAACAAATATTACAACTTTAAATATATTATAAATAACCTGTGTTGGTTTAGGACTTGATTCAGTTTTCAAGTTTAGATGAAGTCCACAACTGTCTCCGTCTAGAACTGTAGTTAGAACAGCAGTATATCGTGTAGTCTAAACAAATACAGGGTTATATATTTATTTGAAAATCTTCAACTCCAATCCCACTGGTTTTGGGCACGATTCTCTTGCCCCCCCGCTAAACAAATACAGGGTTATATATTTATTTGAAAATCTTCAACTCCAATCCTACTGGTTTTGGGCATGATTCTCTTGCCCCCCCCCGCTAAACAAATACAGGGTTATATATTTGTTTGAAAATCTTCAACTCCAATCCCACTGGTTTTGGGCACGATTCACTTGCCCCCCCACCCCCGCTAAACAAATACAGGGTTATATACTTATTTGAAAATCTTCAACTCCAATCCCACTGGTTTTGGGCACGATTCTCTTGCCCCCCCCCCCTAAATTGAGGAAAATTAATGATTTTTGGCTGAAATATATAATGTATGGTCGAAAAAGTTTTTCCATCATCGTACAATATTACTTCCAACCCTCAACCCTGATCATAGTTTTAATATATTAAATCAATGCATGTTAAGAATAAATAAATACAAGGATGAATGAATGAATGAATGAATGAATGAATGAATGAATGAATGAATGAATGGAAGGATGAATGAAAGGATGAATGAATGAACGAATGAATGTATGAATAAATGAATGAAAGAAAGGATGAATAAAAGGATGAATGAATGAGTGAAAGGATGAATGAATAAAAGAAAGGATGAATAAAAGGATGAATGAATGAGTGAGTGAAAGGATGAATGAAAGAATGAATGAATAAATAATTCAATGAATGAAAGGATGATTGAATGAAAAGATGAATGAATGAATATACCTCTTCCTGGAAATCTATGAGTGCAGTATCTTGAGTAAAGTTTATCGGATTCATGGGATTACTGCCTTGCTTAGCGTTGAAATAAAACTCAAGAATCCTTGAAACAAATAAAGTAAAATCAACTTACAATTAATTTATCAATCAATCTCTCAACAATTCACTAAAATCAATCATTCATTTAACCAATCCATCAACTTCTCAGTCAAATCTATTAGTTAATCAGTCAACTGACAAGTCGATCTAATTAAAAATTAACCGACCAACCAACCAACCAACCAACCGACCAACCAACCAACCAACCAACCAACCAACCAACCAGTAAAGAATGCGTCACTGGCTACGCATTGAGTCTGATTTTGGCTAGTAAAGAATGCGTCACTGGCTACGCATTTTGTCTGAATCTAACATGTTCAAGAAATGCGTCACTAGCTACGTATCAAGTCTGAATCTAACTTGTGAAGAAATGTGTCCCTGGTTACGCATTGAGTTTTAATCTAATCTGTGCAAGAAATGCGTCACTGACTACGCGCTGAGTCTTATTCTGGCCGGCAAAGAATGCGTTACTGGCTACGCTTCTGATGGTAACCTGCACAAGAAATGCATAACTGGCCAAGGTAATAAGGCAAGGAAAGTTAATTGCTATTGCGTATTCTATGCTAACATATTGAAACCAGTTCTCTCTGGGCGGACTTTGTAAACAAGAATAGATGCATCAGTGTTTGTCTGGTATCCCAAGAGGATAAAAGCATTTAATTCTTAAAATTTTGAAAATTCACATAATAATCTCCTATGACCTGGATATGTCATTGTTTTTTTTTTTTATGTGAAAGATGGTTCCCATGTCAGGCTGTGACACCCGTCTTGTGTTAACTTTACCGCCCAGAGACAGTACACTGCAGAATTGAAAATGCGTACACCTCTAAAATAACTATCTTTACATCCTAATTCTTTGTTACTGGCTATGCATTGAGTCTGAATCTATGCAGGAAATGCGTCACTGGTTACGCATTGAGTTTGAATCTAATATGTGCAAAAAAAATGCGTCACTGACTACTCTATGAATCCTATTCTATCCAGTAAAGAATGTGTCCCTGGCTACGCGTCTTATTGTAACCTGTGCAAGAAATGCGTCACAAGCTACACATTTAGTCTGAATCTTACCTGTGCAAGAAATGCGTCACTGGCTACGCATGTGAGGAAATCTCTCTGAGACATGTATTCAGGGATAATACTTTTCGCAAACTTGTCCAGGAACAATTTCAGTGCTTCAGATTCAGAACTAAATTATACAAAAGGGACTGTAGACATAATTCAAAGTAAGGGGCGTGCTCAATTCACAAAGAATCTCTGACAGCCATTTTTTGAGCAAAACTGGTGAAAATATCTTAGTTTTTCTATTTAAAAATTGACGTTTAAAATCGTGGTATGTTTCCCTATTAACGAGTATGCAACGCAAATTACAGAACTTTTTTTTAATATAGAAAAACGGTTATATCTCGATTAATGATCGGATATGTTACTCTTTAAACAAGGGTCAATTGAATTTTCTCCATGGTCCCTGAAAGGCGACGGACTCGGTGTTAGGCCTCCTATTTGATCTGTTTTTAACATTCAACCTGATTTTTCTTTCACGGGACATCTTTAAAATCTTAAGAAATCGATTAGGATTTCACCTTGAATTTTTGAGACACCAATTTTTAGCTCCAACATATAGCTCTCCCTCGTTGGCAGCCAGGAAATCCTAGAAAACAGACCTTGTCTGGCCCTGACTGTTTATTATATATTTCTGAATTCTCAAGGGAAGCTAAGCTCTAAAATGGTTTACTACTGACCTGCTGATAAATCTTGAGTATCGCAGCTTCATCCAGATTTCCCCAATGGTCACTTTGTATCAGCTTACTTGTGTTCTAAATCAATCAATCACTCAATCAATAAGATTAGTATCAAAAATTATTAACAATCCACCATTCCATTTATTTTTCAAATATTTAAGGTTTAGAAAAGACTTTTTTTAAAAGCATGCACGACATTGGCACTTTAGTCTCATAATGTCATGTTTTGCATTCAAATAAACAAATATTTTGCGCATTTTTTTTGTTTAAATTGATAGATTTTCAAAAAAAAAATTAAGCCAACATCTTTTTAAGACACAATTTTTCGAACCTTTCCTAATGTCATGTGAGCTGCCACACAAAAAAAAATGTAGGCCTAATCAGTTCAGCCATTGGCATTTTGACGTAAATATTGTTAACAAACTGACAGAAAAGCCAAACTTATAAATAAAAGGCATAAACATACCTTGATAACTGAGTTGAGAAATACTATTTTCACCCCGGTCTCGAACGAGCATCTGAAAACGAAATAATTTCTAAAAATCCCAACCAATTAATAAATCAACACGGTTTAGGTAGACAGGATACAGGGTTGACATGTACCAGACGTCTAAGAAGTCGGTACGTGTAGGGTTGAAGAAGCGCAAAAATGTAAAAATGCATATTTGTATTTTCATGATTACTGAGACCAAGTACTTACTACGCTTCCTCACTGTAACCACTTGACCCACTGTGCAAAGTTGATATTTAGAGAATAATCGATTGATTGATTTCCTCGAATTATACAGCAATGTTCAGTTATAATGATTAATTAGTAAATCCAGTCTGGGTTCTGCATTGGCTGGGCAGTCCGCGTCAACTCTGCATCCTATCCATCTTACCTGATCCATAACAAACCAGTAATTAGTAAATCCAGTCTGGGTTCTGCATTGGCTGGGCAGTCCGCGTCAACTCTGCATCCTATCCATCTTACCTGATCCATAACAAACCAGTAATTAGTAAATCCAGTCTGGGTTCTGCATTGGCTGGGCAGTCCGCGTCAACTCTGCATCCTATCCATCTTACCTGATCCATAACAAACCAGTAAATCCAGTCTGGGCTCTGCATTGGCTGGGCAGTCCGCGTCAACTCTGCATCCTATCCATCTTACCTGATCCATAACAAACCAGTAAATCCAGTCTGGGTTCTGCATTGGCTGGGCAGTCCGCGTCAACTCTACATCCTATCCATCTTACCTGATCCATAACAAACCAGTAAAATATCAATCACCTTGTTGCCATATTTAAATGCTTGAGTATCACACCTTTCCCTGCTTCCTTCTTAGATATATCTCTCAGTTTTCTCTCAACCTTAACAATAGACAGATTCTTAAAATTCTCACACGGGATTGTATTCCAGGGAATCATCGATACAGGAATGTATATTTTTACGAATGATTTTGGAAGATCTATGAAAAAATGAAAATTGGACATCAAAAGCGAGCTTTTTACTTCGTTCACATACTTTTAACCCGATAATTTATTTATTTCCCCCCCCCCCCAAAATCTGCGAAAAAAAACCATCTTCTGAAAATTATATTTTCTCAAAAGACAGGGGAAGTCTCAATTTTATTTCTATTAACCCAGGCTAATGTTAATGGTACTGTCTAGTGTCTAATGTATATGTTCAACCAATCTAATGTTCACGAACTATAGTCATACACATGTTCAACCAATCTAATGTTAATGAACTATAGTCATACACATGTTCAACCAATCTAATGTTAATAAACTATCATTGTATACATGTTCAACCAATCTAATATTCACGAACTATCATCATATAAATGTTCATCCAATCTAATGTTCACGAAATATCATCGTTTACATGGTCAACCAATCTAATATTAATAAACTATCATCGTGTACATGGTCAACCAATCTATTCATAAACATTAGTCAAGTACATGTTCAACCAATCTAATGTTCAGATCATGTTAAAGTATAAACCTGTTCAAACAGACTAATGTTTAGTGCTTTCAGTATCAACCTGTCAACCATGTACATTTTCAACTAGTCTAATGTTAAAATATACATAAAGTAATTACCTGTTCAACCAGTCTAATGTTCATATACTTGTTTGCCGCTTCAAGAATGTACCACCATTCCTCTGGCTCTTCAACCTTAGAAAAAATCCTATAATCAGTAGTCTGCGTCTCAAAAATTTGAGATATTTACTGCAAAAATGTATCTTCTAACCTTTGACTTTATCACATTATGCAAAATTTTAACTCCAATTTCATTGAAATATCATCTAACAAACATGATTCGTCCTAAGGGACAACTTCATAGATCTAAGTTTAAATATGGGCATTCTCAGTACAAATCATTGTAAAGACCTTTTTATAAATGAAAGGGTAGAACAGAACGAGAAGAGAAAGAGGAAGAAATAGGAAAAGAAAGGGCTGAAGGTATGGGGAAAGCTGCGATAGGAGGAGGGTAGGATTTGCTAGTGCGGGAAGGAAAAGGGATGATTGGGATGAGCGACCAGAGGGGAAGATTGGAAAAGGGTAGAGAGGTAATGCGGAAAAGAATGGGGGGAAGAAAAGGGCGGAAAGAAAAGGGCGTAGAAGAAAGGGGGGGGGGAGAAAAGGCAGTTGAGGAAGGGCGGAAAAAAGACGGATATAAAAGGCCGGAAAGAAAAGGGCGGATAAGAAAAGGACGGGAGGAAAATGGGGGAAAGAAAAGGGCAGATAATATAAGCCGGAAAGAAAAGACGGATAGGAAAGGGTGAAGAATATCGAGCAGATAAGTAAAGGCGGAAAGAAAAGGGTGGTTAAGAAAGGGAGGAAAGAAAAGAGCGGATAAAGGGCGGATAAAAAGGGCGGAAAATATATTGAATTTTACCTTCCAGCTGAGCCAGCGGCTGTTGTAGATAAACTGGATAAGACGTCTACAAATCAGATAAATTAAATACTTTCAATTAAAATGAGTATTAAAATATTTTCCAAATTTTTTCTTTATAAAAAACAGATTTTATCCTATCTTTCAAAATCTTTGCATTTGAACCAGAATTAAAGAATTTAATTTGTATTAAATAATTAAAGAAACCAACATAGTACAGACAAAACCTATCCACACTTTAGTTATTACTTGAGGCAGGAAAGTAATGGATTTTCAGGGAGAGGGGGGTACGAAAATAAATTTGACAAAATAGTCAATTTGTTCCTGAATCCAACTGGTTTAACATCGTCCACCTGATTGATATTCAATATTCAGCAAACTATTTCTTTTTCAGTAATAAAAATATAATAATATCAGATATAATCGAAAACTTTTGCTTTATGTCTTAACCACGATTGATCTAATAATTTGACTATGAATTCTTGGTGGTCTGCTGAAATAAAAACGATGTTTGTCAAGCACCAAGCAGTGTGTTCAGATGTCTAAAAATATCAGTTTACCTGATAAAAGGGGAAATTCGTTTTGTTCTACTAGAACAAGGGGGAGGGGGGGGGTTACTAAATCTTTTCTGAATATTATTCCTTAAATTCTCGCGTAGTCGTATCTGCCATCGGACCGTAGAACATCCCCTCAAAGACCGGGGAGGAGATGGAAAGGAGCAGTTTATGAACCTGAAGTAAACAAGGTTAGGGTGTATACTGTATATTTGGCAAAATAATTTTTTTTCCTGACCTCGTCCCCTAGGTTGATTATCAAGTTTTAGGATAAAAATAAGGGGAAAAAATCAAGCAAAAAATTATTTTTTGTTAAAAAAATTCAGTAAATCTTGAAGAATTGACCTGGATCCGGATACGGTTCCATTTTTTCCAGTGCGGATCCGAATCGGCATCAAAATTAAATGGATCCTAAGCACTGGTTTGCGCGGTACGTAACTTTTTCTTGGGGAAAATAAATTATTTCATAAATTTTAAGATAATAAGTATGAAAAAAGATAAAAGATGTTTGCCTTTCTCCAACTTTATATCCCCCCCCCCCTCCCATATCTTTGGAAATCTTATTTATTTAAAACTTTTTCAGGAATGCATAATAAAGTCATCTTTGAGTGAAAAATACATGTGAACAAAGGATAACCATGGAAAAGGGACTTAAAAAAGCCCTGGTTTTATTCAATATGCAAATGCATAGAAGAAAAGTCCTCTTTATGAAAACGTCTAAAACATACCTCATTTTCTCCAGAATTAGGACTTTTTCTTCTGGACTTTAATTCCTGTGATCTTATTTCCTAACACTTCATAGGCAGCCCCCATATTATTTAAGGAAAAAAAGTCCCAGTAATCAAAACCTCGGAACTTTTTTCAAGTGAAATTTTGTTCTACGATTTCAGGGACTTTTTTTGAAGTTTATATTTCCAGCAACTTCATTCCCTGAGACTTTCATAAAAAGATTCACCCCCTGGACATTCATAGTCAAGTTTTTATCATTCATCCTTTTATTTTCTTTACAAAACATTCAATTATTCCACCCTAAAATCTTCGATCGAGGGTGAGAGGGGGGATGAACTTAGAAGAAAATATACACCCCTAAACCTATTTCACCTGAATGGTTGACCCATCAGCAAGCGTAAAAACTGCATCAGTGAACTGCTGCTGATCGTAGAATTTTCCTAGCTAAACAAATCTAATTTTAAACTAGTTTCACTCAAAACCTACAGGACCTGAGTTGACTGTAGGTTGATAATACTACTGCAGTGCATTTACATAATGGTATGTCTGAGTCACAAGCTAACCTTCATAAAAAAAAATTCTGATTAAAATTTAATGAGGGTAATTTCCTAGGAAACTATTATTGGACCCATGGACACATGGATAGAGCTGGTCATGGGCCGCAAAGCCCTGCCCCGAGACCTGTCATAGCTGTAGCGCTCGGCCACTTAGCCAGTCCTGGCAGCAGCGCTTGGCACATGTTCAACCAATCTAATGTTAATAAACTATATGACACTCGTCAGTCCCTTTGACTTGTATAGCGATTAAAACTTACCAATGCTGGAATAAGACACTCCCCACCCCTCCAGTCTGCCCAATCGCCCCCGCCGTCGCCATTCTCAACTAAAACCATTTGATCTGAAAAAAACTCAACCCTGAAAACCTTTTTTTTCATAAACATTTAAAATTTACTATAAATCACAATGTCAAGTCACTAACAAGATTAACAGTGATTCCTTCCATCGTAGATTATGTAAATCCTTGAGAACTAGCTTAAAAAAGAGTCACAAAGTCTTAAAGGAGGTTAAAGAATTGAAATATAAGTTCAGCGAGCTGCGAGATGAAATAAGATAGATTGATAAAAAAGCCGGCCATGCCGCTAACAATAAAAATCTGCGCATGCTCAAAAGCAAAATATCGTCGTTTTAAAATGTCGTCTTTCCAAGGATCAGCTGTTTAACAAAGCAAATCAAAACATCGAAATCTTATTGTTGCTTCGGCAGCATTGCTGTTGCCATGTGGGTCCAAGCCCAAGCGGATTGAAACGGATCAGTCAGTGACTCGTGGCAAGTTAAGATCGTTTGGAGGGTAGGGTTTAAAAGAAGATTGTTTTGTTTGGAAACACTTAAAACTTATTCTTCATACTTCTTAAGAAAAACATTGCAAGGGGGGGGGGTTAATACTCGTAGATATAATTTTTTGACCGAGTCCCAAGTTTGAGAAGTAGAGAATAATTAAATAAATAATCCACTCAAAACCACACCTTTTTTGTTGAAGTTTATTTATCTAATTACTAATTTCTTATCTTTTACCCCTATATGTTATCTAGGGGTGAATATTTTCTAGTAAAATCAGACACCCTTCCCCCCCCCCCCCCCTCATCATTATTGTCCCCAGAAGGTATTTATGTCAGTTAGGTGTTTTTAGGGGAGGGTTAGTTTTTGAAAATAAACACCCCTGGTTTGCTGGATTGTTTGTAAATTTGATGAGACAGCCACAGTACCACAGTAACTTGGTTCCAACACGATCTAAAACAGACACAAGAGCAAACTTCTATTCAAACAGGGATGTTCTTCTTTGGAATCAACTCCCCACTTCAATAAAGGAAGCCAGAGGCCGAATTTAAAGAATTTGAACCGCGGTTTATATTTAAGCCGCGGCTCAAAATTTGTTAGTTCCACTTGAATTTGTTTTAAATTTTTCAAGATTTAAGCCGGCGCTCAATTGAAACCAGTTTTTGGGGGATTTGAGACGTGACTTAAATTCATTAAATTCGGACACAGGACTATGAGCAAATTCTTAAGTTTACTTGATGAACACAAATCAATTTCAAATCACTAGATGCACCAGGAGAAGTGCGTGATGACCATCCTGTTGAACATGGTTAATGGTGAGACCTGAGCACCTTACAATACTCCCCAATCCCCATGGAGCGTTGGAAATCATCAACCGAGTGTCCAAGAAAAAAAAGCCGACGATTCAGTATTGTTATAATTTTAAAGGAAATCATTTATTTCAGAAAATGCCGCCAAATGTACGTGGAGAAGGGGTTCCTGTACGAAGGTATGATTCCACCAAATTGTGCTAGGATTGAATTAGACTTCAGTTGGAGCTAAACTAATAATTTAAACTAGGGAGAATATGAGTTTATGATAGTTTTGTTTAAACGTTTGTTACCATATCTTACATTCATTTATACTTAAAATAATTTACCATAAATATATTCAACTATTTTTTGCTAAAAATTGTAAAAAAAGAGAATAATATTTTTGGAAAATATTAGTAAACTTGAAACGGATTCAGTTTTATTTTTTTAAATTAATTTAGTTCATCGCAAATGTTTTATTTTTACAGGAATTTCTATGCCCGCGATCAATATGTTGTTCCCAATATCTTCCACAAGGAACGTATACATTTTTAAAACCAGATTTTTATTTTTTTCTTTGGAAAATTGTCGACCTTAAAAAATCATGCCCATTATTATTTTTTTTTTTGATAATTTTGGAAAAATATATGATTTTTTTGTTAAGAGAAAGAACACACAAGCCAGTGCCAATGTACTCCCACACTTATTTTTGGGGGGAGGGGGAGGGGAGGTACAATTCTGCGAAATATATACAATTAATCTGTAATGGATATATTTACATCTATTTTACAGCTAAAAAAATTCAATGGAAAATTAACGATTTCGGAACTAATTTGATTGAGACAAATGAAGAATTTGTACTTAACAGACAGGGAAAAACTTGTCCTTTCTTTACTGGAATATGGAAAATGGATTCATGACGAATATCCAGGTAGGATTAAACCTAATATCCTGGTATCCAGGTAGGATTAAACCTAATATTCTGGTATCCAGGTAGGATTAAACCTAATATTTTGGTATCCAGGTAGGATTAAACTTAATATTCTGGTACCCAAGTAGGATAAAAATCTAATATTCTGGTATCCAGGTAGGATTAAACCTAATATTCTGGTATCCAGGTAGGATAAAAGCCTAATATTCTGGTATCCAGGTAGGATTAAGTCAATTATCCTGGTATTCAGGTATGATTAAACCTAATAGCCTGGTATCCAGGTAGGATTAAACCTTATATTCTTGTATCCAGGTAGGATTAAACCTAATATTCTGGTATCCAGGTAGGATTAAACCTAATATTTTGGTATCCACGTAGGATTAAACTTAATATTCTGGTACCCAGGTAGGATAAAAATCTAATATTCTGGTATCCAGGTAGGATTAAACTTAATATTCTGGTACCCAGGTAGGATAAAAATCTAATATTCTGGTATCCAGGTAGGATTAAACCTAATATTCTGGTATTCAGGTAGGATTAAACCTAATAGCCTGGTATCCAGGTAGGATTAAACCTAATATCCTGGTATCCAGGTAGGATTAAAATGGTTGATTATGAAATATGAGAAATTTATTATTTAAGATAAACATTGACGTATCAGAGTGGTAGAATCAAACCATAATCAAAGAAATAATAGCTTAAAACATTTTTAAAGTTTCTTCTGCGTTACTTAGCTCTCTTTCTTAAAAGTAATGACAGAAAAGTTTTATTTTACATTGTAAATCGTTAATTTCAAGGTTCAGATAAACTTCAAGTAACGTTAACAGTCCCTTTAAAGGGTTTGTAAGCGTATTTTTAAGTGATCCTCTATTCAAAGATGGCAATGTCCGATTTATAACGATACTCTTAAAAGCTTTGTTTGATCATAAATGAATTAGATATCAAGGTTTTTGTATTCATGGATTCTCGGCGAAAGCGATTTGCGCATTTCTTGCTTACAATAATTATTGAAGAAACAATCACAGAGAACCATTTTTCGAGTCAGAAAAACGATTGTATCTTCCACATTCTTGATCAGATTAAGGTTTCAAAGGTTTGCAATCTCTACCTGGTGTGTCACTTAAAATTACGCTTACAGTCCCTTTAAATGGTAATGAATGTACCTAGGATGTAAACTCTATGGTAGATCAGTACTCCCCCTCTATCCTGGTGCTTGGGAATACTGACTTCTCAGACCAACAGTAAGTTTGGGAGTACAAAATAATCAGCGTGTATCCTGATACTGAATCCATCTCAGATCAGAGCCCGTTTTCTCCATAGAAAGTGGTCGTGTAGTTCACGTACTTTGATATGTTGGCCTCTAGATGTCTCATGCTAAATTCTTATCTGATAGATATTTTTCCGTACATTTGACGACCAATATAGGAGACGTCAAGTTGTCGACCAATGTAGTTTATGGAAGAAACGGCCTCTGAGCTGAAAACTTTAGTATTGAATGCTCTCAATCCCGATCGCAAAATCTCTGTATCCACTGTTGACACTTTTGACTTCCTGCTTAATCCTCTTTTTTGGGATTTCCTTACTGGATTCCAATCAATAAGAGTTCTCGATATCCACAATCCTGAAGTTTTTAGCTCTGGATCATCAATGTTATTAAATCTTTCAAAGATTCTCATTTATTTAGTAATGATGAACTAAGATCTATTAATGGATATATTGGATATTATCTTCTATTTATTTAGTAATGATGAACTAAGATCTATTAATGGATATATTGGATATTATCTTCTATTCATTTAGTAATGATGAACTAAGATCTATTAATGGATATATTGGATATCATCTGTTGCAAGAGGAAGATAGTCTTCATCAAGGTCAGATATATTTAAAGATAATTTAAAGAGAAAAGATAAATTAATGAGATAATTTAAAGAGAAAAGATAAATTAATAAGATAATTTAAAGATGATTTAAAGATGATTTAAAGATGATTTAAAGATGATTTTAAGATGATTTAAAGATGATTTAAAGATGATTTAAAGATGATTTTAAGATGATTTTAAGATGATTTTAAGATGATTTAAAGATGATTTAAAGACCAAATATTTTCTTCCTCTGAGAGGTTAAAATCCAGCAAGCCATAAACATAAATCTGCCAAATTCCTAGTTCTTGATTGCATATGAAAATGAATAAATAGATATGTTTTAGTTTTAGAAATATATTTTTAGTAATTTAGAGTTACCCTCCATTCAAATGCTCATTAATGTAATAGGTACAGTCGTTTTTCCAGCTTTGGAAGTGTTTAATTCTTTAAACAGAAATCCGTTAGTCTCTTCTGAAACCACAAAGGAAAATTAATCAAATTTCAAAAGCCGAAACATGAATACTGGATCTATTCTCGATCAGACAGAGCTTTTAAAGGTTCCGTTGTGATTCGGACTAAATAAAGTAGGATATGTCTTGTGTTTCTTGATGAGTATAGACAATTTAAATGTAGTCTGAAATCTTTAAATTAACAAACATTGTATCAAGTGTAGCTTGCATTGATTTATAATGATTTAAATTTATAATTACTTTTCCCGTTCATATTTTTCCTTGAATGGATCCTGGAAATCGGCATTATTGCGTACAAGAGGTCATGGTGTACATAGGCTACACCAGATATAAAGATTGTAACAAAAAAACGTATAGTTTATAGCTTATTCACAAGATATTGCAACGGATTTAGGATGATATAAATAAAGTATCAAATCAGAGAAAAATATTTTCTTAAGCAACCCCCCCCCCCCTTTATAATAATTTTATTCCTGAATTTAGGTATTTATTGCTGAAGTGGGGCAAAGTTAATTAGTTTTAGGGTAAAATAAATGTATTTTTGTGCATAAAGTATCAAAAAGTATTGCAAAAATTGTCTTTGGATCCAATTTTTATTTTTTTTCAGAGAAGGGGGGCTAATTTTTTTCAGGTGCAAAATTTGGAGAAAAAAAATCACAAAAAGCAATAATATAAAATGTTGTTTAGTTTCGAAGTTAGTAATTTATATAAAAGGATGGCAAGTGCTTTCTAAACTAACTAGGCTTGGAGGGCACTTCGCGCCCATCTTCTATTTTAACTTTTGATTGTGGCTCTATATGTGAGCATCTTCTTTTTGTACAGTAAAAAACAATAACAAAAAAAGTTCGTGGATTTTTAAATAATTTTTCGCGCATTTTTAAATTTAACAAAAATCAAAAGTTTTTGGGCCCGATCAGTTCAGTCGTTTTGACGTTTATAGGACACAAACAGAGTAGACAGACAGACATGCAAAGTATATAGATATAGCAATAGATTTAACCCTCTGACCATCTAAGAATCATAAACCAATAAATTCAGAAGATTCTTTTACCACCAATCTTTTAACTCCTTCTATAATAAAGCTCTTCGCTTATATATATATATTTGTAATTTATATGTTAGCTGTAGCTGACCAAACGGCTGGTTTGAGTTGTTTAAAGGAACCCTTGAGGTGGTAACATAGGCATTTAAGCTTTTTATAATATAAAATAATTATGATATTTTTAATACTTAGGTTGCCTTTGTTGGTTGTCAAGGTGACAGAGAAAGATTACTTAAAGGAACCCGGATCTGTTGTTACCCAGGTCAGTTGATTTTGGTACACTGTACACTGTACAATGTACATACTACGTACGTCGTACATACCATGTAGAAATTTTCTTCTTTAATAGTTTGTTTAAAACAGAAAAACCTAAAAGAAAGGAATATAAAGAAATTTATTTAATGCAGTGTAATAATAAAATGATGAAAAAACTTTTTTATGTTCAATTTTCATGTTTTCCTTTGAGCATAAAAAAAACTTTCTCCCCCCCCCCCCCGGGGAATACTTTAGAATATACAAATATTCCTAAAAATATGTAATTTTCCCCAGGACTAGATTGGTTTTGTTTGTTGATGGGTTGTTGTATGCTGGGAGAGGACGACAATATACTTTCTGACCTTCTACAGAATATAAACAATGTACAGTTGTACTCTAGGATAAGGTTAGTCTGGTGTGTTGTATGCTGGGAGAGGACGACGATGTACTGTCTGACCTTCTGCAGAATATAAACAATGTACTGAACACTTATTCAACAAACATCCCAACCATACTGATTGGTAAGTAAAGTAGGGGAATATATTTTTCTATTTTATAGATAATTGCATCTTTGGGGCAAAAAATATTTTTTAAAAGAAGAGGGAAAATCGGCTAGTTAAACTTCATTTACATTCCCTAAATATAAAAATTATTCTACATATATAAACAATATACATATCATCCCTTTCTCCCTTCCAAATAAAATAAATGATAAAAATGGATAAAAAGATATTTTTTGTGATAATAGGAATCAATTTTTTTTCTACTTCGGACGTTTTTATTCTAAGAAATATTTTTTACAAAGCTTATGAAAAGAGGGCAAAACTCTATAAATATACATATATGGATGATATATACTAAATGTTATATTTCCATTTTCAACTTACATACATACTAATTTACATTATATTTTTTCAGGAACTTTGAATGTTTTTCACAGGGATTGGATTTATGAACTTGGATCTCCAACAACAGTACATGGACAGGCCTTCAGGTACTTCGTACTGTACTGTACAATGTACATCAAGAGAGTAAAGTTATGGCGCCAAATTTTTCCATCTCCGTGCCGCAGGAGCGTGTGTAATGTGTACTGTAACGGAGTTCAAAGTGCGTATTTTTAACAAAGAATGTCAGATCATGGTTGGAATCAATTATTTCTGTATATGGGAACTCTGCTGGGTGTTTACATAAACTAAAACTCCTTTTTGTAAAATTCACAAACGAATGTAACAGATTCTTTAAGAATTGATATTTGTGCTTTTATAAATAGTTAAAATGTATTTATATGTTTGTATTTTTTGTGAACATCCTGTGAGCACTGTGTATTTTTAAGTATAGACTCAAGGTTAAGGTTACGCCTTAAACCTAACGTTGAAATCTTGGAAAGATGATATTATCAGTTGTAGCTAATCTTCGAGCAACTCCGGAGTTCTAAACCAACTCTGTACCATCAAAAGGGGATTTTATTGATATTCTAAAATCAGAATAGAGTTATCATTTTCGGACCAAGTCCTGGACCAGAAAGTTCGTCTACACCTACAGCTTAAAGCAGTTCCCTACAGAAGCAGCATTCTACAGTTCTGCTCCAGACAGCTCTAAAGGTTCATCTACACCTACAGCTTAAAGCAGTTCCCTACAGAAGCAGCATTCTACAGTTCTACTCGAGACTGCTCCCTGTTCTGAAGACTCATTAATTCCAGCAGTTGAGAAGCTCCCTAAATCCCCCCACAGAAACTGACTACACAGTAAAAACGCTCCTATTTATTCCGTAACAAGTTTTTACCAATAAACATTTTTCAACCCCCACCATGTATCATTTAGTTAGACCTAAGGTTTAACAGTACTGTACAGGGTTTCCCAGAAACGATGAGACTTCAGAGACGTCTGTATGGAATAATTTATACTTTGTTTTTCTTAAATTAGATTCTCTGCTACTGTAAACTTATTATTTCTTTGTCAAATCAATAAAAAAGTCCCTGTAAGAGCCAATCCAAGTGTGCCTCGTTTTAATGGAAACGGCCTACCTTGATTTAATGGCTAGTTGGATTTTAGAACCAGATATTTCAATCTCAGTTAGCTAGGCAGAAAACATTTTCTCTCTGAAGTAAAACAAGTTATTCTCTGCAGCTGGAACAGGTGTACAGGCTGAACAAGATGAAGAGAAGTAAGTGATTGGCAATATCTGAGCAAATCTATTGCAAATAAACTGATTGATACCAACTATCCAAAATCTATCTTATCTGAAAATAAAGAATATAGAGTAACAAAGATCTGTAAGTTAGAGAGTATAAATCAAGGTCTTTAAATGACTACTTGATATAGGGGAATAAATGCGGTTATATAAATGGGTTAATCCCAATTATAGATGATGACTTCTATTCTCACTCTCCCTAGATCCCAGTACTTCCAGTGAAGAGAAATACTGGACTGCAAATCTAGACATAGATGTAATGCAGAACACCAAACCTTTATTTAACCTTGGAATGATCATATTTTAAGAATTAATGTCGTCTTGACAGTCTCACTTTTTGTGGGTAACCCTGTAAGTCAATGAAGACCAAAAACTCTGCAAACATTGAAGGTTTACTTCGATATTCTGCTTTGATCATGATTTTCACTTAATTATGTATTACACATTATTTGCCAAAACAAAAAGCAAATTAAAAAGCTGCGAAAACTTAAAATAACAGACTTCAATTTTGGTAGAGTCGTCTCTGAAGTCTCATTCTTTGTGGGTAACCCTGTACCTTCAAACATTTTGAAGATTAAACAAAAAATAAAATAAAAAACATTTGAAAGAGGGCATTATTCTATTCTATTCCAATCTAATCTACTCTGATCTAATCAAATCTGATCTAATCTGATCTAATCTGATCTAATCTGATCTAATCTGATCTAATCTAATCTAATCTAATCTACTCTAATCAATTCTAGGGATATTGTGACCCGGTACGGCCTTGTTCCTAAGAGCAGGGAAGCAACCTGGTTCCAAACTGTAGGAGATCAAACTATTAAAGGTTTTCATTACACTTAGGGTTTTTGGGAAAAGAGATGGTTTATTGGTTTCTTTTCAAACTATTAAAGGTTTTCATTATACTTAGGGTTTTTGGGAAAAGAGATGGTTTATTGGTTTCTTTTCAAACTATTAAAGGTTTTCATTACACTTAGGATTTTTGGGAAAAGAGATGGTTTATTGGTTTCTTTTCAAACTATTCAAGGTTTTCATTACACTTGGGGTTTTTGGGGATAGAGATGGTTTATTGGCTTAAGGTTTTTTTGGTTTTGTTTTCAAACATTTAATTATTTTTTCACTTAAGAGTCTGTGATGTTGTTATATTTGATTAATTTTACCCCTTACATCTTACAAAAATTTTACTATGACGAAAGGTTATGATATCAAAACAATTTTTAACTTTGATTTCGCAAAATCATAAATGAAAACCTTTATAACTGTCCAAAATTTTTAACGCCTGTCTTGGAATGTTCTTTCTATACAATAAGCAAAGTTTTGACATTTTTTTTTGATCGATCTAATGTTTCTTGACAAAAAAGTTAAATGGATCCTAAAACATTTCTATTTACAGAATGCGTGGATTTTGTAGTTTGCAGCAGACCTCTTCGATGTGAAGTTAAACTTCTGGATTTGAAAGGTGAGAATATGTGTAGATGATAGGCAATAAGGCGGTCCATTTAATTTTAATTGGGATCCGGATCTTGGATCCGCACTGGAAAAAATGGATTCGGATTCTGGATCTGCGCTGGAAAAAGAATCCGGATTCTGGATCTGCACTGGAAAAAAATGGATTCGGATTCTGGATCTGCACTGGATAAAGAATCCGGATTCTGGATTTGCACTGAAAAAAATGGGTCCAGATTCTGGATCTGCACTGGGAAAAATGGTTCCGAATCCAGGTTATGAAGAATTTACTGAATTTTCTTAACAACGCAGAATTTCAAATAATTTTATTTTTTCGCTTATTTTTATGCTAAAACTTGATGAACCAATTCAGATTTGGGTTTTAAGAGTAAAAAAGTTTTTTTTCAGTTTTTGGTTATTTTTTCTCCCCTTGGATCCGGATCCGTGGATTCCACCCAGGAAATTTTCTGCAAATTCATTTTTAAGATATCTCAGAAATCAAGAGCAGTTACAGGTTAAAATCAAATGTAAATTTCGGTTAAAGACTTTAATATGCTTCTTCTGTTTTTTTTTGCGATATTTTTGAACTGTTAATGGCAGGGTCCCCAAATTTTGCTACTTCAAAAACAGTTCAAAAACCTATTTTATTAAAAAATCAAAGCTTTAAGTCAATTGCTTGACTGATTAGATACGGCCTGAAAAGTCTTTTTGAGGATTTCACTTCAAAAACCCTTGTAAGGCAGTACAGTCATACAGTTCGCTCATGGCTTTGATTTTTTGCTAAAACATGTCTTCAGACTCTCAAGGACAACTCACAAAATTTGGGGACCCTGCCTTTAACGGTTCAAAAAATTTCGCCAAAAAACAGAATCAGCTAAATCAAGTCTTGAAACTTGAGATAATTTGTTTAAGACCTGAAAATGCATTTGATTTCTTAAAAATGGATTTGCTCAACATTCCCTGCATGGCATTTCCTGAAAAGCGAGATTATAATTCAGTAGACTGCATATTCATATATTCATATTCATATATTCATATATTCATATTCATATATTCCAAAGAAAAAGTTTAAGGTGTTTTGACTTGAAACCTGATGTTCCATTTTCAGCAGTGTGCTCCCTTATTCATAGGGGGAATACTGCATTTTTTTGGTTTTCTAGTGCTATGAATTTCTATTTTCTTTGATACATATTTCTGAGTGGGGGTGGGGCTACTCAGATTAATCACTAGATATTTATATGCTCAAGGATAAGAAGGGACATTATATTCTTATTCGATGGTAACATATTTTTAAAACTCAACTCTCTATCCTTGTATCCGTTGTATCCCTATATCCATGTATCCCTTCCTTGTATCCCTATAAATATTTAGGAGAGTCTGAGCATACTCCTGTTCTAGTATCTCTATATTCCCTGTACCGCCTTGTATCCCCTGTATCCCATGTATCCCCAGTATTCTCTGTGTCTACTGTATCCCCAAATATATTCAGGAGATGTAAAAAATACAGTGGCAGATCTCATAGTATAAATCACGTTGTACATTGTCTGTAAATCAAAATGTGCTTTTCAGTAACTACGCAAATCTAGTATTGTGATTAACCTAACCTAGTTACGTCTGTAAACAATTACGTCAAACCTGTATTGTGATTAGCTTAACTATGTTGGAATATATATATTTTGATAAATATTTTTAATTTAGGAGAGTCTGAGCATACCCCTGTTCTTGTATCTGTTGAGAAAACCTACTGTACCTTGTGCAAGTATGGATTCAACTATTCTGAGGTATATAATTGCATAGTTTCTCAAATTTTTTTTCGTCCTTGCGTCCTTTCTCATTTCCGTTGGTTTTATTTTTTTTGTGACCTTGATTTTTTTAACCGTACTTTTTTGTTGGTTTTATTTTCGATTTTTCATTTCTGTACCTGTTTTTTTTGTATTTGACCTTTTTATTTCTATACTTGTTTTTTTTATTTGACCTTTTTATTTCTGTACTTGTTTTTTTTTATTTTTGACCTTGATTTTGGGAACACAAGTTTTGTGATTTTTTATACTTTCCACGATATGTGTCATATTTTTCACCTCAAGACCAGTTGTATTTGTTATTTTTATCGTAATAGGTGAAAAACATTTTTAAACTGGGTGGATTAGTTTAATAAGAAAACATTATGTTAGGTATTCTTTTAGTTTTTATTTCGAACTGTTAAGTCCCCTGCACAAGATGAGTAAACTGTATTACATGTATTAGAATTATATTCAGGAGCTTGAGTCCCATCACTCAAGTCCCCTGCACAAGATGAGTAAACTGTATTACATGTACAGCAAACAGAAGCAGAACTTTATGAAGAATCCAAACCCTCTTGGTAAATATCATACAGTGGTTACCGGAAGTAGTGGAAAGATTCTAGTTTTAAACCATGTACATGGTACAATGTACACATTATTAAGATTTACCGAATAGCGGGAAGTAGTTGAACTTAGTACAATTTCAATTCGGAGTGGGAACTAAGGGACTCTGTACTGATATATTTATATATTAGATCTAGAGTGGGAACTAAGGGACTCTATACTGATATATTTATATATTAGATCTAGAGGGGGAACTAAGGGACTGTGTACTGATATATTTATATATTAGATCTAGAGGGGGAACTAAGGGACTGTATACTGATATATTTATATATTAGATCTAGAGGGGGAACTAAGGTTCTCTATACTGATATATTTATATATTAGATCTAGAGGGGGAACTAAGGGACTGTGTACTGATATATTTATATATTAGATCTATAGTGGGAACTAAGGGACTGTGTACTGATATATTTATATATTAGATCTAGAGTGGGAACTAAGGGACTGTGTACTGACATATTTATATATTAGATCTAGAGTGGGAACTAAAGTACTGTGTACTGATATATTTATATATTAGATCTAGAGGGGGAACTAATGGACTGTGTACTGATATATTTATATATTAGATCTAGAGGGGGAACTAAGGGACTGTGTACTGATATATTTATATATTAGATCTAGAGGGGGAACTAATGGACTGTGTACTGATATATTTATATATTAGATCTAGAGGGGGAACTAAGGGACTGTGTACTGATATATTTATATATTAGATCTAGAGGGGGAACTAAGGGACTGTGTACTGATATATTTATATATTAGATCTTAAGTGGTAACTAAGAGACTGTGTACTGATATATTTATATATTAGATCTAGAGTGGGAACTAAGGGACTGTGTGCCTGGAATATCTTTGTCTCCTAATCAACCTTCTGTTATTGAGGTTCATGTAGATGAGTTCACAAAGTAAGTGATTATAGATAAGGGACCGAGTTTTATGAATTGGAGAGTGGTTGCTGAACTAGCTATTGGTGGTTCTACTATTTCTTCAAATCATGAATCACCGATTCAAAAGTGAATTGAAGATTAACCAACTCTACTTGGTTTACTAGTTATAAATTGAATAACGAGGCATGAATGTACATTGTACTGCGTTAACATGGTTCAACCTCTATTCTTCAGCTTTAAACAGGCGCACAAGAAAAGTAGTTGTACTACATATGCTCAGTTCAGCCACTTCTCGCTAGTCATTAACCTGGCCCGAGGATGATATTATAAACATTGTAAACTGAACTCTGTACAGTGAACCCCAAAATAAAGAGGGAATTATAGTCATCATTCTTGTAATTAGAAAAATTAACCAATTTTTGAATTTGGTTAGGGCTTAAATTATAATATTTAAGTGTTAACAGTTACAAATGAATAAAGCCTTAGAGACTTTTTGGGGAAAAAACTTAAGAATAACGACATTCATTGTACTGCTACTTCATCCCAAGGGATAATCTTATTCTTTTAACATTAGCATTTCAGGGGAAAAAATGAAAAATCATCCTTTTTCATACTTTTCCTCAAATTTATTTTTTTTTCCCTAAAATCATTTATTTTCCCCACATCAGCAAAGAAAACCACCCAAAAAATATTATCATTATTGTCCCAGGAAGAAGTTTCATCTCTCTCTGAAGAATATTCGTAACCGAAACCTTATACAGCCAGGAGAAGAAGAAAAAGGTAAAACAAAATAAAAATATCAAATTTAAATTTTAAGATTTATTTTTTTGGGGTATGCTTTTACCCGCCTCACAAGTATTATTTATGAATATATTCACCCCGCCGCTGCCCAGGTTACTTTAAGTTACTCCCGCCGTTTACCCGCCTTTTGTAATAAATTATTAGCTATTTTTCCCTATAAAGTCGACCCACTCAATTGGAATCTCGAAACCTAGCCAAGAACATTCCAGGGGTTCTTACGAGTAAGCTATTCAAAATTTGAGACAAATCGGTCCAGGGGTTCAAGAGTTATGATCGAACAAACAAACAGAGATTACTACTTTATATACATAGATAACATGTATCCTCCAGGTATAGTGTTGGACAGTGTAGCCCTCCTCCGAGAGAACCCGAATGTAAAGCTGTCGGATGAGAACGGAGTAACCAAGGAGCTGGAGGATGGAAGGAGACGGGTCAGATTACTCCCCTCCAGATCTTACAAGGTTGGCAGATTTAAAACTTTTGAATGATCAATGCTGGCGGCAACTTTTAAATGGACCGGTTTAAGTCTAATTGTATTCAAATAAGTTAAAATTATTCTCTCTGTTATCTGTTTATTCAAGTAAGGCTGAAACTAAACCATGGTAATTGTCAAGTCCAGTATAAAGCAGCATATTAGAAGCAATGTTCATAAAAGAAAATAATTGAAAATATCAAAACTCATTCAAATTTAAAAAAAAGATCATTATGTTAAGGGGTTGAATTTTGAATTTTTTCTCAAAACATGTAGATCTTTTAAAAAGATGCGTCTGAATACCGTTCATTTCCCGTTTTTCGATATTATGAAATTGAATGATTTAATGCCAAAACCTAGTTTTTTGGATACTCGTATTTCTTCCCTGAAAACCGGTTTAATTAAGTTGTAGTTTGACTAATTTTTAAGGGATTTTTACGTTTTTAACGTTTCTAAGCTCTGTTCCATGATGAAAAGTTTAATCCATCTTGATTTTTTTTCACGAGTTGTATTCTCGTTAGTGATTTGGTTTACACAAAACAGCAAAATCTAAATTTAACAATTTTATAAAAAAAATAACTAAAATGAATCATTGTTTCAAAGTAAATTTTAGAATCGTTGTAAGATGGAGAGTCTCCCATTGTTTCTACATATAATGTACTGTAATGAAAGCGTAAATTTAAGCGACAATGCCCGATTTAGAACGGTACCTGTGAAAGCTTTGTCTGATAAAGTATGAATTAGATATCAATGCCCAATGGGTTTGTTTCTTTTAAATGTTCAATTTTTTTGCGGTTTCTCTGCGAAAGCGACTTGCGCATTTCTTTATTGAAGCAATGGAGAAATTTGCAATAAAAAACACTGAGAGTCAGAAAAACAACGGTATCATCCACATTTTTGATCAGATTAAGGTTTCAAGGGTACCGTTGTAAATGGGGCATTGCCATCTTTGCATGGATGGTCACTCAAAATTACTCTTACAGTCCCTTTAATTTCAGATTGAGGTAGATTGTGGAGGTGGGGAGATAGGTCAGCATAGGTTGGTTCTCCTTATTTCATTCTACTACGAGAATAGATCTACACCAGTTCCGGTAATATTCCAAACTATTATCATAAATGCTTTTCTAAGATTAAAATGAAAAATAAAATTTTTTTGGCAAGACCAAGCCACCATTATCCCAGATTATTAAATTATTTCCTTTCAAATCGAGATAAATCCGCTAAAATCACGATATTACGGTGCTTGTGCTAATACGCATTTAATGCCTTGTATCGAGAATGTTTGACATCGAATTTCGAATTACTATTGAGTATGGACACGATATGATTATTATGAAAAAACATTTCGGGTGAAGAGCTCATATTTTTTTCGTTCGAATATTTCCTAACTTAAATTGTAAACAAATGTAATATTTTAAATTGCTTTGGTAGGGAGGACTGGGTACTTATCTTCTGTCCCATATGGCGGTAGAAATAGATCTTAGGATTCAAAACAAACAGATCAAGGTTAGTATATCAAGAGCTAATACTGGGGGTAGGGGCTAGGTGGCTAGGTGCCCCTGTATTTAGTTCCTGGAATGTGTAAAAAAGGTTAAGCCGTGACAGTTTTAACAACAAAGTTTTGAGATTTTATAAGAGTAGTAAGATTTGGTTTCTAAGGTGTCAGTGTTTTTATAAAAAATACATATATATATTTTATTCCAACTGATGATTGGGTTAGACCCATGAAACATTTTGTCTTGGAAGAAATATATATTTAAACATTTAAAATGTATATTTAAACTGAAAAAGTTGAAAACACTAAATATAATATACATATATATTTTAGGAATTTGGACCTACTGCTCCTTATGAAAGGAGACCCCACATTCTGAACTGGGTTGTGGACGAGACTTTATGGGTATCCAACATTTGTTTAACTGTTCCTGTTGTACGTTGTACAATATTGTAATTTTAAATTGATTTGTTAACATTGTAGGGACCGAAGGTGGAGTATGGAGGTGTTGACCGTTTAGTTAGAAAAGTTAGTCTTGGAGAATACAAGATACCAGCCATCAGGTGCCTTCGGATTCTGAGTCGTTTTTTGTTTATATTTTCTTTAGTCCCATCAGAAGTTATATGCAGAAAACGACCCAAAAACGATGCTAAAACGAACGTATCGTAACGAACGTTGCAGTTTTGAAATCTTTAAAGTTTTATTAATTTTTTTCTAATAACTATCCATACCGATTAGCAACCCTACCATCACGTATGACAAAAGACATTAGATAGTTCGATGTGAGAGGGTACACAACACAATATGGCGTCGTGACTCAAGTTTTGTTGTTCAAAAATTTAAAGCAACAGAAAAGGTCCAGATAGAAAAAAACCAGTTTAATGTTCATCAAGACTCTTAAAAGCTGCAAATCCAAATTTTAAGCAAGGTGTTTAGGTAGACTTCAACTGTTAAATACTAGGCTTAAATGTCGCTTCGCGCATATAGTTATTTTGTTCATCTTAATATTTTGTTTCTTTTTTATTTGCAAGCCCTTCTTTTTCGTACACCGCAATCAGTTTAGCCGTTTTTACGTGTTTTGGATGCAAACAAACAGACACCTAAATATGTATATTTGTATAATTAATAGCCTTTAGCTAAATTGTTAATAAATTTACATATTTTTTGATAAATTATATTTTATTTTAAATGCAAACTAAAGAACACTGCATAGTGCACACTGATAGTGCTCAAGACATTAAAATACAGGGTTAACCACAAATAATAAGACTGTAAAGACGACCTAAAACCCATGTTATATAACTATCCTAAGGTGAAATGAAGTTTTCTCTCTTGCATATTTTATTTTTCGATTTGGGGAAACAGAAACAAGTTAACAGTAAAAATTTTAAGGGCCGTTTCAGGGGGGTGCAGCTCATTAACCCCCCCCCCCCCCTTGGTTGAAATTTAAACTTTAATTTTTATTTACACATGTAAATAAATCATAAAGTTTACTTGAAAATGACAACATTGTTAAAATTAAACATATATATATGTATACATATATATATCCTCCTCCATAAAATATGCGCATTCGTCAAAACTAATTAAACTTTAATTGACCACTGAAACTTTGTGATGTAATTTCAAGCGGCGTAAGACCACTAAATTATTGTAGATTGGAATAAAGGATTATAGTTTTTTTTGCTTTCAGCCTTCTTTTGGTTATTCTAAAAACAAACTTAGAAACTGCTTGCAGTCTCCTGCAAGAATAAGAAAATAAGGAAATAAAAAATAATTCTCCCTTCATAAAGAAAAATTTGATAAAATATGCATAATGTATAATGTATAATGTTAATTTATAACATTCAATTAATGATATTAATTTTATTTCGCTTTTAGATAAATAATTGAATTATCAAGTCATTTGCCTACCATATACTATAAAGAAACTGTAATTTGTGTAGGGTTTAGGCAGTAAATAGAACTTTTCAGCAATAGAGGGGGGAGGGGATTTCTTTTTATAAGATTACAGGGGGGGGGGGTAAACAAATGGATAGATTTTGTTATCCCCCCCCCCCCCCCTATATCTTAAATCCTATAACCACCCTTGAAGATATTTTTTTAGGAAGAAGATTATTGACAGCAACTTTGAGGGAGGAGATACTGATGCTGTGCGGAGGGAAGCAGTTCACTGCCAAGAGCTCCTCAAGGAGACCCTATCAGACAGCTGCTACAAGAAGAAGATGCAGCTCCTGCTGCAATGTGAAGAGCTGCAGCAGGAGCATGATATCCGACATTATGATATGAAAGATGTTGTGATTCAGCTGGACAGGTAGAGAATACCACTTTTCTATACACAAACAATATTTCCATATTTATGGTTTTAAAGAGACTGACTGTTGAGTCTAGACCTATCTTCAAATGTAACTCCATTTATATAGTCCTCCGATTTGGTTTGATTTTCCCATAGATAAAGATAGATTCATAAGACGACATTTTTCATCTATAGAAATAAATGTACAGAGATGTTTTAAAGATATTCCTATTAAATAGATTAACTAGGTTGGTTGTGAACATTGGCTGTTCTTATGTCAATGAATACTTGTGATGTACATGAGTTCTGTAGAGAGAAATTCAAGTTAGTTTAGTCCTTCTCATGTCATTCTTCAGTTCTCGTCAATATGATATATTGCTCAGTGAAATATTGTTGTTCAAATAGTTCCATTCCCGGCGTTATTTCACACTCTATTATGAAATCCATGAAAACACCAAAGCACCCCGCTTATCATTGAAGTACACTTTGACCCCTAGAAGTATGAGTTCGCGGACTGTACAATTCTTGGTGTTTTTGCGTGCTTAAGCTATCTATGTTTATTTATTTATCTATGGAATTTCCATGTCCTATTTATAACGGTAACCTAAGAAGCTTTGCTTGATCAAAAATGTACGATATGTCCATGTTTTTCTCCTTGAAAATTGAACAGTTCCAGTTGTGCTCCTATTAAAGTTATTTCCTATGAAGAATGTCAGAATTAAGCACTAGATAAACGAGGATATCTTGCATATTATTGATCAGATAAAGGTTTATAGGGTACCATTGTGGAGAGAGCATGCACTTCTCTTAATTGAGAGGATCACTTGAAAATACGTACACTGTCTCGTTAAGATGAGATTTTAGAATTTACAAATTAATGTGTTTGTTTAATCTTGATCCGATGACAACCTTGAAGAGCCATCCTAAAATGTTTTTGTCTTAAAATACTTATAAATAATTAAGTAAAACCTATTAAATCATTATTTATTATTCATTATTAATTATTAATTATTCTAACTTCAAATGTTTAGATCCTTGCTTGTTGTTCTGAAGGTTCCTGGACTCAGTGAAAACCGCCCAAGTGTTCTGAAAGGGGACCAGTAAGACTACATTTTTAAATATTTCTATTTTTGATTTTGATTTTTCTTCATTTTAAATTTATGCAGTGCATTTTCAGTTATTTAATAGAATATGTAGAAATTTTAATAAGACATGTAATAATTCGCAAATAAGTAAAAAAAAAACTTAAATATATTGTGTCCCATCAATTAAGACAATTTTTGAATAAAATTTTGAACATTTTAACACAGTATTAATGAAAGTTGCTAACTTTGAATTCCTCCTTCTCCCCCTCAATCATTTGAAAAGAAATAGATATTTTTAAAACAAATTGGAATAAATATGTTATTATCAAATATTTTATTTTAGAGTGTTTTTGAAACCTAAAGGGAGTAGAAAACAGTATGTAGGGAATGTGTGTCATGTGGGAGAAAATGAGGTAAGGTAGTCTAGGGATTCTAGAGATTCCAGGTATTCTTGGAATTCTAGGTATACTAGGATTTCCAGGAATTCTAGGGATTCTTGGGATTCCAGGAATTCTAGACATTCTAGGTATTCCAGGGATTTAAGGAATTCTAGTGATTCCAGGGATTCTAGGGATTCCAGGAATTCTAGGGATTTCAGGAATTATAGGGATTTCAGTGATTCTAGGGACTCCAGGGATTCTAGGGATGCCAAGGATTCCAGGGATTTTAGGAATTCTAGGGGTTCCAGGGATTCTAGGAATTCCAGGGGTTCTAGGGATTCCCGGGATTCTTGGGATTCGGGGGGTAAGAATTTCCAATCCAGGTTTTTATTTGGATTCAAATCAAGGATTCCAGGATCCAGATGTTTTTAGGGATTCAAAGATTCCAGAGATTTCAATGATTATTTGGGATACTATTTATGAAAACGCTATTTTATTGAAACCTGATGGTCGTGGTACTTACTATTAAAACTTAAGGATAGAAGGCTATGCACATAATACTAAAGCACCACCCTTCGCGTCGTTATATCAAGAATACTAATAGAACAGCCTGACGCAGTGATAGGTGCTCACTGTTCAGTCCTGATTTTTTAGAAATGAATTTAGAATTTATATAAAAAATAACCCTTTACCCTACTAGGTTAAGCTGTTGGTTAGCTCTGGACTTGTCAACGGAATGAAAGTTGATGTCAGGTAAAGTGAAATATCCAACATAGTGATGTGCATTTATTTTATTTTCGTGTCCAAGTTTGGCAAAATGTAAGAAAAGCTAATTTTTGAGAAAATGATTATTTTAAACATTTTCTGTTCCTACAGGTTGGCAAGTATTATTAAAAGTTTTTATAAAACGATGCTTTCTTTTGACAAATAGATTATCAATTACAAAAGGTAGTAATGAGATTTTAGAAAGTTTTTGCATATTGTCATTCGTGTCAAATGTGACACAGTTGCCACATTAAGTTTGGCCCTACATAATTTGCTAACAACATACACAAGTTGTTTTTGTTTAAGGTTTTCTTTGAACCGGTTCTGTCTGAGAACAATGCACAGAGCTGTGGAGATAGCTGCTAAGGTGTAAACAATATCTTTATACACTACAGTATACAGTGCTAAGGGTCTATTTAATCCAGGATCCGGAGCCGGATTTTCCTACTTGGATCCGGATCCAAGCCCTATGGATTGATTTGGATAGTTTCGGATCCAGATCCAGCAAGAAAAATTTGTGCGCTTCCGGACCCTATATATGCACTAAGAGTAAAAATCATGTTAACAAAAATACAAACAAAAATCAAGTAATGCAAAGAAACCAAATCACATAATAATCAAGCTAAGAGCTAGAACATCCTTCAAGTCAAGTCCAATACAATTCAATACAATCCAACATTGCATTTCAGTAGATAAATAATAGCACAGTCAGTACCAAACTACATATACGTTAAACAGTACAATACTACAGCTACTGAATACACATATAACCATAACACATGAGGATGGGTTGCTAATCTCCCTGTTTCCTACAAAAATCAAGGAGGTTCAAGTCCCATCTACCAAAATTATATTATAAACTTGTTAGGATGGGTTGCTCAGCTCCCTGTTTCCTACAGACATCAAGGAGGTTCAAGTCCCATCTACCAATATTATATTATAAACTTGTTAGGATGGATTGCTCAGCTCCCTGTTTCCTACAGACATCAAGGAGGTTCAAGTCCCATCTACCAATATTATATTATAAACTTGTTAGGATGGATTGCTCAGCTCCCTGTTTCCTACAGACATCAAGGAGGTTCAAGTCCCTTCTACCAGTATTACGCCGTACAACAGGAAACCTCATTGTTAGACTATAGATATCAAAATTGAATATTGATCAAATTAAAATCAAGTGTGCCACTGAAAAAATACTATTAAAACCTGTCACATGAGGATCGTAAAAAAGGCTAAGTCTAAGTACTGCATTTCTTGTTTAATGATTATTAATTGATTAATTTCAACCCAATGTATAAATGAAATGGTGGGAAAATACTAACAACACAGTGCGCCTGAACAAAATCAAGACTTTGAAATGCCTCAAAAGAAAGTTTGTAGGGTTCGAAAATATAAGTAAAATCATTTAGAAAAATGATTATCCTAACTTTTTTCACATAGATCCTTATGAAAAAACTCGTGTTTTACGGATCTACTTGCATAAACTCCAATGGTGCGCCTGAACAAAATCAAGACTTTGAAATGCCTCGAAAGAAAGTTTGTAGGGCTCGAAAATATAAGTAAAATCATTTAGAAAAATGATTATCCTAACTTTTTTCACATAGATCCTTATGAAAAAAACTCGTGTTTTACGGATCTACTTGCATAAACTCAAATGGCGTTAGTTTATTCCTTTTACAACCATTTTCAATGCCAGATAGAACATTTTGTTAGCAGTACAAATTAAAAGAAAAGAAAATTTTACTTCCAAAAATGCATTCATATTTTCATGTATCTGGTTTATGTTCAGAGATATTCATAATCAAAGATTATATAAGGTTTCTACTGAATTAAATTTTAAAACCTGGAAGAGTAAACTATAGGAGTACTTAGCGCTAGTGAAGGGGTCAGTGGGGAGGTTTCAGGAAGGATATTGAAGAACAAAGGAATTGAGTTTTTGCCACAAACTCTTATTTTCCAATCCCTATATCTTTGCAACCCAATGCTGTAGACCTTTGATATTTCAAACTATTAATTCTGTTAGATCAAATAATCACTATTTGAGTTTGTGGCAAAAACTCAATTCCTTTCATGTAAGGTATGTTTGAAACATTTGTTGCGCGATGAAATAGAAATAATCACGGTAGCACCTATTATAGAAAGCATCATGGTGTGGATGGATTAGAAGAAAGATTTATGCAAGGACAAATTAGATAGATTTATCAGGACGGAATGGAGAGTTTAATGGGAGGACGAATTAGAAAGATTCATGGTTGGACAGATTAGAAAGGTTGGTGGTAGGAAGGATGTAAATGGGATAATTGAAATGGTAAAACATATTTGAAAAACTCCTGGTAGGACTGACGTAAAGGTGGGATAATGAATATGGTAGAATGTATTTGAAAAACTCCTGGTAGAACCAACGTAAAGGTGGGATAATGAATATGGTAGACTGTATTTAAAAAACTCCTGGTAGGACCAACGTAAAGGTGGGATAATGAATATGGTAGACTGTATTTAAAAAAATCCTGGTGGGACTGACATAAAGGTGGGATAATGAATATGGTAGAACAGATTAGAAAGACTCCTGGTAGGATTAATGTAAAGGTGGGATAATGGACATGGTAGAAAGGATTAGAAAGACTCCCGTTAGGATTAATGTAAGGTGGGATAATGGACCTGGTAGAAAGGATTAGAAAGACTCATAGCAAGACAGACATAAAGGTGGGTTCTATTTCAAAATCACCTGGATTAGGAAATCTGCTAGCTCGTTTACAGTCAAAAGTTAAAAGGTTAAGGAATGAAAAAGATAAGAAATTTAGTAGTAACTTTATATAAACTTTGATTTTACTTATCTTTGGACATAAAAAAGATACATGAAAGTGTGAATATACTTTTTGGCGCAAAATTTAATTGGATTTCAATTTTTACAGGTGACACGATGTTCATAACTGGTCTTAAACACGGTTTAAATAGGGAAAAACTAAAGCATTTGGAATTTACGGAAGAAGATCTACAAAACATGAGTTTTCTCCAAAAGATCTCAATGAAAAAAGTTAGGATAATTATTTTTCTCAATTTTACTTATATTTTCGAACCCCACAAACCTTTTTCTGGGGCATTTCTAAAGTCTTGATTTTGCTCAGGCGCACTGTGATACCAACAAATTCCAAGACTAAATGTTGTCTTGTTTTTACAATCCTGAGAGGGTTGTGATAAGTTCTTTTCTGAGGTTTTCAATTTGGTCTAAAGATGAGATAATCTATCAGGAATATAGAAACTAACCTACCACAGCTGCAAGCTGTTAAAAGTATAGTTGCTGGTACTGCAGGACATCTTCCATACATTATCTATGGTCCTCCCGGCACAGGTATAAATTGTATTTAAGTAATAACCATTTGGGGGGGGGGGGGGGGTAAATTAGAAGATTTGGAGAGGAATGAACTTTTCCCTCAACTCAATTATTTTAAGTAATCAAATTTACCAAAATAATATTTTTCAATGTTTGTACCTCTGTTCGTATTTCTGATACTTCTTTAATCTCTGTAGACTAATTGCTAATGCATTTTTTACCATCTGATCCCCAGACATACAATAGGATCCATAGAACTGTGGTAAAGGTAGACGATTGTATGACTCAAAATATGATTTTATCAACTAGAAATTGTGAAGGGTACACAGATCCAATTTATTTAATAATTTGGGTTAATAACTAATTTTTTTGCAACATACGCATACCATTGTTTAAATGTAGTCTTTCTTTTCCCCAGCCTTATTACAACTAAATGGTTATCCAGGTAAGACTGTGACTATTGTTGAAGCGATGAAGCAGGTTCTAAAGCTGTCTCCAGGTTGTAAGATTCTAGCTGCAGCGCCCAGTAATGCAGCAGCTGATCTCTTGGCTGAGAGACTGAAGGAGCATATTCCTAGGAAACCTCAACTGTTCATCTTATTTATCTAGTATGATACTTTTAACCACATTCAACCTCATTAAGTGCACTGTTACAGTGTACAACTTGTTTGGTATTACTTGAAAGTTGTCATGAGAAAATTCGACAATATTTTCTGCAATCGGGTGGTTAGTAAATTGTAAAATTTCGTCACATATCTATACTAACCCACAGAAGGAAGTATTTAAACCGCTGTTTATGGATTAAATACTTCCCATGGATTCAAAATCTTCTATCTTAGAAGAATAAATAAATAATTCCATGCTGTCAATCCGGTGGTTTGTTTTCTGGCTTTGACTGATTATTTGATCAAAAGAAACTGCTCTCCTAGATGAATAATTTGCGTGCTTAGATCAAAGATAAGGCGCGTGCATGCTCTTTCCAGGAATATGTTAACCATCAATGAGGTGATAATGATTGTTATGACAATGAAAAAAATGATGATTATGACTATGACCATGACCATGACCATAACCATGACCTCATGACCTCATGACCTCATGACCTCATGACCTCATGACTTGATGACTATGACAATCACTTGATGACTATGACAATCACTTGATGACTATGACAATCACTTGATGACTATGACAATCACTTGATGACTATGACGATGACAATGAGTGACAATCACACGGACTCGGACACTATATTCTGCTAAGTACTAATGCGAGTGTTCCCAATTTGTTCAGAATATCAAGGATATCTCCAATATTGTGAATGGTCAGATAATTACACCAAACATGGATGGTCTCATGGAGTAAGTATTATTTTATCGAAGATTGTTTTAAGATTTTACTGTTTATTAAATAAAAAAGTAATTTTTGATAATTTCTTATTCCAAAAGTAACACATTTTTTTCTAGTTCTAGTTGAAATTTGTAGGAGTATATATTTTGAAGAAGGAGAAAGAAAACAAGATAATTAAATCACTGAGTTTCATAAAACTACATACTTTTTGTATTAGTTTTTAACTTATAATATGACACCCTATTGCAAATACTGTTAAGGTATGACATATTGGTTCTTACCCTCTGTAACAGTGGAAGAATGGTCAGCGCTAAGTTTCCCGAAGACCATTTTACTCATGTCTTCATTGATGAATGCGGTAAGATTTTTCATTTGTTTTTCCTTCTAGGGACTGTAGATGTAATTTCCAAGGACCTATTTATAAAGAAATTTCCAATTTACTATGGTATTCTTTAACTCCTTATCCGAGGAAGATATCATCATTTTTCTTTAAAAATTCTAAATATGGACAATTTCTTTTTTGTGTGTGCTGCAAAATTATCTCTCATCCTGGATCAAACCAATGTTTAAAGTGTACATTTGTGAATGGTCTATGAATGTTGTCTGCCTTAATTGTGCGTTGAATGTTAACAAATATATATATATTTGTATAGCTGGCCAAACGGCTGGACCAAATGGGCTAACATAATTTTCAGGAAACCCGTGAGTGCCTTGGGAAATGGAAAGGCTAAAAAAAATATTTTTTTCAAAATAAATAGATAAATTAAAATTTTTTTTTTCATAATTAGATTTTTTTTAATCCACGGGCTACGTTGCGCACTTCAGCTAGTATTCAATAATAGTCAATTTGACCCATAAACTGAAGTACAGACTAGACTGTACTTCAGTGTACATTGCAAGCTTTTTATCTCTTTTTTTAAACAAATGAGGAATATTATGTTAAGATGAAAGTTATGTCATCCACATTTTAAATAAATCAAAATAATGTCAAATCTAAAGTCAAAACGTTTTTTGTGAGATGGCGCTGATTTTCCATGCTTAATCTCGATATCCATTGAAACAACTCTAAAATTTGAGATAACTAAAGATAAATCTGTGGGTCGACATAATCAATGAGATCCACAACACAATAGTTCTGACTTCTGATTTTACGGGATTTTTTTTATATCAGGACATTCTACTGAACCTGAAGCAGTGATTGCTCTCGCTGGTATTCTCTCTCAGAAGACCTTGGCGACCAAAAAAGGCAGAATAGTTCTAGCTGGAGATCCTAAACAGTTGGGGCCAATTCTTAGGTAAAGGGATAGCTAGAGATTCTGAACAGTTGGGGCCGAATGTCAGGTAAAAGGTTTGCTAGAGATTTTAAATGGTTTGGGACAAATTTACAGGAAAAGGATTTAGTAGAGGTTTTAAATAGTTTGGGCCAATCAGCTGGGATCCAAAACATACCAATTCTCAGGTAAAGGATTAGAGATTCTGAACAGTTTGGGTCAAATCTTAGGTAATAGGTTAGCTAAAGATTCTAAACAGTTCAGGCCAATTCTTAGGTAATAGGTTAGCTAGAGATTCTTAACAGTTTGGGTCAAATCTTAGGTAATAGGTTAGCTAGAGATTCTTAACATTTGGACTAACTCTTAGGTAACAGGTTAGCTGGAGATCCTTAACAGTTGGGGCCAATTCTTAGGTAAAGGGATAGCTAGAGATTCTGAACAGTTGGGGTCAAATCTTAGGTAATAGGTTAGCTAGAGATTCTGAACAGTTTGGGGCCAATTCTTAGGTAACAGGTAAGCTAGAGATTCTAAACATTTGTGGCGAATTCTTAGGTAATAGGTTAGCTAGAGATTCTAAACATTTGGGGTGAATTCTTAGGTAATAGGTTAGCTAGAGATTCTTAACAGTTGGGGACAATTCTTAGGTACAAGGTTAGCTAAAGATTCTGAACAGTTGGGGCCAATTCTTAGGTAACAGGTAACAGTTGGGCCCCTTTTTACGTATATAGATCCCAATACTTAGCTGAAGGGTTAGCTAGGGATTTTGAACAGCTGGGACCAATTCCTCGCTGGATATCCAATATGGGTATGAGATAGCTAAAAAGCAGGGCTTAGATAATTAATATCAAATATCTATAAATAAACATGCCAAAAAGCATGGTTTGGATATCCAATATATATTATCTGTTTAGGTCTGCGCATGCCAAGTAGCATGGTTTGGATATCCAATATATATTATCTGTTTAGGTCTGCGCATGCCAAGAAGCATGGTTTGGATATCCAATATTTATTATCTGTTTAGGTCTGCGCATGCCAAGTAGCATGGTTTGGATATCCAATATATAGTATTTTTTTTAAGGTCTGCGCATGCCAAGAAGTATGGTTTGGATATCCAATATATAGTAGGTCTGCGCATGCCAAGAAGTATGGTTTGGATATCCAATATATAGTATTTTGTTAGGTCTGCGCATGCCAAGAAGTATGGTTTGGATGTATCCCTGTTGGAGAGAATGATGGAAAACCCTGTTTACATGCCAGGGGCTGATTTACAGTACAATTCCAGGTAAACAATTTAATTTAAGAAAATCCTTTACCTCATTTGACATGATTTAGGTTGATTGGTTTTTTTTTTTTTTGACATGTTAAGGATTGATTTTGTTTGATTTCACTTGATTTGGTTTGATTTGTCTTCTGTTGAATTTGACTAGGTTTGATTTAGTTTGATTTGGTTCGAGTTCATTTTGGTTTGATTTGGTTTGATTTAGTCAGGTTTGGTTTGTTTTGATTTGGGTTTAAGATACTTTATTTGTTAAGTTGAATAGTTGATTGGACGAGACATGATTTGATTTACTTTCTTTAAAGTGGGGATAAAAAATCAACAAGTAATTTAAAAGCAATTATTCTTCATAATTCAAAGACAAACTATGAAGGCGTAGAGGGGGGGTGGTAGGAAGGGGAAGTGACTTTTCATTAAACATTTGTTTCAGGTTTATAACAAAGCTGGTTAAGAACTTCCGATCCCACCCAGCTATCCTGGATCTACCCTCCAGGTAAAGGAACATGATCCCACCCAGCTATCCTGGACCTACCCTCCAGGTAAAGGAACATGATCCCACCCAGCTATCCTGGACCTACCCTCCAGGTAAAGGAACATGATCCCACCCAGCTATCCTGAACCTACCCTCCAGGTAAAGGAACATGATCCCACCCAGCTATCCTGGACCTACCCTCCAGGTAAAGGAACATGATCCCACCCAGCTATCCTGAACCTACCCTCTAGGTAAAGGAACATGATCCAACCCAGCTATCCTGGACCTACCCTCCAGGTAAAGGATCATGATCCCTCCCAGCTGTCCTGGATCTACCTTTCAGATAAAGGAACATTATCCCACCCAAGCTATCCTGGACCTACCCTCCAGGTAAAGGAACATGATCCCACCCAGCTATCCTGGACCTACCCTCCAGGTAAAGGAACATGATCCGGCCAAAAAAGTGTCATAACTTAACCTAACCCGTGGCCGCAGCACTCGGCCCCCAAGCCTGTCCTAGCCGCAGCGCTCGGCCCAGAAAGTGTCTTAACCTAACCTAACCCTAAATAAATACTAATTTAATTATTTTTCTGGATCTACAAAATTCAAACCCCCTCTCTCTGTTTTGGAATTTTACGGGACATTGCGCCCAACAGGAATCCCACTCCGCCAAAAAGTTACTCGGAACAAATAGGAAACTTTTTACTCCCAAGATCATGAAATTTTGAGGTAAAATTTCTCTCAAAATTAAATTAATATTAAGGTTGTTCTACTCCAATGAGCTGGTCCCTGCTGCTGACCCTGTGCTGGTTAACTCCCTGGTTGAGTTCCCTGGGATCCCGACCAGGGCCAGGGGGAAGTTCCCGCTCATCTTCCACGGCGTGGTCGGACAGGATCAGAGGGAGGAGAGAAGTCCATCATTCTTCAACCCGGAGGAGATCGTCAGGTTAAATTCATCCCTACAAGGACTTTTAATTTAATCCCCCCCTGGAAAATATCATAAGGGCCACCCTTGATAAAACTATGCAAAACCGAACGTGTCGTAAAGATTGTTTTCGGATCGTTCTTGCACTTTTATATTTTTATGTTAAATATTTTTTCCCCTATTCTCTCTGTGTTTTTGTAGTTGTCAAAATTGAGGTTAATGACCTCCAACTTAAGTCCGTGTAGTCTTGACATTAATTGATATGTTAATAATATATCCTTCCTCAATCTGATAATAAACTTGGTATCGACTGACAACATATTTATAGCTATGTTATCATTCTCCTGACTACATATATTGTCCCCATTATATTTTACCGTGGACCAGAGTTTATAAGAAGTAAGAGATCGTTTAAACGTGTAGACTAGGGTGACACACTGAGGGGTAAAACAATTTTTTTGATTGCCTAGGTTATACATGGGTGATGTGGCCCAATATGAACATTTTGTGAACATTTTAGGTTGCTCTGAGCATTGCATCAAGTGGAAGTCGTCGTTTACTGATTTTCGCCAAAACTTTGATTTTTTATGGAGGTCAATGACCTCCGATACCTAATATTCTTTGTGATCCGTGTAGAGGGACGCCATTGAAGGCTGCATGCAAAATCTTGACCTTTTATTCATTTCAATTTATAGAACCAATTGAAGCCTGTAAAAAATTTGGTGTCACAAAGTCCATAAACAAAAAATCTACATTTTTTCCCGATCCTGCTTCCCGCTCAGTTCATCAAGTTGATCTAAAAATGTTTTTATCATTTCATTAGTAAGGGTTGACGTCACAGAGAATCATGCACCTTTGATTTTATGATTTTCAATTCTTCATGTGTCACCCTAGTGTAGACGTAGACATAGACATAGACATAGACGTAGACGTAGACGTAGACGTAGACGTAGACGTAGACGTAGACGTAGACGTAGACGTAGACGTAGACGTAGACGTAGACGTAGTTAAACCACTTTTCCTCTGAGCTAGGTTAGAGTGAAAAAAATAAACTTTGTCTCTGCTTTTCATTAAGTCTGGTCTGGAATGACTTAGACAATTTTTGTTTAAATTGAATTTTTTTATTTATTTTTGTATAGAGTTCTTGCGTACTTGAAACAGCTGTTTGATATGAAGAAAAACAAGGAAAGCACAACAACAATAACAATACCTTCCTTTTGTAATGTATGCACGTCGCACATACTCAAGCATTTGTTTAATATACAGGGTGTCCCACGAAACATGACAATAGCAAGACGACTTGAAAGTCGTCTTTGATATTTGAATTTATTTGTGACATTTAGTCTTCTATCTACTTTAACATGTATGATTCTTGAAACAATTATCACATAATTCTCTTAGCCCTGGCATTTCCAAAAAGTGGTCTGCGTTTTTTGTGCTTTCAATATTTCCGGAGATATAAAGAGTTTGGTTCAGATTTCAATTTTGTTAAAAAAAAGCAAAATTGTCGAAATCTAAACGAAATTGTTCATATCTCGGGCAATATTGAAAGCACAAAAAATACAGACCACATTTTGGAAATGGCAGGACTAGGGGAATTTTGTGATTATTATCTTTAGAAATTTACTTCTAAAATTAGGTTGACAAATAAATGCAGCAAATTATATAAAAAATCAAGACGACATTCAAGGCCTCTTGCATACTGTCATGTTTCGTGGGACACCCTGTACAATACATGATATTTAATAAACCAGAATTTGAAACAAAATAATTTAAAATGTTTCATTTTTTTCTCACTAAATTGAAAGTCAATGTCAAAGTGGTGAAAATCCTCATTTGAAAGTTGCGACTACTAAGTTTATTTGAATTTTCTTTGTTGTTTATTTCCTTCTTTCTATTTGTTGTGGTTTACAGGTCAAGGGGAAGGAGATTGGAATAATTGCCCCTTACAGGTAAATATTCGAGAAATTAAATCTAAAAAAGCTTTTCCGGAATATCGTTCTGGAAATTTTTCCATTCCGTAATCCGGAAAAATTCAGTTTCGTTTGGAATTATCCCCATATTCCACAAAAGGAAAAACTTCTTATCATTCCATTTCCAAAATGGAAATTGTTTTTTGGAATAATGAAAATCCTATGCAGGAGACAGGTGGAGAAAATCAGACAGGGCTTGAAGAAATTAAAGGGAGAGTACGCAGATATCAGTGTGGGATCTACTGAGGAGTTTCAGGTCTCTTGCGTTTGATGAGACAATTAATGAATTTTAATTAAGATACAATTATCCAAATAATTTAAAAAATTGGCAAAATCTTAATTTTAATTGCTGTAAAAAGTTTACCAGTTGTTTTACATTAAAAATTTCGATATTTGTGCTTTGCGCTCAAAGAAAATAGCTTTACATGTGTTATGTGCATTATTTTTGTGTATTTTAATAACCCATAAGTACAAAATATGTAAAGGGAAATGTTTCAAATTTTTTAATTCTTGAACATTCAATTATAACCCCTGAAACTATCTTTATTTAGGGACAAGAACGACGGGTGATAATAATCTCGTGTGTAAGATCCCAACCTGAATATGTCAGGATGGATCAAGAATATCAGCTTGGGTTTATCAGGAATAAGAAGAGGTAAGATCCCAACCTGAGTATGTCAGGATGGATCAGGAATATCAGCTTGGGTTTATCAGGAATAAGAAGAGGTAAGATCAACCTGAATGTCAGGATGGGTCAAGAATATTAGCTAGGGTTCATCAGGAATAAGAAGAGGTAAGATCCCAACCTGAATATGTCAGGATGGATCAGGAATATCAGCTAGGGTTTATCAGGAATAAGAAGAGGTAAGATCCCAATATGTCAGGATGGATCAAGAATATCAGCTTGGGTTTATCAGGAATAAAAAGAGGTAAAATCCCAACCTGAATATGTCAGGATGGATCATGAATATTTGCTAAAAATATCACTTAAGAAAACTATCAAATTTTATAACTTTTCTTCAGATTTAACGTCGCGATAACTCGGGCTAAAGCCTTGATGATCGTTATTGGCAATCCGCATGTTCTGGGACAGGTAACTTTTACAATGATTTATACTAATTTTAAAAATCTCCCCCCCCCCCTTTTATAATTCCTTTTTCTCAGTAGGGAAAATCAATATTCTGCTTTCATGTGAAAATAACTTCACCTCAATTTTGAGCTAAATATTTCAAAAACTAGTAAACTTTGGCTTTTCTGATCATTAAATTGTCTGTGTCATTTTACTGGCAAAGGTGTTGTGAAGTTTTAAAGTTATTATTTTAACTAACTAATAATAATATCTAGTATGTACACTGGATAAATAATAATATCCAGGATGTACACTGGATAAATAATAATATCTAGGATGTACAATGGAATAATAATAATATCTAGGATGTACACTGGAATAATAATAATATCTAGGATGTACACTGATTAATAATAATATCTAGGATGTACACTGGAATTCTCTGTTGGAGTATGTACAGAGGAACGGAGGTTACACTGGTTGTCCGTACACTGCCAATAATGATATAGACATGGACCGGTAAGTCGTCTTTGTAGACTCGTCTTACTCGTAGAAGGGAAAATGCGGGAAACATAACCTGTCCGCTTTCCTAAACTGTGTTGAATACTCAAAATTCCGATCGCTTAATCTCGAAATCCACCTTCTGTGGGCACTTTTAATTTAAGGATCTATAAAAATCACGTCACACCTGTCCATATTTTCATTTAAGTTATTTCTCCCTTGATCAAAGCTCCCTACAACCCCTGACTGGGTACGATTACCATGCGGGATATCGAATAAAGATTAAATTAATCTGAGGATTGACAAAATATCAAGATTAAGCATTGATCTCGATATCCAAAATACAAGGGTTCTCAGTTCTTTCTGGCTCCTTCAACGATATGTTAAATCAGACTCAAATTAAACCTTGATTTCAAACAAGATTTCTTGAATATTAGAACTCTCGAAGTTTAGTACTAATGCAAGGAAAGTTAATTGCGGTCGCGTATACTCTGCTTACGTATTGAAACCAGTTCTCTCTGGGCGAACTTTGTAAACAAGAATAGATGCATCAGTGTTCGTTTAGTATCCGAGGAGGTTAAAAGCATTTAATTTTGATAATTTTGATAATTCACATAATAGTTTCCTATGACCAGAATATTTCATAGATTATATTTGTGAAAATGGATTCCATGTCGGGCTGTGACATCCGTCTTGTGTTTACTTTTCCGCCCCAAGACAGTACACTGCAGTACAAAAAATGCGTACACCTCTGAAATAACTTTCCTTGCATTAGTACCTTGAGTGCTACTATCAATACTTAGTTCAACTTCTATTGATTCGTAAATATCTTATTGTAGTCTGGAGCAGAATCTGCAACGGTTGAACCTTCTTCTATTGATTCGTAAATATCTTATTGTAGTCTGGAGCAGAATCTGCAACGGTTGAACCTTCTTCTATTGATTCGTAAATATCTTATTGTAGTCTGGAGCAGAATCTGCAACGGTTGAACCTTCTTCTAGAGGACAGTGCAGAGTTGAGTCCTACAACCCTGGTAAGCAATTTTAATTATTTTTATTTTAAGGGACTGTACGCGTAAATTCAAGTGACCCTCTGCATGCAAAGATGACAGTTTCCGAATCATAACGCTACCCTTGAAGTCTTTCTCTGATCAATTTAAAAGTGTTTATTTCTGATAATTCATAAATGTTTTCCTGCCGTTGAAAAACCACAATTTAAAAAAAATCAGAATTATTTATATTTAATTCATACTTGATGGGTACTGTCATATATCAATAGATTGAAATTACGCATGCGGACCCTTTAATCAGTATTTTCATGAGCAGTAAACTAAAGAAGTCACAGTTTAAAATTTTTAATTTCAAGCTTTGTGAAGTGATAAAAATTTGTTGAGCAGTGAAGAAGTCAAATTTTTTAAATTTTCATAATTAGCAAGCTTAGTAAATTATTACTCTTTAAAATGATTAAAAAGGATGGAAGGAAACGGAAGCCTGACACCAATAAAAATAAACAAATTGTTTTTAACATCGTGTTTTAGTTGGCAGGGCCATAACATTTGAGAAACGAAATGTTTTCTTTATTAATAAGTTCTAATTCCAAGATATACTGAGCTCTCGTCAAAGCAAAAAATGTCAATGCCGTTTTGTACAGTGTGTGTGAAGTGTTATAATATAAAGCTTAAAAAAAATAAAACACTATTTTTTACTGCACTACTTTATTGAAATTGAGCACGGAATTATGAATTATTAAAATTAAATAAGATTAATATTAATAATAATGGTTTCAATATATTTATATTACTAGTATGAAGAACCGATGTGGAGGCATGGCGAGTAAGCAAGAAAGTTCATATTCAAGAAGAAAAATACAAATTTATAAAATCATAGTTCATGTACTTCATAAATTATGTACTACTTTCTTCCAGAACATTCGATTGACAGCTGGTACTACCTTCTTCCAGAACATTCGATTGACTGCTCATGAACTCTCTGACAGTATATCGGATGCATACTTCACGAACTTCATGTACGCTATATTTACTGCACAGTACAGAACTTATTGTACAGTATGCTTGATGTAGTTCATTAACTTGCTGCACAGAATTACTGACGGGCACTGGGCAGCCTTGTCTGCATAAAATTTTCATGCACACTGCACATTTGCGCAATGCCGAAATTTTTTCCTAATTTTATGCATTATCTTCTCATTTTATTTGCTTTACGCAATAAACGATGGAAACTTGTATTACCATGGTTTGTGTTTTATTTTTGCACTTCAAAATATTGTTTTCTGAGCACCGCTAATTTTTGTTCTAATTAAACCTTTCACAGATTTTTTGTGCTTAAAGTTGTGTTTTCTTGAAAATATGTAGCATTTATTCTAAATATTATATCCAAGAGTTTTATGTGATTATTTTTGATACCAGTGATTTAAAAAATAAAATATACTTCTTTCAAATATATTTTCTTCTCCATTTTTTCAGAAAAAATGGAGAAAACTCTTGAACTTGCTGAAGAATTAGGCGAGAAATTAAATAATGTTAATTTACTTAAGTTCTTGATAATTTAGGCTTAAATTCCGCTCTGATAACCCCAACCAGCAACAGTGCCCTTGATTTTGAAGTTAACGAAGGTTAATGTGGCTTTAAAATCATTGATTCTGATAATTTCTTCATTGAAATAATCAATTTCCCAAATCAAATCATTCTTGATCACATTAAGACTATCTTAAAGGGTATCTTTGTAAGTGCACACTATAAAAAGCCACCATATGTTTCTAACTCTATAGAGTCTGCATGAGTCTATCCGTGGATTGCAAGTCTTAGAAAAAACATATGATTACAACATGGATGGATAATTTTTTCTTTTCAGATGCTGGTTCAGAATTAAAGTAGTCTTTTCTTTTACCTCGTTCAATCCCAGCAATTATTGATAATTGATTTTTAATCATTATTTTTAAATTATTAATTTTTCAAAGTTTAGGTTGTATAAAATATGTGAAACTAGACCGAACGAATAAACCTATAGGAATCATTTTTATTTAAATATTGATAAAACTATAGTGATAACCAGTAAACTCTAAAATATGAAGACGACCTTCAAACTCAAGTTAGGACTTAGGTATGGCAATTGTACAGTGTAAATAGACTCATTTCACTTAAATAATAGTTAGAATAGAATAATGGTTGGTTCGTTTTTTTCGCTGCATGTTTCCTTCACTAAGTCAAGTTTTGACCCTGGTAGAAGAAGTTTTTGCACTTGTTATTTTTTAATGGATTAAAAAAAATTAACATAACCAGGATAGGAAGACAACATTAGTGCAATACTGAAGTGAATTCGATGTTGTTATAAAGCAAGTAGTTTTACCACAGGGTGTCCCAATAAACATGGGAATTCAGTGACGAATTCGATATCGTCTTTTTAGATAATTCTTTGATTTAGTATAGTGATACCTACTGAGAAAGCTTTAATCTGTAAGTGTTTCGTCTGCTATGTTCACATTTTGTTTGTTTATGTTTTTACTGCATACGATTGTACCTAGTAAAACAAGAAAATTGCAGTATACAAACAGAGTAAACTTGTCCGTCTTCACTTTTCATCTTGTGGAGACATTATAGAAACATCTTTACAGTCTTTTACCCTTTGCATAAAATAAACTCTAGCAGACATAATGATATTATGGCTTTTGAACTTAGGTATTACAATGCTAATTCATAACAAAGACGATATCGAATTCGTCACTGAATTCCCATGTTTTTTGGGACACCCTGTAGTAAGCTATTAAATCACTTATTAAATTAAATGTGTATCCGTACAATGAACAATCGCTGTGCCTCATGTTCATTGGACTAGTTAAAGACATATCTTGAGTCTAAAAGTCATCTTTCTGTGGTACAGTTTTGAAATCTTATAAGTTTTTATTAAAGATGTTCTAAAAACGATTAACATACTCAGGAGAGGGAAGTTTGTTGTCGGCTTAGCTCTTGTTCATTTAGAAATTGAAACTAGTTAATTTACGTTTACTCACTTGTAGTTGTAAAACTAGTTAATTTACGTTTGGTCACTTGAAGTTGTAAACTAGTTAATTTACGTTTACTCACTTGTAGTTGTAAAAATAGAGACGATGTTTGATCACAGAGTCAGTCATTCAGCAATTTAAATACCTTTAAGACGTAAATAGGAAGACGACTTTTAGAATCAAGATATAACTTTAAAAAAAAAACAATAAGCATGAGACACTGTATTTTTCCAGTGTAAACAGACCCATTTGTTGATATGACTAGTACCTAAGTACAGGATACCCACAAAGGATGATACTGTGAAGACGATCTGAAAATCTCAGAATATGACCTTATCATGGTGGAATAAATCTTCTCCTTTAGATATAGTCTTTCAATGATCGGACAAAGAAAGAATTAAGTTTACAGTTGCGGGGAATTACAGAGATAAACAAAGAAACAGACAGTAATATTCCGTCCAGTCGTCTCTGAAGTCTCTTCCTTTGTGGGTAACCCTGCAGACCACTGTAGAGTCCTTTATATGAATTTGCAAAAATATTTGTTGGCGGATTTTAACTTCACAAATAAAAAAATGAACGTTGAAGAGTGCAGCCAAGAGATTAAATATCTTCTCATCATAGATTTTGAATCCACCTGCTGGCAGGTACAGTGGTCGGCGTTTATATCAATACAATGAATACGACTTTTTAAGAATAATGTTTTGATCTCTGATGAGCGTTTTTCAAGTAACTAGTTTTCAAGTAAATAAAGAGAAGCTGTTATTAGACAACTTCTTTTAGCTTACATGTTTTTGTGCCTCTGTTTTTTAAAAGATTGGTAGAACTTGCAAATTTACAATAAAAAGTCGTCTACACTGAATCGATATATATGACAACGCCTTTACATAATGTTTTTATCTTTCATTGTAAACCAGCAACCTAATCAGACTTAGTTTATGAGTTCGTCAGAGGTAGAGTTGGCACATAAACCTTTTTTTCATTTCTTTCGTTCATCGTTCGTTAACGACTCCTTTTTTTCAATTGTTCGAAAAAAATTATTTAGTTCGTTTTAAATTTATCGTCGATTCTGTTAGTTTTCTATCGTCATTAAAATCGCACGTTCAGTAAGAAAAACGATCGTTTTTTTAATTTTTCGAACAAACCGTAATATACTATCGTTTTTTTAATAGTTTGTCTCCAAAAAATCGTTTTTTTACGTTCGCTTTAAGAAAAGAAATGTTTCTTTTTCTCTGAACGATCCATTTTGTTCGTTCTAGTTCGTTTTTTCTGGACGATACCACCCTTTTCCAAGAAAAAATTTCGTTCCTTCAAAAAAAACGATGTTCATCTCTAGTCAGAGGTCACGTCAAGCCATATTAAATAAATTACATTATTTAAAGATAACATTTTGGACACGTTTTGACTTGAAACGACCCGATTATTAGGTCATTTTTACCTCTGTGGCCATGTACTGAATGTACATGGCCACAGAGTGTACTGTACATACACTGTGCGCTCGATTTTCAGTTAGAAACATAAAGAAAGCTTAAGCAGTCTTACTTAGACAAAGGCTTATAGGGTATGGTTGAGATTCGTAAATGCTATTATACAGGAAAATTTATTATATTTTTTAAGGAGAAATCTTCAGGATTTCCTCCAGAGATAATTGAGTTCCCAGTTCTCCTTGTGGATTTGGTTACAGGGGAAACAGGTGGATATTTTGGTTTCATTTGTCTGTTTTTCAAGTAGATCAAAAAATAATTGGACAAAATTGATAAAGAAGAAAAGGTTCCAGTAAAAGAATTTCAAATATCTAGTTATCTAGTTCGATAAAGCTAGACTGGCGAAACGGCTTGATCAAATTGGCTAAGAGAACCCATTAATGACATTCAGGCATAAAAATTAGGACATTTTGAAAATTCCACTCTAAATGAGAGCGGGAAAAAAGTTAGGTAAGAATTTAAAGACACTTTGAATTTTATTAACAATCCCGTTAATATGTTTAGTATCAGAGTTCCATGAGTACGTGATGCCAACAGAACATCCTAGATTGACCAGCTTTTGTACACAGCTTACAGGTTATACCCCTCTCCCTCCATGAGTATGTGATGCCAACAGAACATCCTAGATTGACCAGCTTCTGTAGTCAGCTTACAGGTTAACTCCCCACCCCCCTCTCCCTCCATGAGTATGTGTTGCCAACAGAACATCCTAGATTGACCTGCTTCTGTTAATTCCCCACCCCCCTCTCCCTCCATGAGTATGTGTTGCCAACAGAACATCCTAGATTGACCAGCTTCTGTAGTCAGCTTATAGGTTAACTCCCCCCTCTACATTTTGCCCACCCCCACCACATAGTTGCCGCTCTTATTTAAAGTTATAAAACTTTATTTAGTCTCATAAGTAATAGGAATCTCCTGGAAACAAAAACTTGAATTACAGATAAACAGAAAAATCTGAAATAGGAAGACGGCTCCTAAACTCCATTTATGACTTTCAATAGTCCAATAAGCATGGGACACAAGAAGTGTGCAGTAAACAGACCAATTTTACCTAATAATTAATTTTATAAAGTTCTAGTTAAACTATTTGCTTTGTAACTACATCAAATTCACTTCAGTATTGCTAAAATGTCGTCTTCCTTTTTGAGAGTTTTCTGGTTATTTCTGTAGCGCGTCTAGTGGTGAAAAGTACATTATATCTTAACTATTTACAGGTATAAATCAGGAAACTGTCGAGTCTGGTATACCCCTGGGGACTTGTCTTCTACTCTTTAACTCTTGGATTAAGGAACTGAACTGAAAACTTTTGTATTAGATATCCCCTTAATCCCGATTGCTAAATCTCGATATCCACTGTGGACACTTTCGATTTTATGTTTAAGCCTATGTTTTGGATATTCCTGCACTGGACGCACAAAATTTCTCAGCTTCGGATTGGCTGTTCTTTTCTGGATTGGATATCAATATTAGATCAGATTAATCTGCAGATTAATAAAAGAGGAGATCAAGCATTGACCTCGATATCCACAATTCCAAAGCTGAACTCTGATCATAATTTTCTTAAAAGAAGCTTATAACCCAGTATCCACATCTTATAAAAAGCAAAGTGTAGATTTTGAAACAGAAACAAAATTGAGTACATCTTCGTAACCTTCAAAGATAATCTTGAGGGCAGAAAAACTGATGTCAGTTAAAAAAAATATTAGACTTTTCACTGGAAATTTTTTTTTTATTTCATGAACACTAAACAGTTCTTTGAAACTGCAGGAGATGACAGAAAAGTATAATCTTTCTTCAGATAGCAGGTACATTACAATATAGTACATATATTACACTACATTAGTACAGTACACTATAGTGCATTAATACGGTACAATACAGTACAATACAGTATAATACAGTACAATGCAGTACAATACAGTACAATACAGAACAATACAGAACAATACAGTACAATACAGTACAATACTGTGCAATACAATACATTACAGTAAATAACAGTACTTTACAGTACATTACAGCAAGTTACAGCACGTTACAGCACAGTACAGCACAGTACAGCACAGTACAGCACAGTACAGTACAGTACAGTACAGTACAGTACAGTACAGTACAGTACAGTACAGTACAGTACAGTACAGTACATACATAAAATCTATCTTCTATACAATATATACACCTGCTGTACACTATCTATCTATCTCTATAGTACGGGTAATCTGTACACCTGGTGTACACTATCTATCCATTAGTAGGTCAGGTAATATTTACACTTGCTGTACACTATATATCCATCTATCTATCTATCTGTCCTTAGTACGGGAAATTTGTATACCTGCTGTACATGGTCGGACTGGGATTTAAACCTCTGCCTTGAGAATGAATGTAAAAGGTAGGAGCATAGATTAATAACAATACAGAAAGAACACTAGATGTCGTCTTTTTATTATTTAGGTGTTTTTTGTTCACAATAACCCTGAGGCAGAAGCCCAAAGGAGTTACGCGCATGCTCTCTCTCTCTCTCTCTCTTGTCATTTTACTTTGCATACGCGTAACTCCTATCAGGGGCGTACGAGGGGGGGCCGCGCCCCCCCCCGCCCCCTCTACGTGTGCCCCCCCTGAGAGGCTGAGGGGGGGCATCCATGGGGGAGGTTCTTTTAATATTACATCTGCTTGCATTTCCCTTCCTCAGGTCAGGCACAGTGGTGTACCTAGGGGCAGTAGTCCTCCTGCCCCCCCCTGGGAGTTCCAAAAATACAAAATTAAAAGGAAACTACGTTTAGAAAGTAACACCTGACAATGACAAAGACTAAGGATTTGTCTAAATTCACTGTTAATACAAGGAGAGAAAAGTTTTAGCCTTCTAAAGAGAATACTTCATTACACAAGATGTACTATGACGGAGAGCAGACCCTTTACACCCTAAAAGGCTGTCTGAGCTCTCTACTGAAAAAAATCATTGAAATGTTTGTGCAAGCAAATCCCAGAAAATTGTAGCTTAAAAGAGTTGGTGAATATGTAGATTGAGTAAATTCTATCTAAAAATTTCAGAAGAAATTTCGTTTATTAGTTAAAATATAATTTTTAATGATGCTGTGATTATTGATTTAGTTAGCTGTGATGGAGTTAAGTGATAGATTTATAAAGTCAAAAAGTTAGTTTTTCAAGCAAAGGAATAATTTTTAGACTCTAAGGTTAGTAACACCCAAAAAAGTAGTCTTTTTGGTGTATTTTTATGGTGAACAAAACAAGTACAGGTGGGAGGGGGTTGGGGCAAAAAAAATTAAAAAAGGTATTAATATTTGTTCAAAAAAGGGGTTTTTAGGGGGGGGCACAATGTTGCCAAGGGGGGGGGACAGCAAATTGTGCCCCCCCCTAAACAAAAGCCCTCGTACGCCCCTCACTCCTATGGGCTTCTGTCTCAAGGTTATTGTGAACGAAAAATACCTAAATATTAAAAAGACGACATCTAGCGTTCTATCTGTATATTTATTAATCTGTGGGTAAAAGGGAGAGTTTATTTATTAAAATATTAAGATGAGTTAGCAGAAATTTTGAGAAGATGTTATTTTTCTTTAAAAGTTTCTTAAGACATTTTCATAAGAAATTAATCTCAAGTTGGAAGACCTATTAAATATATAGTAAAAAGATTTCTCTCACAATTATTCCATTTAAACACCTACAAGCTATTGCGTAAAATCTTGTTTCTACTGAAGTGAAAGACTATAAAAAGCAGTGCTTAGAATCAGGATCCGTTGGATTCGCAACACTTTTGCTTCCTGGATCCTGGTCCGGATCCGCAAAATATGCGGATCCGGAGAGATATCAAAATGTCCTTTTCTCTGAATGGTTCATCATCAAGTGTTAGCGCCAAAATAACAACAAAGAAAGAAGAAATTCAATTTAAAATTTTTTCTTCTATTAGAAAATCTAATTTCTTTTAATATTTCTTCCAGGGTTGTATATTTTTACCCAGCCTCCCTCCAAATGTGAAAAATTGGGATATCAAAAGGCAAATTTTATTTTTTATAAAAACTTTTACAAAAAATTTCATTGATTTTCCCCAAAAATCGTTGATTTCCCAATTTAACGAATAAAACCCCAACAAATTTATAAATTTTTGATGTAAAAACTTAATGGAATTTTGAAATTGAAATTGAAATAAAAAATTTAAGCTTCCTCTGAATATTAGAGTTTCTTTACAAAATGGATTATAACTTTATGATTTATTTTTTTCTTTCATTCCATATTTTCTCCATTGATTCAAATTTAAACGCATTTATAATTCATCCGTTTTTTTTACTGAACATTCAGTTAGAATGTTAATGATATTTAGTTGTAATGATATCCACGCAATTCAAGGAGGCCTCATACCTTGTGTCACTAAAAGCAAATCCTCAAACCTTGGTCTTTACTGAATAATAACTACTTATCTCTATATTACAGAATGGTATATAGGAATGCAAATTATATATAAGGGAATATTAATATTCTCTCCTATATGTATTACATCCTTGTTGCCTCACGTACATGAAGAGATATGTAATTTATTCAACTTTTGAACAAATTTTATGGAGATTTTTCCACGTCAAAATATAACATTTTAATTTGCATCAAAATCTACCCTTTTCAGATTTAAAAACTTTATCTTTTTTTTTGTAACACATTTTTTTGAGTTCAAAAATCAAATCAAATAAGTGGTTTTGGAGTTGTAAACCCCCAACTTCTTGGCAGAAAAATTCGCAATTAATTAGATTGCATCCCTAGGGTTGCAATCTAACATTGCGACCGTGGTTTCAGGGTCGCAATGTGAATATCAGGGATACAATGGTGTCATAATTTTGTACTAAAGTTGGAAAAAGGTATCGAGTCTTTGTCACAAACTCTAATTTTTGAATCCTTATATCTTTGATAAAGATGGTGTAAATGTTTGATTTTTTCAAACCTAGATTATTTGGTATAACCGACTTAAAATATCTACGGTTTTCAACCTGGGATTATAAAGATAAATGATAAATTATAGAATCAGAGTTTATGGCTCACAAAGACTTTGTGGAGTACTTTTTCAAAAATTAAGCAAGAATATGGCTTAAATTTAGCCTATTATGAAAAATTAATATTTTTTTGTTAGTTATGTTAAGTGAATTTATATAGTTTGAAATAATTCATTAAAAATGTCATATTCTTTAGGAAACAATTGAAGAAACCGCTAGAATTAAGACGATGGATTGATATCAGGTTTCTTATTTCATGCTATACGCAATTATAATTCTTTTTTGGCTTGACGGGGGGAGAATTCTTCTTTCTTCAGAATGTAGAGGAAAGTTTTAATGATATAAGCTTTTTAGAAAGTCATACTTTTACATATAGAAAACCCATTTTTGTTTCAGTGGCTGAAAATGGGTAATTTTTGCAATTTTAAAATCCTTAATTATAATAAAGAAGTTTTCATTTATAATTCTTTATAAAAGTCATATATGAAGGAGTAATGGATAAAATTGTGATAATTAAACATTTTGAAAGCTAGAAAAACGGCGATATCTTCCAAATTATTGATCAGATAACAGTGTTACCGTTGTAAAAAGGCCTAGCATCTGAAAATCTAGGTTCCCCTTAAAGGGACTGTAAGCGCTATTTAAAGCGACCCTCCATGCAACGATGACAATGCCCGATTCACTATTGAGCGTTATTTGAGCATCATTTGAGCGTTATTTGAGCGTCATTTGAGCGTCATTTGAGCGTCATTTAAACATCATTTGAGCGTCATTTGAGCGTCATTTAAACATCATTTGAGCGTCATTTAGACATCATTTAAGCGTCATTTGAGTGTCATTTGATTGTCCCTTTAAGTTATGTGTTAAAAAATGAAAGAATTTTATTTTCTAATCGATCATAGGAAGAAAAAGTTTTAATAATGAAAAAATCAAATCTCGAAAGCAAAACTATAAAACTTTTTTTTACAATTGGGGAGTTTTTCATTTTTATACTTTTACAACTTTTTACAAATTACGCGATACGCGTTTTTAATGCAGATAATCATTTTTTACAATATTCTTAGTTCCTGAGTATCTTTATTCACTTTAATTAATTGTGTTGCATAGCCCAAAAAATATAATATTTTGAACCTGGAAACTGTGTTATTAAAAAAAATAATGAACCTCATTTTAAAAATACATTTTAATCAGAAACATTGACGAGAACGAGACCCCAACATTGTCTTTTTTTATTCATAAAAAAATTAGAAAAACTATCTTGAATTTTAGATTTATTAGTTCTGTTTACACCTGGGTCGGATAGAATTCCGCAAAAAACATACTTGGTTTAGAAATAAATGTCTTTCTGGAAGATTTAAAAAATATATTTTTTTCATCCAAAAGTCATGTTCACAATAAAAATTGTGAAAAATTGTATGGTTTAAAGGCTAAAAACCATTTAAAATTTAGTTTAATTATATTACTTAAAAGAAACCAATAATATTTGTTCGTATTTTCTTTTCTCTAAACATACTTGTGTATATGGTTTTGTTTCAGGGCTGTATACAAACAGTTTTACCAGCGAACTCCGAAGGTAAATAACCAGGGGTGTATATTTTTTGAAAAATCATGTCCCCCCCCTGATTGAAAAAATAGGTATGTTTTGGCGGAACGCAAACCACTTAAGGGTTTTTATGAACTGGGAAAATAAATGATAAACGTTGAATTTTTGGATAAAAAGTATTTGATTAAATTTTGATGGAATTTATCACACCTAATATTTCCCGTTGTACGGTGAATAAGTGACTGTATCGCCCTACAACAGGGCGAAAAAGTAACTTTCACCCTGCTATTAAAATTTCAAATTTCACACCTAATTTGTCTCATTGTAGGGTGATAAAGTTACTTAATCACCCTACAACAGGGTGATTAAGTAACTTTATCTTTGCTTTTAAATAATTTGAGTAAAACTGAAATGTTATTGAAATGGGTATCATGCATGCGAAAAAGTTTTTGCTGTGATTTTTAATTTTTCTTGTTTGTTTAAGATCAAAATGAAATTACTTTTTATAATCCCGGCAAAAACTTTTTTTCACTTAATAATACTCATTACAATGAAATAAAAAGATATAAAAGAACGAAAAAAAAAGATTTATTTTGAGGTCCAATTCATCATCGTTTCCAGAGAAGTGGGGGGGGGGGGAGTTAATTTTAAAATTACTAACTTTGTTAATTACATTTACAGTTGTAATTTCAAGTGACCTTCTTGAGAACTTAAAACTTAATTATTCCTTATTTTACCTTGACCAATTTTTTTTTTGGTATCTAAAATTGAAAGTTTTTCCCAGGGGATGATAGTTCTCTACCTGTGTGCTTAGTTAGCTGTACTGTACACTGTTTACTAATATTGATATATAATAGGTTAGGCCAGAATCAACTTATAATAGTATAGCCTATAAAATTAATAAAGGATCAGTGTACATCATCACTCTATACACTATAACCTCGTTGGTTAGCGTACATCATCACTCTATACACTATAACCTCGTTGGTTTTTCTATGTGTCTTAAATATTGTACTCTTTGAACTCTGTCTGTGAATCCTATAATAACTTTGTGAATGACCTAATAATACCTAATCTATGAATGTATTACATAAACCCAATCTATGAATGTATTACATAAACCCAATAAAAAATGTATTACATATAAATCGAGTAGATGAATGTGTTACATAGACCCAATCTATGAATATTATTGAATACATTACATAAACCCAATATATGAATATTATTGAATACATTACATTTACCCAAGCTATGAATGTATCACGTAAACCAAATTTATAATTGTATAACAGAAACCAAATCTATGAATGTGTTACATAAACCAAATCTGTGATTGTATTACATAAACCAAATCTGTGAATGTATTACGTAAACCCAATCTATGAATGTATTACATAAACCCAATCTATGAATGATTACATAAACCCAATCTATGAATGTATTACGTAAACCCAATCTATGAATGTATTACATAAACCCAATCTATGAATGTATTACATAAACCCAATCTATGAATGCATTACATAAACCCAATCTATGAATGTATTACATAACCCCAATCTATGAATGTATTACATAAACCCAATCTATGAATGTATTACATAAACCCAATCTATGAATGTTTTACATAAACCCAATCTGTGAATGTATTACATAAACCAAATCTGTGAATGTATTACATAAAACAAATCTGTGAATGTATTACATTTATCCAATCTGTAAATGTACTTCTTGATTTACTGCTAAAAGTTCTCATAAATCTTTTGTCTCTCCAGACTCCGACCTATACTCTTTCTGAAATTTTTCAAAAACAATTCTTAAAAGTAGAATAGAAGTAGATATACATCTATATAATAAAACAAGACATTCGTATATAATTATAGCCGAATGGACTGGAACTTTTCGTGGACACTTATGGCCGGGTGGCCGGGGGGTGTTATAGGCTTTTAAAAAAACATTTTTTTCCCATTCTCTTTTTCCACGGGCAACACCGGGCCCTTCAGCTAGTTTGTATATAAATACGGTGGTAAGCGATTATATCAATATACGGAAGACAACTTTTAATTTTGATTTATATCAAGCTTGTAAACAGCATGGATACACAAAAACATGGAAACAAAGAGAAGCTGTCAATTGAGAAAGCTTCTCTCAATTACTTGTAAACTTTTAATTCGAAAAAAGCTTGTTAACAATTAAAACAAAAAAGTCGTCTTCATTATATTGATATAATCGCCTACCACCGTATATATAATCCTACTTTAAAGCTCTCTTTCGTGAATTGTTATCGTCTCTTTAATTAAAGGGTCAGTAAGAATTATATTTGTTTAAAGAGAATGTTAACGTCTTCAAGTGACCCATTAATGATGAAGTGGAATATCCGATTTACAACGTTTGCCTTGATCAAGTTGTGTTATCAAGTTTAAATTAGATATGCATGTTTTTGTTTTTAAAAACTAATTATTTTCATTGGTGGTTTCTTGCTTCAAAACTAATAGAACATTTTTCAAGTCAGAAAACGACATTATATCTACCACAATGTTGAACAGATAAAGTTTACAAGGATACCTTTAAATGGATTGTCACTTCAAATTACGATTGTAATCCCTTGAATTTATGTTTTTTTTTTGCAGGGTTTAAAGGGAGGATTGAAGGATGTTGGATTAGAGTTTGAAGGTCGTGAGCACAGTGGTATTGAGGATGCCAGGTTAATAAATAGGGTTGATCTGACCCTTGACCTTTACCATGACCTTAAGCTTGGCATTGAACTTTACCTTGAACTTGAACTTGAACTTGAACTTCACTGTGACCTTCACCTGGGCCTTGAACTTTACCTTGGCCTTGACCTTTACCTTGATCTTTACCTTGTCCTTGACCATGACCATGACCTTGACCTTGACCTAGACTGTGACCTAAACCTTGGCCTTGAACTTGACCTTGAACTTGACCTTGAACTTGACCTTTACTGTCACCTTAACCTTGGCCTTGAACTTGACCTTGACCTTAACTTTGACCTTGACCTTTACCGTGACCTTAACCTTTGCCATGAACTTGACCTTGAACTCGACCTTGACTTTGACCTTCACCTGACCTTGAATTTAATCTTTATCTTGATTGTGACCATGACCTTGAACTTGAACTTGAACTTGAACTTGAACTTGAACTTGAACTTGAACTTGAACTTGAACTTGAACTTGAACTTGAACTTGAACTTGAACTTGAAAAAATCGTTCACTAGGACAGACCCGATCTTGATCTTGATCTTGATCTTGATCTAGGAACACTGCTAGATTAGTACTAAGTATGGTACAGAGCGGATGTAAACTAACAGAAACTAAATCTAATCCAACTCTTAGTTCTGATCTTAACAACAGGAAATATATTTAACAATAATTATACAAATTCTAAAGGGAATGGTGAAGATGGCATGTTTGATGTGGGGGGGGCCTTCTTCATTTTTGGTTCAAATCTTCCAATTTTTTGGCTGCACACCTAATTAGTGATCGAAATTCCTAAAATAAAATCAAATTGAATTTTAATGACCTCTAATGACCTCCACAAATAGAAAATATTTCAACTATGGCTTTATGCATATCTAACGAAAGCTAGGAACCCAGGGAATACAGTAGCAGTAACAAATCCAGTGTTCTACCTTCTAATGACCTATTACGACCTCTAATACCAAAATGACCTCCAAAAATTAAAATGTTTTAACTATGGCTTTATGCATGTTAATTAAAAGCTAGAAACCCCAGGAATACAGTAGCAGCAAAAAATCCAGTGTTTGACCTTCTAATGACCTCTAATGACCTAAATGACCTAAATGACCTAAATGACCTCTAAAAAAGAAAAGGATTTAACTATGGCTTTATGCATATCAAGCGAAAGCTAGGAACCCAGGGAACACAGTAGCAGTAACAAATCCAGTGTTTGACCTCCTAATGACCTCTAATGACCTCAATTGACCTCTAATGGCCTCCACAAATAGAAAATATTTCAACTTTGGCTTTGTGTATATCAAACGAAGCTAGGAAACTCAAACTCACCAAATTTGATGTAAGATCTTGAGATTGTCGTTAAATATATTTCTTTATCAGGAAGCAGCAGCCCTCAGATAGAAAATATGTTCCAAAAATATATTTAAAAGAAAACTTAAATAATATAAAAATCCTGGCGCCAACTAGGAAATGATAAATAAATGATTTTGGTATTTTTAACAATTATGTTTTTGTCACTATATTACGATTATTGCATCAAGTATCAATTGAGTTTTTATACATTATAAATATTAAGTTTTTAAAATAAATAGAGTTCATAATATAAATTGTGTTTTAAAACTGAAATGTTATTGAAATGGGTATCATGCATGCGAAAAAGTTTTTGCTGTGATTTTTAATTTTTCTAGTTTGTTTAAGATCAAAATNCAACGAGATTTATTAAACCTATTATCACTGTTTTTGTTTCCCTCGCTACCCCCAGAAAGTTATTTTAATTACTCTGAAACGGCGGGAAAAGCGACGGGGGGGGGAATATATATCCCCCCCTGGTAACTTATATTTTAGATATTGCATCTCAACAGGAATGTAAGATACCCTCGATGTGAAGATAACAATGCCCTGGTTTACAACGGTACCCTTGAAACCTTTATCTGGTCAATAATGTGGATGAGAACGTGTTGTTCTGAGTCAATAAGTGTCTACTTCTGTAAATTTCTCCATTGTTTCTTTTGTTCAAGTAACTTTTGTATAAGGTTTTTTGCGCAAAACAGGAATTTGTGCACAAAATGTAAATTTTTTCGCAAAATATAATTTTTTTTTCAAATTTGAATTTACATAAAACCAAAATTTCAAATGTTTCTACTTCTCTGAATTGGTTACTTTTAGTTACAAAAAGTTTTATTTGAAGGACAAAAATTTAAAAGAATTGAAAGAACTGAAAGATGAAAATTGAAAATTGATAGTTTTTTAAATGTCTGAATCTTGTGTGGTGGCAAATGTTCAAATGTTCAAAGACAATCCAGTTTCTATACAGCCTCAGCTTTGTGTCTCAACGCATTGGCCTTTGGTTTTACCACACAACTCGCTAATCCTTTTTTTCTAGGCCTGACCTATATAGGTTAGAAATAATACGCGTCTATTTCTAGTTTTAATGTTTTAAAGAAGTAGTTGAGGAAATACTGCTCGATTTTTGTGTGAGAGCGTGATAATCTTGATTTGCAGTGAGCGGTCATGCCACAATATAAAAAAATAATTCTATACAGAAGACGAAATAATTAAAATTTTTGTGGGTATAACCCCGTTCAAAGAAGCACATTATATTTTCATAGTTTACAAGGTGTACAATATTTGTGGGACACCCTTTTTCACCAAAGATTAAAGACGATCTTCAGGTCCTCTCTCAATTGCCACGTTTTCTGGGACACACTGTTCATTTGGGAATAGAATGTCGAACCAATTAACATATTCATACGGATGACGTAGAACCCTTTTTGCTTCATTCGCTCTATGGGGGCAGGGAACACAGTTCATACATGTTGGAGTTTTTGTGCGCAGGCGCGGCCATTTTTTCTAGTTTTTGCCGCGTTTCTTGGCTGATTGATCTCTCAGAGTTTGGTTTGGTTTGGTCGGCTGGAAATATCGTTTGAAAGAAACTGTGTAATTAGCGTGGACAGTTTATATCATGCTGAATAGGATGGTGGGAGGGGGGTGGGGTTGCTTAAAGGTTCAAATAGTACATAGCAGCACTAACAAAGATTGAGACTAAAATGTTGATCGAAACCTGACAGGGCTATAAAAAAAGCTGGAGACTTGGTTTTCATTTTGTCTTTTATCTGAGAAAACAGCTACGTAATATAACGGAACGGTACCTTATCGTAACGTTTATAAATCGTTTTAGAAACGTTTCAAAGTTACATTACTAATAGTAACGTTATGATAACGTACTTAAAACGTTTAATGATCTGAAGATTGAATTTGTTGTCCAAGAAAATTAAAAGCTAAAAAAAAGCTTTAAAATGTCCTGCAACACTCAATCACTGAAAAAATAGATGAGTGTTTAATTTAGAAAAATAAATATTTTAAAAAAAATTCATTTTAAATATTTAGATGTTGTATTGAACACACCCAAGTATACTAAGCAAAATAATGAAGATACGATATTTTGTTCGAAATCAAATTTTGCCATTTCGTAAAAATTTAATTGAAAAGTTTGAAATTTATCTTATTAATGCATGAAAAAATGCAAAACATTTTTAATTTTAATTTCCACTTTTTTGATTATTAAGGATGAGAAAATGTCTGCTGAAAACATCATAGTCAAGAGGACAAATCATTTTAAAAAAAAAGATGATAGGTGTTTCTTCCATTTATGCTTAGTAATGTTACTTGGTTTTCCCTTCTAAAGTTTTCGAACTTAAAGATTTATTTTCTAAAGATTTGATCAGATCAATGTTTTGTCCATTTTCAATGGTAGGACTGTAAACTGTCGATACCGACCCAATGTTTAACCGATGGCCGCAATTTAAACTTTCAATACCGACCCTTTCTTCAACCGATATCCGCCACTTAAACTTTCAGTACCCCTTTCTTCGACCGATAGCCGCCACGTTAGCTGTCAATACCGACTCTTCATTCAACCGTTCTTCACTTAAACTTTCAGTACCTTTTCCTTCGACCGATATCCGCCACGTATACTTTCAGTACCCCATCCTTCGACCAACGGCCGCCACCTCAGTTTAGCGAAATTAAGATAGGTATTTGTGGGACAATCTCGATATCTACAGTAGAATATTTATAGCAGAAGACTTGGTTTAAACTTGGGAACGTCATATATTGAAATGTTACGGTCGTCTTTGCAGTCTCATCCTTTGTGGGTGATCCTGTATATAAATTTACCCGATGTTAACACTGTATCCTGTGTTTACTATACCATCAAGTATAAGTTATATTTACCCGATGTTAACACTGCATCCTGTGTTTACTATACCATCAAGTATAAGTCCTATTTCTCCGATGTTTGAGTAAAATATCTATATTATGATGGATGTAGCACTTCAAGCCGTCAATAATATCCATTTTATCTAGATATATCGAATCCTTTATATCCAGACATTCTTTAATAAAATGAAATACTTTAAGGGGACTGTAAGCGTAATTTCAAGTGATCCTCCATGCAAATATGGCAATGCCCGATGTACAACGGTACCCTACAACTTTTGTCTGGATAAGTACTAATTACATATCCATTTTTTTTTCTTTAAAATGAATATTTTCATTTGCGGTTTCTCTGCGAATGTGACTTTCGCATTTCTTGTTTATAAGAAGCGATGGAGAAACTCAGAAATAAACACTTTTCGAGTTAGAAAATTACGGTATCTTCCTTATTTCTGATCAGATAAAGGTTTCAAGGGTACCGTTGGAAATCGGACAATGCTATCTTTGCATGGAGGGTCATTTGAAATTACTCTTACAGTCCCTTTAAATATAGGAAGCGAACAGATTTTAAGAACTTCTAAAAATGTGAAAATAAAATTCGTCTGCCGAAATTTTCTATGCAACTTACAAGCTTTCATTTGTATTACATACAGTGATAACCGGAAACCTCTAAAATAGGAAGACGACTTTTAAGTTTAAGAATCAGTTAAAACTTTGAAAAGTTCAATGAGTTATAGATACAGCGATTGTGCAGTGTAATACAACCTTGGTTTTAATAGTAGTGTACGTTATAACTTTGTTCTCCTACTATTAACAACGCGGCTAAGTTATTGAACTTTAAAACACTGATGTTTTACAAAAAACGTTCAACTTTCGTAAAAAAAATTAATTTTCACATTTATTATGTTTAACCTGTTTTTCCCAGCTGTATCCTTTAATGTATTGCACTTTATCGAGAGAGGAAAATATCGGATACAGGGTGTCCCAATATCGAGTTGAGAAAATTTCGGATACAGGGTGTCTAACTAAAAACTACGACGCACTTAAGGTCGTTTTCAATCTTTTATAATTTAGAAAACTAAAAGTCTTTCAAAAATTGTGTACTTGATTTTCTTCCACTTTGCTAAATTTTGATCCTAAGAATGTGTTAAATTTTTGGAAAATTTTCCATTTGAGGATTAAAATATATTGTAAAGTTTAAAAATGCAAACTTTTACCGAATTCGGTTTTGAATGTGAGAAGTTTTATTAAAGTATTTAAACAACGAACCCCGAACAACTAACAAATAACACTACCAAAAGGTTTGCAATATAATTTTAAGAAAGCTTTTACGTCGTTTAATTTTTTTTATATAAATTTTGTCATTAAATATGTTTGATTAAGGACACCCTGTATGTGATGAAAGGGTCAAGAATTCTTTATTCAGACTCTGCATAGAAAATGTACTGGGGAAATAGAACTCTCACACTTTTTATCTTTATATATTTACATTCATATTTTTTTCTAAAAAAGTTTAGTTTTCAATAATGTATTTATTATCGCAGATTTTCCTCACAAATTCATTAGCGAATTTTTCAGAAACTTTCAACATTGTAATTTTTAATCATTATTTCATTAATACATACATAATGTTATCGTATTTGAACTATGATTCTTGAGATACTATCTAAGGGCGGCAGAATACACATAATGGTATCGTATTTGAACTTTAATTCTTAAAATGGCAACTAAGGGCGGCAGAATAAACATAATGGTATCGTATTTGAACTGTAATTTATCTAATGGCGACAGAATAAACACAATGGTAACGTATTTGAACTGTAATTCTTAAAATAGCATCTAAGGGCGGCAGAATAAACATTATGGTATCGTATTTGAGCTGTTATTTATTCTAAGGGCGACAAAATAAACATTATGGTATCGTATTTGAACTGTAATTCATAAGATGGTGTCTTTAGGGCGGCTGAACACACATGATGGTATCGTATTTGAACTATAATTCTTGAGATAGTATCTATAGGGCGGAACCGTTTTCAAGCACATTACTTAATCATTACTACAAATACTAACCAAACATTTTATCGATAAACTTTAAAAGAAAGTTTAATTCAATGTTTGTCAAAAAAAACTGCGACTTCCGATCAAAATACCTTTTATTAAACAAGTCGTCTTCTCTCTTTTATAGTTTTTTTCGGTATTTTTATGACTCTGCAAGATTGTTGAATTATAGACCAAAACGCGATTGAATACAAAAAAGAAACCAAATGCATATCGCCCTGGTTAGTTCAAGGTTCGTCCCTTTATGTAGCCATGTATTTGAAGAATTCAAAGTTCAAAGAGCTTTGTGAATACTATAAATCTAAAGTCTAAAAGAACGTTGATGTTA